GAGCCAAGACTTGCTCCCAGGGCTGATCAGAGGATCCCGGAAAGCTTTGTTTCTGGCTGCTCGGTGGCGTCTCGTCTCGTACAGTAACGGCCATACTGTAATCCTCTCCTCTCTTGTCGTAGCCTTGTTGTTGTTGTCTGTGAAAGTGGCAAGCAAGCAAGAAAGAATGGGAAAAAATGTGGGAGAAAGGACCCTGAACGACCGAGGGTCGTCTTGCAGCAAATCAGAAGCCATCTCCCTTGCCCGCATGCATGCATATGGCATGGGTCAAAGACGCAGGGATTCGGCGTCTCTAAACCTGCAGAACCAGGATCCCTTGAAAAAGCTTACTGCAGCAACTGCTTGCTCGTCGAAAACTCGTCTGCTCGTCCAGTTACGACATTCACCTGCGCTAGAAGACGACAATCACCGCCGATCAACAGAGGGTGCGGCCAAAGGGGATTGGGCCGTCGACCGAATGACTGTCTCCCCCCGCTGGGAGACTGATTGTTGAGTCCCGGTTTGTTGATTGCCCCCAGCGTGAGCTCTCTCTCGTGTGTTGTGTGTGTGTGTGTGTGTGTGTGTGTTCCCGTGCTTGTCCGTTGATGGTATCACGGGTATGACACGCAAGAAAGAAAGGGTCCATCCACACACACTCCCACTCCCCTCCCCCTTCCACACACCCCTCATTACGCAGAATCAATCATTATCCTCGAGTGGATGGATTTTCAAGGGACCTGGGGGTGGAGGCTTGCAGCCCGCCGATCCACACACAAACCACCCTCTGCTCATTCTCTTCTCCGCTCCTTTGGGCATTCTGGGCTGGACGGCTTCTGGTATAATAAGACTCTGTATCCCCCCCCTCGTAGACAGACTTCTTTTCTTTATTCCAGTATCAGCATCTACCACTATAACAGTTCAGCCTCATCATCTCTTGACTACACGGCTATTTCCACTACAAGCCTTTGATCATCACTCAACTCTACACTTGTCCACTCACCAAATAAACATCACCACCGCCATCATGCCCGCTCGATCTGAAGCCTACACCGTCTCCATGCCTCTCTCTCCTCCTCCTCCCCAGAACCTCTCCAGCTACTCGCGCTTCATGCACGCCCACACCAAGCGTCAGATGGAGGCTTCCGGAGCCCGGTCGCCCCCCAACGGTTCGACTCCCCGTTTCGCTGGCTCATCTGCCATCACCAACGGCACCAGTGGTACGCACTATCAATAAGTAACGGGCGTCGTCATCACCAGCAGGAAAACATCCGCACAAAATCGGATCGATTTCCTTGGCCGGTAAAGTTGACGAATTTCCCCAATGACATCAAATACGACGTCAAGGGTGGCGAACAACAACCCAGCCCCTCTGGTCTGACACCAAAGGGCTCAAACAAACAAACACGACTCTCTTCTCTCTCTTCACTCTCAAGTGAAATCATACTGTCCGGCGTACGGAGGAGCCAAAAGCAAAATCCCCGCCATTTTCAAATGGCGAATTGGCCTGTCTTTATTGTCTTTTTTTGAGCGGGAGAAACGAACAATCGGTGCAAGGCGTTTCGGCTGCGATCATGTCCTGTTTTTGGGACATGACATGGGTCTACAGCGAGTACATGGGGTACACAGCATTCAGAGGAGGATTGGAATAAGGGAAACAGCTCCTAGCCATTGCAATTAGCGAATGATACACGATTTGATGATGCGACTCTTTTCAATCAACTTGACTTCAATTCTCTTGCTCTGTGGTGTTATGTGATGCGTGCGAATCCTGCGAAAGCGTTCCAAGCCAACACAGCGAGTTTTGAGCCGAGAAACGAGTGCTTCGCCGAATTCTTGACCAGCTGCGCCATAACTGCGCGACTCGATGCCAAGATGGTATATTGAGATTTCCTTGCTGCCTTGGTTTCAAACTCCAAACTCCGTGTGCTGTAATTTGCCATAATTCAATCTGCCGTTATCGTAGAATCTTGATATATCCTAACTCCTCCCACTCCGTTTCTTGTCTTTAAACCAGAGATGGCTTCTTCTTGATTCCAAGCAGGGCCGAATGATTCTTCTTCTTCTTGACGACTCGCTTGAACGACGGGGCTGCTGCCTCTGGTTCTGGGTTTGCCACCACAGCCGCAGCCGCACTTGATGATGGCCCTGCACTACTCTCTGCTGCCTGTTCCGCGGGGTCATCTTCGGTGACTGTGTCCAGCTGCGCTCGCGCCGCAGCAAACGCCCTCTTGGCTGCCTCATTGTCCTCCCTCTCCTGTCGCTCCCGCTCCTCGTCCTCGCTTCGTACGATCGAATCGGCAAAGTCGATACCCTCTTTTTCTGATCGGTTGATGCGTGCGTTTCGTTGTCGAATCTCGTCCAGTGCGTCTGCCGCCGCCATCTCTCGTTGCGCGTCCGCGTTCTTGGCCTCCAGATCCGCCATGGCATCCTTCTCCTCCTCGCCTGCGGCCTCTGCCTCCTCGCGCTCCAGCCGATTGAGCCTTTCTTCGTCGGTTTCCGCCTCCGCGGCGCGGTTGCGCCAGGGCTCCATGCTTCGAACTGCCCCCGAAACTAGGGCATAATCATTGTTTTTCGGATCAGTTCGGAACCTGATTTCAGCGCTGCATCGAGTGCATCGAATCGAGAAATAGAATATCTGAATTCCAAGGTACTTCTCCTCGACTGGTGTTGTTTTGCGACTGTTGAACTTCCTTCCTTAATAGCAACTGGTTAGTTTTATTCCTTAATAAAGAAAGAGGATTCAAACCTTTATAGATGTACTCGCCACTGGAGGTAGTCAGCATGAGTGTTCTCGTAAGAGAGAAGAAGAATGGTGAGGACATGGTGAAACTTACCATGTAGTGCATTTCATGGACCACGGAGCCATAAGCTATAAAGATATTAGAAATTTAGAGGAAGATGAAGCGATTCCAGAGGCACATACACGAACTGTTTGGACCCTTGGACCCGAAGCCTTCGGGCCTCTTCGACCCTCTAATTTGGAGGGATCGAATTCCGGCGGATAGTACTTTTGGAGGACCTGTTCTCTAGTTAGTAGGGAAAAGCAGCGAAAAATTCATATAGTACATACCTTTCGCTCTGACATGGTTGCGACGGGGTTGGTGATGCGTTTTTTGGTGTTTTGTTTTGAGGAAATGCGAAATGCGACCTAGAAAACGACGTAATTCAGTGACACGTGACAGTGTAGGCAGCTGTGACAGCAGCCCCACTGTCGTGTCGATGACAGTGCTGGAAGGGTAGCAGACTGGGGTTTTATCTTTGTCCGGGTAAATCTTGCAAGCAAACAAGCTCAAGCTTCTAAATGATCTGCCTAGCCCTTTCTCCTTCATTGTGTCCATTGAATTCGGGTTGATTAATAATGTAAATGATGTTGCAAAGTATGTCTGCTGCTATGCCAATCGCCCAATCTATCTATCAGAAGAGATATATGTAATCTAATAATCTCTTGTTACTAATAGATCACCTGAGTGCCATTAGCTTTTTTCATGTGTTTTGTTAGCTTTCAAGCTCTTTGCAGCGCAGGAATAGTTCACCTGACAGGTGAGAAAAAGACAGGAAGAGCGCCATGAAGTTCATCCACCAAAGCAGCAGCAATAACATGTTAAGTGACAGAAACCAGAAAGCTGAAAAATTTCTCCTTCATTCATAGATTGGATATTTACGAGACACGGAAGCAAGAAGTCAACAAGTTCTCCATGAAGTTGTCTGTTGAGGCCGTTGAATTACAAACATCCTTGGCCAATCACGCAGCCTCGCATTGTGGCTGGGTCCCTGCCCCACCGCCATGCTTTTCTCCAGTCAATCTGCCCGCCGTTAGCGTTCTCCAAACTTTCTCCACCAACATCAACATCGTGAAAATGCCCAAAGCTGAGGTCGGCTCGACGAAATACATCGCCAACCGCATGAAGTCCAAGGGGCTTCAGCGGTTGCGATGGTATTGTCAGGTGTGCGAAAAGCAATGCCGTGATCAGAACGGTTATAAAATGCACACTCAGTCTGAGAGCCATGTTCGACAAATGCTCATCGTCGGCGAGGATGCGAAGAAGTACATCAACGACTACAGCAGTCAGTTCCAGCGCGACTTTCTAATGCTCCTCCGAACCGGTCATGGCGAGAAGCAGGTTCACATCAACCACTTCTACCAGGAATACATCGCCAACAAGGAGCACATCCACATGAACGCGACGAAATGGTCCTCCTTAACAGAATTTGCCAAACACTTGGGCCGCGAGGGAATCTGCCGGGTTGAGGAGAACGAGAAGGGTGTACACATCTCTTGGATCGACAAGTCTCCCGAATCTCTACGACGGCAGGAAGCTCTCAGGCGAAAGGAGGCGCAAGATCAGGGCAACGAGGAGGTCGAGCAGCGCATGATCCGCGAACAGATCAAGCGCGCACAAGCGACCGCCGGAACCCGAGACGAGGACAAGGAGGAGGATCCCGAGGCTCGTGAGCTGAAGCGACAGGAGGGCGAGAAGATTACGCTGTCTTTCGGCCCCAAGCCTGCTGCACCTGCAGCAACTTCTACCGAAAGCCCTGCGCCCGACACGACTGCGGCCGAAACAGAAACGCCAGAGACATCGAAAGCGACTGCGGACAAGGGCAAAGAGGCTGATCCAGCGCCTGCGAAGCCCAGCGGGTTTGGCGGTATCTCGATGAAGCTCGGTGGCAAACCTCAAGCCAAGAACGTCTTTGCCCAGGCCAAGAAGAACGCCTTCTCATCCGGCTCGAAGAAGCCCGCGAAGATAGAGCAGCCCAAGAAAATGAGCGAGGCCGAGCGCATCATGAAGGAGGAGATGGAAAAGAAACGGTCCAGAGAATCGGCTGGCTTCAGTTTCGGTATGGGCTCTGGGAAGAAGCAGAGAAACAACTAGGAGGTTTCAAGGTCTTGGTTGAACACGGACAGGCTGGAGTCGTGAGGGACGGCGTTTTACGGCAAAGGAATGCATGTGTAGACGGGACTCGGAAACATGCCAAGGCGTTTGGTTTTATTGTCCATCTTAGATACCAAGACGACACTTATCGAATGATGATGCACTATTTTTCCTATCTTTATACGGAATCACTGCTGCTCCTGTTCCTCCAACGCCTTATTCGCCATAAAAAGTGAAAAGTGTCAAGTTTGACGGGCTTTGCAAAACGCTTTCTAAGCATCCGCCTCGGCCTCTGTACCGTCGCGCCTGTAAAATAACTGTCAGCCAGAATCCCATCTCTTCTCGGCCGTGTGTTATGACTTACGGGATGTACTGTATTCTGTATTCGTCCTCGAGAGTCGACCGAACGTCATCGGGAAGCTGACCCGACACCTTGATGGCGTACATGCCAGGAACGTAGCCGTCGAGTCGCTGGTACTTTGCTATCCACGAGCGCGCAGGGTTGGCGAGGGTGATGACACCCTCAAAGACCTGCGAGGTGCAGCTTTCGATCTGGTCCTGGGAGCCAGCGAGGTGGAGGAACTCGTCGCAGTTGGGGCAGCCTTCGTCGCGGAATCGCTAGAAAACAAAGTGTCAGCTTCATGGAACGGAATGGATGAACGCTGGAGGGAAACGAACGTTGTAGGTCATGACGATGGAGCAGACCATGCACGCGCGCAGATAGCGCTGCTGGCCGGGAGAGACGAAATTCGTGGACGTCATTATTCAGAGATCGCTTCGAGACTCGTCCGGACGGTTTGGGAGCTAGAAAGAGCTGCGTTGATCGTGGAGAGTGTTGTTTGTCAAAGAAGTAGGTTGACAGTGATCGCGACGCCCAGAGGCGGAAGTTGTAAAAGTTGAATGCATTTAGGCAGATTATGCACCAACCGCGGTAGTGGCTCAAACTTCCATCTTTACATCTAGGCACCTCACCAAGCACCAGGAATAAAAGAATTCGACATTTCGTTTTAACGATACATGAAAAGTATGACGCAAAATACAAGCCAAGGGACTCAAAAGTCTATCTTTCAACAAAAAGACCTCGAGAAATCTCACGACATCCTCACCTGCACCATCAAAGAACCGCCCTTCTCATACGTCCACCTTGAACTCGTCTCAGACAGAAGCGGCGCTGTCACACTCGACAACCTACAAGTAAAGAGTTACTGCACAGCAGCGCTCCGGCAACTACTAGGTCTCACGGGGGCAGCCATTTCTCTGGATATCCTCAAGGTTGAGGGTAGTCACGCGTGGGTTCGTGTACCGCGACTAGACCTGGGTTCCTTCTCAGCAGCCATCACAGCCTGGAGGGGCACAAGCGATGACGGAGCCCAGGTGAGCCTTCAGGTACGGCAGTGTGCCGACTGGCTCGGTGCCATGGTGGGAGCCGACGGACAAGATCGTCTATGGAATGCTTGACGACAAACAAGAGCCTCATCATTCAACTGGATCGTCATTTATCATGTGAATGGGTATAAATGTATGCATGTACATCGCCCATCGGCCAACTCTGCAAATGCACCGTTTCCAGACGCCCGATACCCTACCATGCCTTCAACCCTACACCAACTCCGACTTCTAAGGGCTTTCTACACCTCTTACATGAGAGAAGACATGAGCGAGCTCTGAGCATATGCCTGATGAAGGGTTAGTGCTGGATTTGGTGGACAACGTATTAATCATCACTCACCATGGGCTTGATGTCGGGATGCGGTACGGCATCAAACTGCTCATACTTGAGCTTATAGTCGGGGCCAATGTTGATGTAGGCGCCCCTGTTCTCCGTCGAGTCGCAGTACCGAGGAGCAGAGAAGACTATAGAGTTAGTCACGGAACAGTCAGGGTAGCTTAGGTCACTTACCAGTAATACAACGGCCATCATGCTGAACCTCATAACCATCCATGCGAACCTCGTGACTTCGGATAACAGCCTCAAGGCCGTTCTTCTCGCAGAACTTCTTGGTGATATCAGGTCCGAACTGCATACCGACACCACGCTTGCTGGGTCCTCGGCCGTTCTCCTCCTGGGGGTCCGTCCAGAGCATCTCCATCATCAAACCAGCTTGGCCTGGTTGTCGCTGGTTGTGTCGATTCAGTTTTCGGATGTCATCGAGTGTGATGTTGTCGTCAGAGAACAAGCCTCCGTGGAGGACCAGGTACTTCTTGCCGATGAGAGTAGCCAGTGCCAGAGCAGAGAAACTCTCAGAGAACAGCTTGAAGACCCTACGTCACAGTCAGTATGAGGGCAAAGGATGGGTCACAAAATCTCACCTCTCGTTGTACTTGGCCTTGCACTCGCCCTCGAAGCCGTAGACCCGGTTCATGTCATCTGTCTCATGGTTTCCACGGTTCAGGAAGAACTGGTTAGGTCGCAGCCACTTGTAAGCGTAGAGGAGCAGAGCAATCTCAGTTGACCAAGACCCTCGGTCCACAAAGTCACCGTTAAACAGGTACCAGTGCTTCTCACTAGGTGTGCCATTGCGGCGGAACAGCTCCATGAGATCAAAGTATTGGCCTAGAAATAGAGTCAGCCAGCCATCGCTGCTGTGAAAGTCAGGGCGTCTTACCGTGGGTATCACCGCAGACAGTCAGTTGGACGTCATCAGGGATCTCAACCTCGACCATGGTGGGCTCGTCGTACACGAGCTTCTTGACGGCAAGAATGATCTGGTAGACATATTTGCGGTGGATCTTCTTGCCAGTCTTGAACCGCTCGATCATGTCGTCAATGAACTCTTGTGTCATCTCGTCGCCTAGTCGCACGCCGTCGTAGCCAGGCTCGACAACCATAGAGTCGAGGTCAAGACCCTCGGCCGCAGAAGGCTCATCGCCGACCTCGATAGCGGCAAAGAATGCCAACTGTCGAACAATCTTCTTGCATTCTTCCAACTTCAGTCGTGCATCCTTGTTGTTAGGATCGAGGCTAACGCAGGTCTTGAAGTCGTCGATGGCCTCCTTAGGTCGCAGGATCGCAGTCTTGGCTAGACCTCGTCGGTAGTAGGCCTAGTTGTGTCAGAAACAAGACTGTTTCTTCTCGTCGAGGCGCTCGCGTGCAAGGGTGACAAACCTTGACCAACTTGGGGTTGAGCTCGAGGGCCTTGGTGGCGTCGGCGATGGCGTAACCGTACGCTTCAGTCTTGATGTACGCCTAATATCAGGAGAAGGAGGAGGTTAGCCACAATTCAGGCGCATATGTCGGCTACAAACCTGCGCTCGGTTGGTGAAGAACAAAGGCTCCTTGTCGTTCAACTCGATGGCCTTGGAGTACAGGTCAACTGCGGCGGGGTAATCGCCGTGGCCAAAGGCCTTGTTGCCCTGGTTCTTGAGGTCGACAGCCTTTTGCGACATGTCGACGGTATTTATCGCTCGCCCGCCGGAGGAGAAGACGTCAAACAAAGGGGAAACGACGATCGACGTGGGGAAGTTCGGCAGCCGAGAAGTTGGTGATATTGCGCCGGACGTCGCTGCAACTGCTCGAGGTTGTCGCAAAAGGCGGATTGGTACCAAGAAACAGATCAAAGGTGTCGTAGCAAGTCAAAGTAACAAGGGGGAAGAACTGGCAAGTCTACCAACGACAGGACGAGGCTTGGTTCCACGATGTCAGGGAGAGCAAAAGAACTTTTGACCTCGACGTCTCGAGCGGCGGCTTTTTGGTGGGGGAAGCTTCTAGGCCCCGTTTACCGGCGTCATCGGTGGTGGGCAAAAACGGCTTCCCGGACAGGGTTACAGGGCTTGAGAGGCCTCGGTAGGCAGCTGATGGCCCTGTAACCCCCTGCAAGCCAGTGACTCTCGATCTGCCTGAACCAGTAAGACCTAGCGTGAGCAGCCGCCAGAAGCTGGGGGACCGGGTGCTCCGTTATCAATCGCCACGCAGAACAGTGCCGGCCAGGATCGGGGTTGGATAATTGCATACGCATCAAAGCGGACCTGACACGGCCCCACTAATATCCGTGCTCTTTCGACAAGGTTGCCATGAGGCTTGTCTGCCTTAACATCAACTCACAACTCACAGCTCGACCATCGGCATCCATTCAAACGAGATGCTTTTACTCAACTGGCATCGACGATAGACACACGTCGAAGTCAAGAGGTGTTTCATCGGCGCATCAGGCGCTTACCTTACCATCATCATGGATCCATCAACTTCAGGAACCTCCAACGCCCTGGTGCGCAAGAGGACAGACACAGACTTGATGCCTCCGCCTCCTCCAGCAAAGAAAATCAAACGCCCCAAACAAGTTCTTGATGAAGACACTTACACGGAAACACTTTCACAAATCATCGCCCGCGACTTCTTTCCTGGACTATTGGAAACTGAAACTCAGCAAGAGTATCTGGATGCTTTGGACTCCAAGGATGCTGCCTGGATCTCGAGCGCTGGTCGAAGGCTGCAGCACGTTATGACCCCTGGCCGCCGAAACACACCTCTACCGTCGCAGTCAAGATCAACTCTCCCTGGAGATCGGACACCTTCAGCATATGGTGGAGACACACCTGCGTCGGTTGCCTCAACTGCTATGGGATCACGGCCACGACTAAGCACCAGCATGAGCCTGTCCAAATTTCAAGAAACCTACACCAGTGAGGACAACGAGAGTTTCTACAAGCTCGTCGACAAACAGAATCAGAAACGTGCCGAAAAGTATGCCTGGCTCTGGCGCGGCAACAAGCTTCCTTCAAAGCAGATGATCAAGCAGAAAGAAGTCGAAGACAGATTGAGTCAAACGCGAAGCCTTACAGATGACGGCTTCAAGCGGGATCGTTTAGCAATCAAGGACAGAGATGACCGCCCAGCACGACCAGACACATGGGATGCGAAGCCCAGGAATAACTTGATGTTTGGACCTGAAGGTGTGGAAGATGGAGTCGTTACTGTCTCTCAAAAAGCCGAAGAGACTTCCAGGATGGCGCCCAAGTCCATATCATACGAGAACACGAGAATGCCTCAGCCTCGCATTCCACAGCGGCCACCGTCCCCCACCATGTCATCAATACGAGATGCCATCGCAGGCAAGCCTCGTGTAGGAGATCAAGACTCGAGTGCTGTGGGTGGAGGAGAAACACCACGGGTCAACGGATACGCCTTTGTTGACGATGAAGACGATGAGCCGGAGCCTACTCCCGCTGTTCCCATCATTAATCTCGGCCCAGGCGATGCGAGCCCCAACCCCTTTCGGTTACAGGAGCAACGCAAAAGGGAGAGCCTTCATGAGCGCATGGTGGATCGGATATCGCAATCGAAAAAGGAGTCAACACGGAACGGCCTCACAGGGAAAGTTGACAAGACACCTGTTCCCAAGTTTCCGAGCAGCCCAAGGGTCACTGGAGGCCTTACTCCTGCAGCTCAGAGGCTTTGGAGCAAGATTGGGACTCCTGGGCGCGGCTCGCCCGGGAGCTCATTCGGACAGTCTAAGCCTATGACTCCCAGGGGCTCACTACTAAGATCAGTGAGCAGAGCCGGCTCAAAGCCCAGACCGAACCCATCATAGGCGACCCTAACTCAGCAAGGAGGCCGGATTAGAAATGGAGGGGTTTGACAAGTTAGGGTAGCCCCGCATATAAGCACTGAGTCTCGAGATTGTTTTTTTTTTTTTGAAAGAGCTTTGCAACACCACAAGCAGTTTAGATACCTACGGTTTTCCTTGTCATTAGAATATCCAAGGAGGGAACATGGCGTTATTGACGGAGCGGATTTGAAACCTTGGTGGTTTCCCGGGTGCCCCCTTACATCATTCCACTTTAAATTCACGCGTCACTCGCGACGATAACGCGTCAACCTCATCTTTTCTCATTCAACATAATATCAACCACCAACCATGGTGAAGACGAAGGTCAAGAAGGCCAACGAGCTCACCGACGAGCAGCTGGTTGAGGCCTCTCTGCGTTACGTCCAGACCTCACAGCCATTCATGTCCAGTTACGAGCTTGATCCTGGATACAATGCCTCCATACATGTCACCGACGTTGGTACAATTGACATGCCTCTCAAAGAATCGCAGGCCCGCCAATTGATCGCTAAAGCGCATCCCCCAGCGCTACATGACCAAGGAGGCGATATCGCCAATGACGCTTCTGCTGGGAAGATATGGGAGTTGAGTCGAAGCCAATTCGACTATGGGGGAGGGTGGCCAGTACTCATGGATCACGTACGCAGTGTGGTCAACCCGGAACATTATCGGCGATTTCTTCGACCCCTAGTCAGTGTCAGGGTCGAGAAGATGGTCATATACGAAAAGGGCGCCACTTACAAGGCACACACTGAGTATGCCCTCCATACATGATTTCCCCCAAGCTACCACTGATGGCGATGGTGGCTGTAGTATCGAGGAGAATAAAGGCGTGTTCGCCACTGTCATGATCAGTCTGCCATCCGAACATGAGGGTGGAGACATGGTGTTCGAGCATGGCGGCCAAAAACCCAAGCGCTACAAGTCTTGCTTAGAGACCCAGTCTTTTGCTTTCTGGTACACGGGAGTGTCACACAGGCTTACTCCCATCACGTCGGGTTACCGCTGGGTGCTAGTCTTGAAACTCTTTGACAGCGACGGCCCTCAACGCCACAGACCGACAGGCCTCATCTTCCCAGTCGAAGTTCAAAGTGTCAAAAGGGCTGTGGAGCGTTGGCTTACGACGAGTCGAGAGTCGGGCAAACACCCGTGCCTCCACTTGTTGTTAGACTGGGACTACCTCTCAGCCAACGGTCAATATTGCCTACCAGGCCATGACTTTGGCCGAACCCAGCTTCTGAGAGCGGCGTGCAGCGAGCTGCCCATCGAAGTCTTTGTTGGATCGTTGGAGGGGAACGCTAGGCCACGCGGCAAGGATATCTACAGAATAAAAACTCTGGTTGACCTTGATGATCACATGGTGGCGCGAGAGCTCACACTTGACGAGAAGCACATCCTTGACCAGCGCAGACTCAAAGAGGTCAAGGGCAAGAAGAGGGTTGGTCTGCCGGGTCTTATTCATCATATTGCCACCGGTGCTAACATATGATCAATAGGACTATGAAAGAGAAAGGCGTGTGTCGGTATAGTGCCTTCCTCTCCCCTTCGCATGGCTCAATGTCACTAACCCCCGAGACTCAGTTCATCACCCTGGTCCCCCATGACACGTTGGCCTCATTCTTAGAGTGTGATGGCAAGATACCGCCCAGCACCATTGAGCCACTCACGGCCTTCTTTGCCAGGTCGTCCATGCGCACCGGAGCCTCAAGGAGCGTGTTCGATACCCTGCTGCATCTCTCCGGACAGCCAGAATTTATAGAAGCAATATCTGGCAACACCTTGGCGCTCTGCCTCGCGGCCTTTGTTCAGTTTGGAGAGTTTGAGCGTTTCGAAGCGGCTGTTACGCACCACCAGAGCACATTACCATTATCCCTCTTTGAATGGCTGCGAGGCTGGGTAGTGGCTAGCCCTGACAAGGTCGTTGAGCGATTCATGAACATTCGGGAAGGGTATGTCTCTATCAAAGGCTACTACTTAGACAATCCGCTCACTGACTTGTGCTAGGGCATCACTCGCCCTCTCATCGTGCGAATGTCTGGCCGACCAGCTGAAGTCCATATCCCGATTGGTACCTCCCGTCTCAAGAGACTCGGCTGGTGAGGTCGAAACACCAAAACCCATGCTCGACTGGGCTCAAGAAATGATCCGGTCTTGCCTGGACAGCATGGGGTTGGGTAAATTTGGCCACGAAGCGGGATCGCTCATTGCAGATGTTTCACTATATTTCAGTGATCCGTTCACCTTCCTGGAGGAAACGTATGTCCTCCCAAGGCCATATTGCCTTAGATCGCAGTGCTAACCGTTAACACAGCGCCTTGCCCAAATTCAGGGGCATGTCCAACCCACTCGCGTTCCATCTCAAGCTCTTGAACCGATTATGGAACCTGATGGTCAAGGAGGGGCTGCCCGAGAAGAAATACTCGCATCTATTCAAAGAAACGTCCCGTTGGCTCATTGAAACGGCAGATTTCGCCCAATTGTCTGGCGAAAAGTCAAAAGCCGTCAACCAAGATGAGCTTGAATACACGGTCAAAGATGTGGTGATCACCAACTTTCTCGTCAGCCTCATCAACAGGAGCACCAAGTCGGATGACCTCGTGCCTCTATTCGCTTCCAAAATCGTCACGGATGCTCCACGGTTTCAAGCCACCGAGTTGCTGACATTGTGGATGCCCTTGCTTTACAAAGTCCATGGCAAACTCATCAGCGATAAGATACCCCTCGACACGCCCTGTTACCAACAGTTGTGCTCTGCCTTGGTCAAATCTCTCGTCGACAACTTCGTCGGCCCCGAGCCTGTCGATACTGAAAGCCAGACGCGAGGCAGCGTAAGCTGTGGCTGCGTTTACTGCACGCAACTGAACGAGTTCCTTGCCGATTCATCACAAAGCGTCGGTACTCTTCCTATAGTCAGGACAGAACGAGAGCATTTAAAAGACGAGATCAAGTCAGCAGGCATCGACTGCAAGTGCGAGGCAGTCCCAGGAGACAGCCCTTGCACGCTCATGACCAAAGCGCCGTCTCCGCAGCATGTCGAGAACTGTGAGGCCTGGGTTAATCGGAAGAAGACTGCCTACGACCTACTGAGGAAGGTGGAAGAGAGTCATCTTGAACAACTACTAGGTCCTGGTTACTCACTGTTCCTGGACTTGCAGCAGGAGGTAGATCCGTCGGCGGCGCCACAACCCGTAGCCGTAGCCAAGGCCAAGCGGAAGGTCTCAGATACTGACATTGTCGACTTAGGTCGTGGGAAGAAGAAGAACTTTAAGATAACAAGCTTTTTCACCAAGAAGTGAGTGCGGTGGCTTGGGTCGAGGGTGCACTGTACGAATTTACATGCGGGTAATCAATGATTTGCAGTTTGGCACTGGTACCATAACAAGACGCGCATTCTCGAATCACTATGAAGGGACTAGAGTCTATCATGAGAAGTACGCCAGCGGATCAAGTCCATATCGATACATCTATGCCCTGTTAATAGCCAAGACGAATAAGGGATCCAAGGTACGTACAAGTGCAAAAGACTTCACAACTCCCGAGTTTAACGGGATTCTTTTGACTTCAACTGAGGCTGTGTATGCCCCCCCCCCCCACAGTGATAGCCTTTCCACCTCGACGAATGCCCTAGCAACCACAAGCAGAGCCATCAAAGTACTATAAGGGAGTTTCATCCTTTGCCTACTGCCCCGGACGGACGGTGGCAGACCTGGTAAAAAAAAAGAAATTAAAAAAAAAAAAAAAGACGAAATTTAAGAAATAGAGTTCCAGACATGTTATGTTATACCAGGTTCGATTCTACCATATATCAGCTGTCATCTGACAGCTTTATTATTTTGCCAATCATGACTACTTTTCACCAATCATAATAGTTTTTTGTCCAACGGCTTCATTTCCTCTCAATCAGCTCTTCATTTTCAACTTTTAACTCATTGGTAATTTTACAGGTGGCCATGGGAGCTGTGAGAGCCAGGATCTACAGACACAGCTTCGTCTTCACCACAGTAGAAATGATACAACTAGAGTTTCAATTGCATTACATGAACAAATCAATAAATTCAATTCAATACAGAAACAATTATTATAGTCTCTAAATGCGTCAATTCACTTCCGCTCATCATCCTGTCAACCAATCTTGCAACCCCCTTAGTTGCATGCCCCATCGATTAGATCATGGACTTTTTTCCCCAATAACCTCAAACCTCAGCAATCCCACCTCTAAAAGCTGGCAGCCAACGCCAGCACGCCGAAATCCCCCCTAAAACCCGTCGATCGATGCGCGCCCGGTCACGAGAGGCCGCATAAGCCCTCATGAGGTTCGTCGACTTCGCCATCGACCTCGCAGCGGTGCTCAATGCCTCCCGGGGCGTCGCCGCAAAGCATGTCGCCCTCCGGGGTCGGCAGCTCGAGAATTATAGTCGGACGTCGAGTGTTGCTGCGGCGTTGAGGAATAGAGCTGCGCAGAGGGGAGCTTATGAGAGGAGGAGTGCTGCGGAGGAGGGTGAGGAGGTCGTTTACGAGCAAGCTGCGCCGGCTGCGCAAGCTACGGAACCGATAGTCGAGGCGTCGAGGGAGCAAGTACAGACACAAGAGGTCAAGACGGAGGCTACAAGGACAGAAAAGACGCCTTTTGATGGTGCTGTTCCCAGTTTCAGGCCGAATCCGCCACAACAAGCTACTCCCAAGTCAACAGAGGAGGAACTCGATCTACCACCAGGAATCGACGTCAATATCTTTCACACCACAAGAGGATCCATGATCTTGGATCAATTGAAGAAAAAAGGCAGACCGGGAGCTCCCCCGCCACGGCCTGGAGCAAGAGGACCTGCGAAGGAGCATCCTATGCGTAATTGGCCCCTACCGCCTCCTGTACAGCCTGAGCAGAGCTTCAAGCCAGCTCCTGAGAAGCCTCGAGAGCCTGAGGTCAAGGTTGAGGAGACACCGGCTCAACCGGTAACTAAGCCTGTGGAGGAATTGGCTATTCCTGCGGAGGAACCGGTCACGCCTCAGCCTGAGGAGGCTCCCAAGGCATCAATTCCTGTGGAAGAAGTGGCTGCACCTCAGCCAGAGGCTCTCTCAAAACCTGAGCCCGAGAAGATTGACGAGAAAGTTAACGAAAAGGTTGGCGAGAAGATTGAGGAGGATGTTATCCAAACTGCAAAGGAGATTGTCGGTGAACCCGTACCGCCCCAAACTCCCGCATATACTCTCAGGGAGTCCAAGGTCCCATCCTCCCGCATGAGCCGAATCTGGAACTATGGCGGTCTCGCAGCAGGCATGCTCGGAGGCGCCATGACCGAAGGCGTCAGCCGAGCCTTTGGCGGCGGAGGCGAAGGATCTATCCTGCTCAGCGGAAAGAACATGGAGCGACTCGTCGCTAAGCTCTCTCGCATGCGTGGTGCCGCTTTGAAGCTCGGTCAGATGATGAGTTTCCAGGACACAAAGATGCTTCCGGCTCCTATTCAGGAGGTGCTGCAGCGTGTTCAGGACCGCGCTGATTACATGCCCGCTTGGCAGCGTGACCGCGTTCTTGCTGCTAACCTCGGTGCTGAGTGGCGAGACCTGTTTAGCGAGTTTGAGGAGAAGCCCATTGCTGCGGCGTCTATCGGCCAGGTGCACAAGGCGGTCCTCAAGAATGGCAACCGAGTCGCCGTCAAGATTCAGTTTCCCGGTGTTGCCGACTCTATCAACTCGGATCTGGACAACCTGAGCATCCTCCTCACGGCTACCAAGCTCCTGCCCAAGGGCCTGTACCTTAACAAGACGATCGATAACGCCCGGCTTGAGCTCGGCTGGGAGTGCGACTATGAGCGCGAGGCAAAGTGCGCCCAGCGCTACCAAGAGCTCCTCAGCACTGAGCAGGACGTCTTCCTGGTGCCCTCAGTCTACCCCGAGGCCTCGGGCAAGCAGGTTCTCACCATGGACTTTATGGATGGCATCGGCGTGACACGCATCACGTCGTTTACACAGGAGCAGCGAGACTGGATCGGAACCCAGATTCTTCGCCTGTGCCTCCGAGAGATTACCGAGTTCCGTTTCATGCAGACGGATCCCAACTGGACAAACTTTCTCTACAATGCTGACCTCGAGAAGCTTGAGCTGCTCGACTTTGGCGCTTCGCGTGAGTACCCTGAGGAGTTTGTGACTCAGTATGTGCAGCTTCTCGCCGCGGCGTCTCGCTCCGACAAGGCGGCCGTCAAGGACCTTTCGGAAAAGCTAGGCTACCTAACAGGCCTCGAGAGCCGAACTATGGTGGAAGCACACACAAAGTCAGTTCTCACACTGGCAGAGCCGTTCCTGGCCAGTGCCCCTGAAGTATACGACTTCAAGGACCAGACCATCACGGAACGCGTCAAGGCCCTCATCCCCGTCATGCTTCACGAGCGACTAGCGCCCCCACCCGAGGAGACATACAGTCTGCACCGCAAGCTGAGCGGCGCGTTCTTGCTCTGCGCGAAACTGGGCAGCAAGGTGCGGTGTAGGGAGATGTTTGAGAAGGCCCTCGCCAAGGGGGGTTATCTTGAAGCTTGATAGAGCTGCTGTAATGTATCATGTAACATAGTCTTGTAACACTACTAGACCTCTCTAACGATTTGGGGATATATAAAATAGATCCGACGGGTATGAGTAGATGTAACTTTTTTTCATGAGGGTATATAATGAATGAACATCTCCAAGGGTAATTAACCACGCTCCCTCGCCCCCTGAAGCCAATCCAACTCCTTCTTCTCCTTGCCAGCAACCTTCTTCCTCTTCCTCTCGATAGCCCTGTCGACCTGGCCCTTGCTCATGCCCTCGTACCGCTTCACCAGGATCTGCTTCTTCTGCTCGCTCCTCTTGAGGTAGAAAGGCGTCTTTCCCTGCGCCACGAGCTCCTTTTCCTTCTTCCTGTGCTCCTTTAGCAGGTTCTCCTCCTCCTCCTTGCGCTTGCGGGCCTTTTTTCGTGACTCCATTGCTTGGAGCTGGCGCTTCATGTCTTCTTTTGCGTAGGTGTCTTTGGTCTTTTTGATCTGGGCGCGAAGATCGGACATTTCTTTTTCGCGGTACTCGTCCAAGAATGCATACGCCTTGCTGGCTTTTTCTTCGTCCACTTTTCCTACAAGGGGATCAAATCGTGGATCTCGATACTGCCGTCTGTTATCAGGAAGGATCTCGCGACGGCGCGAGACGGGCTTCTTGGAGGTTTGCTCCTGGGGCGCGTGTTTAGAGGATCGCTTCGGCTTGGGGTCGTCCTTTGATCTGGTAGATTTTCGAGGTGCGGGGGTTGTTTCTGTGCGTGAGGATTCGGTTGCGGTCTTGGAGGATTTTGAGCGGCGGGATGTGGATGGGAGGGTTGCTTGAGCTTTTGCGAGGGCGCCGAAGGAGATTGAGGAGAGGTCGACTTTCGGGGTTTGTTCTTCAGGCTGAGAATGTGGTTAGCAATGGTATACAGACAATTGCGAATAGGGATCGCATACTTCAGGTTCTTCTTCAGATCCTTCTTCCGAGTCTGAGCCTTCCTCATCTTCATCCTCATCGTTGTGTTGACCTCGAACACCCTCCTCCTCAACCTCATCATCATCCTCACTAGAAGAACCCTGGCTCTCCGGATCCTCCTCCCACCGATCCTCTCTTCTCGGACGTACCCTCCTCTCCAATCCCAAAGCTGTCGACTTGCGTTTGAAAGCCATGTTGTCGTGCATACGATAGTACCTATGCATAGGTAAAATGATGGTGGTTGGCTGTAACTTTTTTATTTTTCGACCGATAAGCCCCACGAAAAACGCTTATCTTAGCATCCAACCTCCCCCGATATGTAAATATCCTCAACTTTGATCTCCAGGGACTGTTTGGATCTGATCTGCCCCGCGCTAAAGAAAAAAAAAGCGGTTGCGCTCCAATTGAGATCGCATCTTGTGAATATCATCTTTCACTTTCTCCTAATGTCACACAAGCTCTCAACAACAGCATCTTTAAGTATCCGTCGCTCGATCGGCGCCTACACCTTACGTTTCGTTAGGCACTCACACGCTTACTCTTCCTCGTCGCATTATGTCCCTGGCTTGCTCCCGTCAAAGACAATGACGGGATATACTACTTCTACGGCGCCTGCGCCTGTCGCGATACCTGGCCTCACACTTGCTGCGCAATCGACAGACGTAGCGCCAAAGAAGAAGCCCTACGTTCCTCCGAGAATACGAAACCGTCGGTCCAAGTATGCTATCCTCAACACCATCATGAACCTACCTGGCTAACTCTTGTCTCTTCAGAACTCCCTCCGGCCCCAGAAATGAAGCCAATTCCGCAGACGCCAGACAAGACCGCGCCTCCTCGCCTCCAAAGGTTCCTAGCGATGAATCCGGAGGTGTCCCAAACCCAACACCTCAATACATGGCTCAAGCCCATCTCGAACCCCATCGCCTAGAGCAACCGCGCCGCATCCTCATCGTCATGGACCTCAACGGCACCCTCCTCCACCGCCCCAACAAGCGCCGGCCCTTCCACTTCGTCGAGCGCCCTCACGCGAAAGCGTTCATGTCCTACTGCCTCGATACCTTCCACGTGGCCATCTGGTCCTCAGCTCGTCCCGACAACGTGAGCAAGATGGTTGATCAGCTGCTCACCCCAGAGCAGCGCGAGCGATGCCTCCTCGTTTGGGGCCGCGACACCTTTGGCCTCTGTCAGGCCGACTACGACGCCAAGGTCCAGGTCTACAAGCGTCTCACCAGCGTTTGGTCCGACCCCCGCATCATGGAGGCTCACCCTGCGGCTCAGACTGGTGGCAAGTGGGATCAGACAAACACCATTCTCGTCGACGACTCACTCGAAAAGGCCCGGAGTGAGCCCTTCAATATTCTCCAGATCCCCGAGTTCTCTGGCTTGTCCACCGAGATGCCTAACGTCCTACCTCAGGTTCACGACTACCTGAACAACCTCGCTCACGAGGCCGACATTAGTCGATTCGTCCGTCAATCACCCTTTAAACTCGACCCAGGCTACACTCTAGAACAAGCTCCGGCCAAAGAAAAGGGCTCAGCCAAAGCCGAGTAGATGACAACCAGGACTAGACTTGCATTGTTTAGCTTTGCTTCATTCAAGATACCCCGAGGCTTCGGTCCTCTTTCCACATAGTCAGACACAACCTCAAAGTATTTGGAAATACTTTACTCAGAATAGTCACATCACGTCGGGTCAGGTCAGGTCAGGCAGGCAGGCAGCAGGCACTTGGTATTGCAGCAACGCTCTGGTATATTGTCCGTCGTCTTCCTCAAGACACCGTTTTGTTTCCTTGTCCGGGCATTACGTACAACAAGCTGCCGGCCCAGAGGCCTTCATGAGGCATACAATCATCATAAATCATTTCCCCACCCAACCCATTTGGTTATCCGTAAGCCATTATCATCATCCCTTTCCCTTTTTTTCCTTTTGATTTGATTTTTTTACTTGAAGACCTTGCCGTCGGCAAGGGCGTACTCCTTGTCACCGACCTTGATGCCCTTCTCCCAGCCCCAAGCATCCTCGACGAACTGTCGGTCCTCGGGCTTAGTAGGGTCGAGCTTGGTAAACTCGTAGCTCTCGTAGTCGGGAGCGACATCGAAGGCGGGGAGGTACTCCTGGCCACGGATGACAAAGGCACCCTGGATGACCGAGTCGTTGTTCTCGCCGTAGACGGCAGCGCATCCAAAGATGTACTTGCGGGAACCCTCGAGACGGTTGTTGAAGCCGCCAATCAGGTTGTTGGACATGAAGGTGAGGGTGAGCTCATCGTTGTACTTGTAGTCAATCTTCCAGATGGACCACTCCTCGAAGTTGAAGTTCTCCCAGAAGTACTTCATGGCCTCGTCGTGGTTCTTGATGTTGGAGTACTGGCGCTTCCACTCATCGAGGGGGAAAGAGGGCTTGCCGAGAAGCTCAAGAGGGTGCTTGGGCTTGGGAGGAGCGGGAGCATCCTCACCGGCGGGGGCGGCAGCGGCAGCGGGAGCCTCCTTCTCCTTCTTGGGAGCGGCCTCCTTCTTGGGCTGCTCAGGCTTCTTGGGGGGAGTGTTGGTCAGGGCGGGGGTCTCGAGGAGCTCGACCTGCTCAGCAACCTCGGAGAAGATGGGCTGGCTGCGGACAGTCTCGAACCAACGGGTCAGAGCGGGGTGCTCCTCGCGGTAGGTCTTGTCAAAGAAGTACTGGAAGCCGCGGAGGGTGATGCTGGCGGCGAAGAGATCAGCGAGGGTGATGCGCTCGCCAACAAGGTAGGTGTTGCGGATGAGGTGGTCCTCAACAACGTCGAAGGCCTTGAGGGCAGCCTTGGAGGCCTCATCGACGTTCTTCTTGTTGTAAGGAACAACACCCTTGAGGGGCTCGATCCAGGCACCGAGACGAGGAAGGACCTCGGAGTTGAAGAAGGACAGCCACTTCAGGATGGAGGCATAGCTGGAGATGGTCAGCAATGTGAACCACAAGCTCAAATGTGCGTGTCATCAACTTACTCCTGCTTGGTCTTGCCGAGAAGAGTGGTCTTCTCGTTCTGAGAGGTGACTATTGGCGGGGTTAGCAAAGCTCCCGACACATAATTGGCAGCAACAGGCAGCAAGAAATGGGGTTGCAAGTCAGAAGTTAGACGGTATCCACACAATGTCTTCTGAGGAAGAAATCTCAGATAGGGATAACTGTATAATAAGGCTAGGTCATCATTCGCAAGGGGGAGGAGGGGTAGCTGGAAAAAATGAAATGAAAAGTGGTGTCATGCTCCATGACAAGCTCCACGTACTGTAGATGGCGATGGCGATGCACTCGGAGAGAGCGAAGCCATCCTCGCCGACAAAGGCGGGGATCTTGCCCAGGCCGTTGGCCTTGAGGTGCTCAACGGTAGGGTTGCCCTTCTCGGCCTCAACAATGTTGAGCTCGATGTCGTTGGCCTTGGCCACGGCACGGATCGCGGTAGAGCGAGCGTTGTTCTGGAGAATCCAAAACCTGTCAGTAACGACATCGCGAAGCTATTGTCTTTCAAGAGCCGAGAAGATGTACCTCGCGGGTGAAGAGAGTTCCGAAAGCCATCTTGGATGCTTGCTGAGCTTGCAGCTGAGAACAAGTTGACGAGGAGGATGAGGAGGAAGAAGAAAAAGGAAGATTGAGGAGGGGGAAATTTTTTGAAGGCGGGATAAGTGTGTCAAATTACATGCCCCGCGCTAGTGTTACTGCCCGAGCAACGACGAGGTATTTGTGGCTGGTGCTGCGGGCGGTGAGGGGAAGGTGGCTGGTATTGGGAACATGTGGCAGAGCTCTCCACGTGATTGGGCGGATGAGGCCGTTGCACATCCGATTCTTGTGAAGATTTTCTGGCCAAGCAGTGAGTGAACTTCGAGGTCCGATCCGCCATTTAGACGGGGCCCCCTCCGATCCCGCCATCATGTCAACATTCACGAAAGGCCTACGGCCACTACGATGCCAGGGCCAGCTCCTGCGCGCACAATGGACCCGAGCCGCCTGGCAACCGTCCAGCTCCCAGCTCGGCCTACGAACTCTCAACACCGAATCTAAGGATGCTCCCCAGCATGGCCAGACCTCAATGGCCGAGTCGAGGCTCCCGTTGCCATTCCAAGGCGTCAGACATGCACGAACGATCCCATCGACGGCCTCATACTTCTCTCGTGAGCCCCAATTCAACGAGATGTACATCCGAGTTGCTCGGCTCCTCACCAAATATCACCACCTTCCGACACTACCCCCGAGCGAGGCTCCCCTGACGGCTTGGGTCAAGCTACCAGAGATGCGATCGAAGCTCGGTGAACGAGTCAAGGCCTCTCATTACGCCAAGGTTACTCGGGTTGCCAAGCGGCTCAACCTCATTGAGCCCACGCTCATCCCAGAGGAGGTCAAGGTTGCTCTGGAAGATTTCAAGCGAGATATCAACCCATTCAAGAACGTGCCGCACGCCGTATCCGTCGACCAGTTCGGACGTGCCGTCGGAGTCGGAAAGCGAAAGGAGTCTACTGCCCGCGCCTGGGTTGTTGAGGGCACGGGAGAGGTTCTGATCAATGGCAAGACGCTGAGCCAAGCCTTCGGCCGTGTCCACGACCGTGAGAGTGCCATCTGGGCCTTGCAGGCAACTGAGAGGTTAGACAAGTACAACGTGTGGGCGCTGGTGGAAGGCGGCGGAACCACCGGGCAGGCCGAGGCTCTCACGCTGGCCGTCGCCAAAGCTTTGATCGTGCATGAGCCAGCGCTCAAGACGGCTCTTCGAAAGGGTATGTGCAGTGACATTTTCCTTTTCCATGACGAAACTTTTCGAGTGAGAACTAATCTCACCATCTTCCAGCCGGTTGTATCACGAGAGACCCGAGAACTGTGGAGAGAAAGAAGCACGGCCATGTCAAGGCCCGCAAGATGCCGGCCTGGGTCAAGCGATAAGCAGATTCTGCCACAACTTGATGATGAGGGACTTTGGAATGAGTCTGCGTCTGCGGCTGTGGGGGTGGTTATGAGAAGGATAGCGAACGGGCCAGCCACGCCCTTATTCGCTTATCCAACCTGTACAAAACAATCATCGTGTAGTTTTAAGATCCCGAATCTAGGCCTCAGCCCCGAGGCGAGGTTGAACGTTGCAATCGTCATAGTGGCCTATAGGTCAGGTCGTATCCGTTGCGAGAATCAAACGTGACATCCACATGTCGGGGTATCATGGGGTCGTCTATCTTGCAGCCTAGTCCTTGGTTCTGTCGAATCTCTGCCGTTGAACGCCACAGCTGTCAACCTCCAACGATGAATGGCGTTCGATCAGGGACTTAATTCCGGCTATCCCATCCATCCGTCATGGTAGGTTGAGATCTCAGGAACACCTCATCCGATGCATGGGAATCCTGGGCACGAAATGCCAAATCGACCTTCGCTTCGCTCGCGCCTCTCACCGATAGTGATGGCGTGCATGGCTGCAGGGGAGAGAGGCCTCAAGATGTGATCCAGGACAATATCACAGGTCCATAACTGTGATGAACCGGCCGAGCCGGATCAAGTCACGGACCAAGCCATGAATACCCTGTAAAGCGTTCCTGTACGGTAATTAGCAAGCCACACGTGGAGTTAGTGGCCCAAGCCGCTGCCAAATAATGCTGTCCATCAGACCATACTGAGTCTCTGTGGCCGCGATGGTGAGTTGATGGCCTGGATGGACCAACTGTAGCGTGCCCCTGCAGCAGAACGTGTCACTGAACCGAGCGCGCCATTCAATCCAAGACAGGGACGGCCATACGCAGTAGGCCATGGATCTGGTCAGAACTCGGACTTAGCCCGGTGTTGGTGGAGCAGGCAGTTGGATCCTTGGGGAACGGCGATGGCACTGGCTGCTCGATCGCCCGCTCAAGACGAGTTCAACACTGGCAAGGGAAGGAAAATATCGCAGACCGGGCGGTGAAGCGTTTCGCGTCTGATGCGAGCGCGTCTCCCAGCTCATTCCGTGGTAATTGCAACCTCTCCACACAACGTGTGGCACCAGGGCGGCATATGCTCAAGGATGAGCGGGATATTAAGGCACGACACCATGTGTAAAGCACACCTTTTGCGCATAGAGGATGGCCACTGATTCGTTCGAGCCGTTTCAATTTCATAGCGGCCGGCAGACCGTGCTAGAATTAGCCCTCCGGAGGCGGGCAAGACGGTCGGTAGTGGTCATGGTAGCGGCAACGGCACCAGCTGCAGAGTGGATTTGCTGTAGAATCGAGAAGGTTTCTAGAAGAGTTGGGTGGGGTGGCCGGAGATGTTTCAACCTCTCTGGGCAGAGTGTTCCGGTTGGTCTCGACTTCCAGGTTTCAGCGGCGCAACGGTGTGCTGGCGGGTCGATGAGTTGGGAATCCTCCGAAGGAAATGATGGATAAGCGAGAGGCTAACGAGGAAGATGACGGCATCGGACAGTAAAGTCGAAGGCTGGCATCACGCGGCGCGCTCGAGGACTCAGGATTGAGGCCGTCGCCCAGGCCAGGCCAACGCGGGTCCAACTTAGCCCTGATGGAAAGGTCTGATGGGAGGTACGTCCTCGCGACGGAGGTGGAGCGTCGAGCGTGGGCGGACTGTGGTTTGAGGTCGGCGTCTGGGGCGGACGCAGCCACGAGTGGACAACAAGCCCTGTTGCGGGCAGAAAACCGTTGCGGCACTCTGTACTTCGGTACCTTTGTTCTGGTCTGGTCTGGTCAGTGCCATACGGACCGGCATCCGCACAAAGTCGGCTAGGCGGGAGGGGAGGGGATGGGAGAGGAGCAGAGTCCATCGCCTCCTGGGTGAGGCTGAGATCGTCGTCGCTTGATCTCTCGCTCGCTCGCTTGCTCGCCCAGTACGGGATGGCCCAGTTTCGCAGGGCAGAAGATGACGGGCCAGTCTAATGCCGCGCCTTGCAGGCTTGCAGACGGGGCTCCGAGAGATGCATATTTGCCGCGCCGCCGCGTCGATGGCTGACTTTGACGTCCACCGCGAGCATCTGCCGGGTAGCAGCATCTGCACATCATTCGCATCGGCGCGCAAGCTCATAGCTCTTGGGGAACTTGCCGTAGAAGCGTTGCCTTGCTGATTCCATTGCAGGGCCGAAATGCAAGGCGAACAGGAGTGTAACACATGACATGATGACCTCCAGTTGGCCAATGGCTCTGGCTGTGGGCAGCACCATGATTGGGCTCCCAGGCTGAGAGCAACGGGCAGCTCTCTTGGATGGGGCACTAGCACAGCGCTATTCTCCTCCAAGCCAAGGTCGGGGAGGGGACAGCCTCTCATGCAGAGCTGATGCGCGTTCCCCTTTGCAGTGCTAGACGCGCGAAACATGGTCCGATATGCGCGTCAGCTAGTGCGCTTCAGCAGCAATCCCTGCCGGTCAGGTACCGGTACGGGACCTAGAGTGTTGTGTGGAGTCGTGGATGGGAGGGACGTGAGGGAGATCTTGGTGGCCACCCAGGGTGACATTTTGGTCAGTACGGAGTACAGCCGCTGGAGATGTTTGATGTAGGGTAGCGATCGTCGCGTCAAATGCGGGCGTTGATCCTGAGGCGTTCCAACCAAAAGTGAGGCAGGTCTAGACGCGTATCATCCTGGAGTGTGTGTATGGTTCCAGGAAAACAATGCGCCGTGTGCCATTTGATGATACAGCGGTGTCGTTTTGTGTGTTGTTTTGTAGCTCGCATTTTGGATCTCAGGAACAATTTGGGGTTATGCGGAGTCTGCTCTGGTTATTGGTCCCATCGTGTAAGCCACGCTGGTTTCCCCTGTGAGATGTTGGCCGGCTGAACTGTGGCGCCTGCAGCATAAACTCACAGGCTGGGGAGTACCTGAAGACCCTGGAAGACATCTGGGAGCATTGGCAACAGGAGCTGAAGAACGACAACGGCGACGACGACGTGTGACTGAAATGCAAACATTAGCATTAGCATGGCTCTATAGCTTCATTTTTCATGCTGCCTGCCTATTCGAGTCTCCTGCATTGACATTATAGTAAAGGATCATTCACTTACAAGCACCATTGATGACAATCGCCACCAGCCTCACCTTAATTCTTAGCTTAACGTCGTGTAAGTTGTTGCCTCACAATAATGATAATCAATGGACCTGACCACTCCTTCCTTTGTCCTGATATTTCTGTCACCCTGGGAGGGATGGTACCTTCCCCCACTGAAGTCAGCCCCGCGATCAGCCTTTCATTGGCAGGTGCCCTGGCTACCAAAAATATTACCACCTGATGGCAACCGAGAGAGTGCCTTTGCCCCTAGCATCGGGTTAGACATCGCCTTTGTTTTTTTCTTCACCTTTCACACGATGAGCCAGGATCCAGGGGCCATCTCATCTTCCACAACACGACCCATCAAAGACCCGTCCTATGCCCATCTTGCCCGCATGCTTCTCTCCTCTACGACCTGGGCGTTCTCCAAGCCACTATTGGCTTCCCGTCGGAACAGAACAACACTAGCACGCGCCGGCACCAGGTACGAACGTCGCTGTGTTTTCGTACCTGTACTCCGTGCTCCGTCCAACCCTGGATCATCACCTTCTTGGACTCGGGGGCTCGTGCTGTTGTGGTTTGCACGTCCCGCCATCGCACTCTCCGAAGAAGACACACGGGCCGGTTTACATCCAATGCATTCAAGCTCAGGGAGACAACACGTACACCATTTGCACGAACGTCCGCAATTCCAAGCAAGGCAAGGATGCTAGTCGTTATCGCCCTCTTCCAACGATTGGTCAGCGTTTATTCGGGCTCTTCTCTCAGGATCCTCTCCGAGTGGATAAACACTATGCCTCAATCTGGCTCAGTTCTACTGCTTACTTTCTTTTCCTTGGCTGTAGTCCAGTGTTCCAGCATTGCTTTTCCCAATGCTGTCAAATTCTTCCTCGTTCTGGACCCTGGGGCGCACCAAACCAGGCAGGAAAAGCCAGAGCCAAGAGGTAGTTTTTGTTTATTCGGACGGGAGGGCGGGAAGAGGAGGAGACATCTGCACCAATTGATGTTGCTGTCTTAGATCCAGCACTGCTGTCTTGCTTTTTGTCCTCAAAGTTGATCCTGCGATCAGTTCAGACCCCTTCCAAGACAACGATCGATACCCCAACATCGATTGGCTGCAGAACCGACATCCCCAACTTGGGGATCAGGGCTTGACTCTTGACAACCGACCTGGCCTAAGACCGCTTAACCGCGTTTGACTACGGCACTCGTTCATCCTTCGGCCGATGGTGTCTGGACTTTTCTTCTTCTCAGCCGACCATGGACGGCGCATTGGATCGTCGGCATGCTGTGTGTTAACGGCACACACTCCCTACCTACCCGTACACCCTTGCGCCCTGCCGCCCTACTTGGCTCCCACAATTGTTTCGGCCTTTCGTTCAACAGCGGGATGCTACGATGCTACTACGTACGACTTCTCTGCGCATACATACGATGCGGAACCAGCTTCCAGAAGACAAGACCCCCAGGGCCCAAGGTGCGTGCGTCCTGACCTGACTTAACCCATCCTGTGGTGTGTGCTTGGGCAGAAACGTGCCAGTAATAATTCAGGATGGCGGGCCTTGTCTCAAGTTGGCAATAACCCACTCGACTCTCTGTGGTTAGACTTTGCAATCCTCCACTCCAGGGCAGGCCTAAGCACCCCCATTCAAGCCCCGTTCATTCCTCTCTCACACGCTACTATGCACCTGAATAGTAATACACCACCACCGCCTTGCACCACAATCGACTCCCCTCCCAAGGGCCCCATGCCTCTGTGGACAGCCCCAGACGACGCAAGCTGCAGGCGGTTACAGCGACCAAATACCGGTCACCATCAGCGTATGCAGTAGACGCGGAAACGCAGAGGCAACAGCAGCAACAACAACAACAGTATCAGACCCGCGTCGAGTCTTGGTTGTGTGTCGTCTGCGTTGCTTCTCGGTTGCCGCAATTTTCAGCTGCCACTCACCGGCAAGACAGGAATGGAACTCGCTGGCCAAGAAGTTTTGACCAGAGCTTGGAGCTCAAAAGACTCCGAGCCCTTGAGAGCCAGACAATTGTTGGAGCCGCTGTTCAGCGCCAGCGCCCGCCTCAGCAGTCTGGATACGCACACACTCCCGGATTGTCCGTTGGAGGTACAGAGCGTGGCCGGTAGTCACTGAAGCCGAGGAGAGGCCCCAGTTTCTATTGTGTCCACCCCGGGCTTAGGCGCACACCCAGACAAGCCACGTCGACGAGCTGCCCATGCCCTCCTTCAATCTTTCTTCGCGCCTCTTACCAATGTGCCGGGCCAGGGGGGGCGGGTTGTGAGGACTCAACGCCGATCCTCTCTCAATCTCCAAAGCCGTTGTCTTGAGCCCTCTCGTCCGTATTCGCTGGCTTACTTGACTGTTGTTTTCGGGGCAGCCGTTGCCGGTCTTTATCGGTGCCTCATCGGGATCCTGTCCTATGAGCCAGCCAAGTTCTGTCTGCCGCGTTGCCTCACCTATGCCGCTTCGATCCTCCGTCCCTCCATGACAGAGGATGCAGAGGATGCAGAGGACGTTGATGCCATGCCACCCACACTGTCAACATGGCTTGTGTTACACATGTCTACGATCTATCAAGTCTCTTGGAGACATTCCCCATCATCGTCCACTGCACCAGTCTTGACGCCATCTACACTGCGTCTCTGGATGACAGACTAAAACCAACCGCCTCACCTTACCCTGTCTTGACAGACACACGCCCACACCCCTCCTTCTGTTCTCGCGACCCCCTTCGAATCACACTCCATCAGTCATTCTTTTGCCCCTGTCGCCGCCGCCAAACAGTGGACCCGAGAATGTTGCAGTGCAGCCAGAGACTGCGATGCCTTTGAGGGCAAATACGCTATATAGAAGCCATGGCTATCCTCTTCCATTTCAGAATTTCGTCATCTCTGCGATCTGTTTCTATTCCCGTGGCCCCACAGCCGGCCCTCCGACCTTACAGCAACCCTCATCGTTACTAGCTGCCCTCACTTAAATCTTCGTCTGCGGGACTAGAAGGCCGTCGTTACCCCGACTCGGCGGACTCGGACGCCTGTACTGGTCTAGTGAAGGCTGTTCTGAACGCTCTGGTCCCTCGTCGAGACCCTGGTGCGGTGTCCTGGCCCCAGCAGATCGAGGTGGGCTCGAGCTTGTCATGCCGAGGGCTCCTGCATGGGGCTTTGGCCAGGATACTCCCAGTAGAGCGCAAGACAACGGTTTTGACAACTCATCCCAATCAGCCCTGGGCCCCCAGAGCCCCAGACCAAGCTACTCAGCGGGCCCAACGCCTCGCTCTTCGTCATCTTTCTGGACCTCAAGTGTCTACCGGGCATAAATGGCACTAGCCTCTAGCTCGGCTACCTTGTCATTGGGATTCGACTTGATAACTACCTTGCTACACCCAGGTCCCCGGCTGAGCCAGCTTCCCTGCCTGACCAGTGAATCAGTTGGGCTTGGTTGCGAATAATAGGCCAGCGGCACCCTGTTTGCAAACTCGTTTGAGCTCTCTCACTTCGACTACTACCTCGCCTAGCCATCGATTCCCTGCCTCACCACCCCCCCGACCATCGATCATCGCGACTACTCCAACCGAGTGGACTTTATCCCAACGACCCCGCGGTGGCCCCTCCAGCATCATCCTACTACTGTACCGGATTGTCTGTGGCTCTCTACCATCTTGCGCGCGCAGATCTACCTGTACCTACCTACCTAGGCAAGAGAACATCACCTGCTCCGTTCTCCCTCTCTCGACGACAAAGCTCTTAGGCTTGTGCGATCTCTCGGGTGTATTCGAAACTGGCCGCCGTACACTCAGCATCACTACCGGTCACCCATCGGTTGGGATCGACGGTAGGGTCGTGTGGGAATCAAGGTCTTTGGGGGATGGACGACCCGAATCGGCTAAGGAGGCAGAATGAACCGCCGGTTCATTCAACCCCCAACCAGAGATACTCGGTCAACGATCCCTCCCAGCCGCGCCGTTCTCTCGCCGGAGTCTCCAGCGACAGGTACCGGCCTGCGTCCCTTGCTTCCTCTTCTCCTTCAGCAGCAGTGCGTGGGATGGGGGGCTCGGGCAACTACAGCAGCTACTATCCCGAACCCAGCGCATCCTTCTCGACAACAAACATGCCTGGGACGGCCATGGCTTACGGGTCCGAGTACGGCCAGGACTCGCGCCAGCAGCCTCAGAGCTTTGGCGGCTACAACACAGCCGCGACCATGATGTACAACGTCGCCCAGTCTGGGGCGCAAAACCCCGTCTACGATGCACAGCAATTTGGATCACGGCAACCTGCAGCTATGCAGATGATGACGCCGGATGTCGCCTCGACATACTTCGGATCCGAGACGGGAAGCACAGGCGGTCCGGCCCTGCAACAGTCGGCGCAGGGCTCAAGCGGATCCGCAAACGTCTATCAGCAGAGCAATGCCATGAATTATGCGAGCAACATGTCCAACGTGGGCGCAATGCCCCAGGCGACCGCGAGCGCCGATGTTTCCATAACGGAAGATCACGAGTACCCCGATGGCGCACTGGAGGAGAAATGGGTCAACTACCAGAGACAATTGGGCACCATATTCCAAGAGATCATGAATGGATCCCTAGAAAGCGCATCCGAGACATTGCTGAGCGTCACCAGCTGGTTGTTGTCTCAGGTGGCAGACCTTGGTATGTGTTGTCGCAAAACCCAAGAGCATGGGTGTGAACAGAGCATCAGGGCAGGACGACATGGCTGACCAAGACTGCAGGCCTCAATTTAGACGATACAAACCTCCACGCCGATCGAATCAAGTTATGGGACGATTTCAATCACGCCTGGTTAGGCCTAGGCCAGCGCCAGATGGAGTTGATGACTTCATCCCAACCATCGAGATCGCAGAGCCTCATGTCCAAGGCCATGATCAAGAAGATGGGTAACGAATTAATACGTTTATGCGACGGGATCGAGCGCCACGGACTCGTCGACTACCAATACGGGGTGTGGGAGGAACAGATAACTGCCGGTATGCCCAAGACTCTCCTGACCAAGGCCCGACCTCGTGATGGCTAATAGAAGCGCATAGTTCTCGAAGACTGTCTAGACCTCTACGAAGCCTCAGAAGAAGCCAGCGGAAGCGGCGGAGCTCGATAAAGATTCAAGCCATCGGTCTAGCACAGACTGTGACTTAAGGCACCCTCTTGACATGACATGGGCAGTGTTTTGTCACTCGATACGACAAAGAGATGTGACCCTTGTAATCAGTGCGCGGGGGTTGGCGGCTGTATTGCGCCACGGCACTTCGGACCAACCGCCTCGAGATTGACGCCTGGTTTCCCCTTTGGTCATTGACACTTTGGACGCGCAACTACGCATCCATCCCACCCACTTGCTTGCGCTTTCGCTTTGGCGGCTGGACCGGATGGCGAGGTGAAGGGATGGAGTTTGAGAAGGGGACCCGCCCTCCTCCTTCGGTATTGTTGCTTTTCTTTTCAGTTTTTTTTTCCTCGGTTGGGTTTGCTTTTTCCCTTTGAATTTTTTGTCACTCTTACAACGGTTTTTTTACGTCCTGGGTCTTCGTTTCATATGATTGCAATGGAAACGGACCCAGGTTGATGTCATTGGATGTACGGTAAGCCCATTGGGCAGGTTCACGATTTTCCTTGGATGCTTTTCACCCTTTCTCTCCTTTGGCGTCTGTTGCTAGGGGTAGACTTGGGCGCAGAACAGCGATTATTCATGACTGCATGGCGGGGGTTTAATCGGAGAAAGGACTATACAATATGCTACGCTACGCTACGGATATGGGACACACACAATGTCGGCTACAGCGCGGAGAGGATCGGAGGGGGGTAAGGGGAGGGGATAAAAAAAAAGGAACGGACATGAACGGGCAGGGCAGATGTGGGAAAGGGCGCGCGGTTAATGACTTGGAGGCAAAGGCGTTCAGACTGAGTTGCATTGCCTTGTTCTGACTGGGTTGGCGAGGTCAGTCGGTCAGGCAACAAGGACAGGACAGTCAGGCAGGGAGTGAGTGGGTTTTGCTTTCCAGACTCTCGACATAGACTTGGTTACTTGCTTGTACGTATGTACTCTATGTATTATTAGCCCGTTGGGAGCCTTGCTTATACTTAGAAGGGCTAGGGCGGATGGGACTTTGGGAGGTTGGGCGAAGGGGGGCGGGAATGGAAGCCCTCACGGGTTGGCTGGCCGGGTGGGAACGAAATACTGGGACGAGACGAGGCGTTTATTTGGCCTGGCCATGGCATGGCACATACACACATTGGATGGCACACGGACACACATGTATACCTGACGAGATGGGATGTCCGGAGTAATAGACATGTATCGTTATCACTCTCAACCTGATCTCGGTTGACTGCAGTTGTGACTGACTGACTGACCTACTTGACATGATAATGACATAGTAGCATGCATCTAGTTGTGAGAGAGTTGGCTGGGCCTATGGTAGTTTCGAACCAGTTCCCACCCAACCATAAGAGGAGGGATGTAACGATGGTGTGTTAGTTCATGCCCAACTTCAGCTTGAAGAGGGACGACACAAACGCCCGGCTTCGTCCCCGCAGACGCGCCATGATGGGAAAGGACAGCAAATCGTGGACACTGCAGCGGGTAGGAACCTGGAACCTGGCCTTCTTAGTAAGGATAATACATAAAAACAGCACAAGAGAAAAAAAAAAAGGAAAAAGAAAAAAAAAGAGGTCCATCCCAAAAAGAAGGGGCGCGGCGGCCTAGCAGGGAACAAGGGGGAAGTGTGTTTCCGTCGTCGGCCAACGTAACATGAAGGGGAATGCTTGCGAAGGAGAACCGAGGCCGTGATGGAAGAAAAAAAAATTGGAGAAATGTGTGTCTATGGAGAAGATATCGAGAATGAGTAAAAAAAGAGATGGCTGAGGTTTCTTTTTGGCCGGTACTGCATGCGATGAAGCTGGGCTTTGGTGGGTTATCGAAAGGTTAGCATCGTGGGTTTCTTTCTGGTTTTGGCCTTCTTGGGCAATTCGCCGAAGGTGGTGGAGGTTGGAGGTATGAGCTTTGAGCTCTGATGCATGGGCTCATGACACGTTTTTTTAACGATTCTGTTTAAATGTGACTTGATTTATGAAGAAGGATCGAGGGTTCTTCTGTCTGGATCTCACTCTAGCCAGGGGTTTGTTTCTTGAGCTGCGGGAGTGGCTGTTGGTCGCGCAGATGAGCGGGCTGTGGAGGTAGAGTTCGTGTATCGGAAACAACTATGGAGCTTTGTTGATAGCTGCAGGAGAGAGGTTGGAGAATGACAGCAGATAATACATAGACCGGTGTGAGAGAGATGGAAGCGAATGCCGGGCTTCTCATGCTGCTGAGTGGCACAGTCAGTCTCAGAGTTTCTATGGCCCAACGCCTTTCTATCTTTGTCTCCCCGAGTTATCCCGGCCCATATTAAAGCGGCCACATAATGCGGCCTGGTCTGTGAAGAAAGAGGGAGGTTGGAGGAGAGGAGAGGAGAGAGTCAGCGGGGAGCATATCTCTTACATGCACGTAAGGAGACGAGAATAGTAATTCACAACCACCCAATTTTATTCATGCATCTGAAACAAGAGGTTCAGGCAAGGTCACGTTTTTTTCTTGTGCATGGGGGGAGGTCAGCTCAGCTCAGCTCAGCTGAAGATGGAGGGGAGGGATGGATGGATGGATGATCCCCCTTCCCCATGCTCTTCAGCTGGTTGATGCACATTGGAAAATGCTAAAGGTACATGGCAGAAGTACAGGTACGAGCGAGTCGGTTAGCTTCCCGCAGGCGGGCTACCCAAGCCTTTTCTCATGCAGGTACCTGAAAGCAAGTCTCTGCCCTACCCGGCCACGCTGAGCCAATGGGGAAAGGCGAGGCCGTTTTTTTTTTTTGACTGGTCAGGGTGGCTTGTGAGGGCGTTGAGCTTCTGTGTCAGGGCGTGTGAGTGGAGATGGAGAGTGAAAGGAGAAGGAGAAGAAAAAAAAAAAAGGGAGAATGGGGAGAGAAAAAGAAACATTTGGCGTATTCTATTCTATCTTGAGGTTAGTACGTGCTTCCTGGAGTTGCACTCGGCCAGACTCCCTACAGCAACATTACAGCAATTAGGCATTCTTTTCTTTCTCCCCCCATGCGCCATTGTCGCTTCCATCGGAAAATGCCATGGATCGAGTCCAAGACGCTGTAAGCACTGAAACCAGTTAGTTTAGTTTCGACGCCTAAAGATTGCAACCTTTAATACAAACATGCAGGTGTCGCGCAGGGGGCTAGGGAGAAGAAGAGGGTGGGCACTTAATCAAGTCGGGGTTTCGATTTGGGCATGCCAGAGATGGATGATTGGGGATGGGCAATCTTGCTGGCTGATTGATTTGACTCGTGCCTTGTAAAGGGGGGGGGGGTTGGGTATCTGCACCTCACTTTCACACTGCATTGGATGGGATGCAAGCAAGCTGTGAGTAATGATACTAGCTCTTCTCTTGGCTTCCATCCTTTAAACCTCGGACAAGAGGTAACAGAGGTGGAAACCTCGGCAGTTGCGTTTCTGCTGCACGAGAGAGGATCCGACTTGGTCTCTGATTTTCCTTGGTTGCTGCGTTGATTTCAACCACGAGTTTTCAGTCTGATGAATGTCACTCTCGCCAGGACACGAAGTATCCAAAGTCAGAATCAGGCGATTTCTTTACTCGGGCAGACGGGATCTTTAGAGTTTAGTGCTAGAACTTCTCTAACGGTCGGGTTCTTTTTTAGTTGATTCATGGAAGAGACTACTCTAAGTGCTTTCGTAGTATCGGGTCCGTTCTAGTTGGAACAACAGGAACCGTTCGATTTCCAAGGCGGCAGTCGAGGTAGGAGCCACCTACAGGACCCCTTCTATATTCTGCTGTATTATAGGCGGGGGTTCCCTTTCATCCTCACGAACTCTCTTCTTCGCTAACTTCTGATTCTTGCATTCTCTCACCGAGGACATGAATGAATTTGATTCTTCACCGTCGTCCAACTTGGAGACGATGGGGCCGACTTTGCATCTGCGTCCATCAGCCTCTCTATCGGCCTGCTCGATTCTTTTTGTCGCCCTCAGGCTGCAGCTCAGTTCATCCCAATCCGCCCCCCGCCTTCTTCTTGGCCCCAGATCCTACAACCCAGCCCAACCCCCCTCCTTCAACTACAAGAAGAGGGGAAAAGAGGACGAAAATGGCCTTTTTTTTATGTCGTTGTGCCCAATATCAGCCCAACTCGTGGGCTTTTCATCGCCACGGTCACAGGTTCTGGACAAACGATGAGAGGGGGTGTTGAGCTTCAACTAGCAGCGCTGATCACGTTGCCCCTCGTGGATGCGACGCTGCGCAAGTGCGGCTGACGGACGACTACGAATTGTCGAATGGCAGCTGATGCTTTTTTTTTAATCCCCTGCGCCGCGTGGGAGAGACAATGACGACAATGATAGGGCTCCCAAAAGGATTTGTTCACCCGGCGCAGCAGCAACTTCAGGCGCCAGCAGCCCAACAAGGACGGCATCGACGCCCAACCCCTTCATCGGCAACTGCGCCATCATCACCAGATCGTGCAGTGCAGCCAAGAGCTTGCTTTTTCAGAGATTGGGGGCGGTGACGCCCTCGATCCTGCAGCTGGGCCTGGCGGGTAACATCACCATGATGAGCATCATCCATCTATCCATTGCATCGGGCATCAACTTTGCCGCCATCGATGTGATGCAGCCTGTTTCTCGAGTAGCGAGACTTGGCTGGCGCCTCAATCCGCTTCCTTGCTTGGCGAATATTGGGCGCTTGTGGATGGCTTCGCTTGCTTGCTCCCTGTCTTGTTGTCTCGACTCATCTCTGCGCTAGCTGGCTCGGATATCTTGCACCCGTCCATCTTCAGCTTAACCGACCTGCGCGCCATGCCGATTCAATCTTCAACTCCACCTCGTCCGGGACGACGGAAATCCTGGGCATTCAGCTCGCGGCTTGGTCTTTGGCTCCCCGGGCCATCGTCCATCTCGCTTCGCCAAAGGCGCCTGGCACCATCGACCAACATTGGAAAAAGAAGAAAAACCATGGCCACTATCGAACATCGGTAGCGCCGTACAGGTTTGGCGCGCTCTGGCGCAGTAGCGCGCGGGGTCCGGCTTTGCTTTCATTGTTCCAGCTGAGCGGATGCTGGTAACCAATTGGCAAGGCAGTTTTTCAACGCAGATTTTGTGTCTTGCCCTCGATCCCTTTTCTTCTGTCGCGTTCAAGATGAGATGCTGACGCACACAGTAAAGCTTCAAGACATTGTCTCAAATCCTTACGGCGGCGCCTGTGTCTGTGCCTAGCGTGACGGGTACCTAGCTTGAATTACAAGCCATTGATATCAGATCAGATGGATTCAATTAGCCAGATACTTACACGCCATCTCACCTTTGACACACCGCCGTCGAATCGCGAATAGTCGCCTCGACTAAATCCCGGCAGTTGTTCTCCCGCAATTCGTCTATCGGTTTTGAAACACCCCTGCCCCCAGCCCAAAATGTCTGTTCGCCGTCCCAGTCTGCCGGGGCACGCGAAATCGACAAGACGGAGGGTCCAAAAGTGACAGGTCATTTTGCTACATATACCATCTACTGTACACCCCTCCGGTTCGGTTCACCGCAGCGCAGCGCAGCGCCGAAAAGGGAGAAGAGACAAGAAAATAAAATAAAATTTACCGACTTCAGCCTAAACCGCTTCGATACATATGAGATCAACTCGACGACCCTACAGAAATTGGGTTACATTTGATCGGCGAGTGAAGCTATCAATCTCCGATTCTCATGTGCAATCTCAGCCTTTGCCTTCTCAGCCTCGGCATCTCAAACCCTGGAAAGTGAAGCTGGCGTTCTTTGCGCCTTGCCCTGTCCTGCTGTGCTGTGCCGTGCCGCCCTGTGCGACCTGTCGAATTAGCCACCATGGCTTCATGCCCACGCCCCGAGATATTTTCCGTGCTACCTGGGAAACTCGAGGCTATTCAGACATGGCTGTTGACGCCTCATGCGTCCGATGACGTCCGGTACCGATCCTTCGGTGACCCTGGTCCTCGGCGATCCAGTCACTCCGGAGGATATTCGCGCCGGCCATGAGACATCTCAAGAATTTTAGCTCCCCATTGCCAGGGTGAAATGTCTCTGATGAATCATGCACCGGGCAAGGGATGATGGGCGACATTCCCAAAGTGTCGGTAAACAAAGTCGCTTGCTGAAAGGCCGAAAAGCATCGGGAAACCGAGACCTCGATGACCCCCCCGAGCTGTCGGCGATTTGATTCCGTGGGGGTCGCCGCTCCGCCTTCCGGGCGGGACCTGGCGCCGACTCGGATCGGGGCCACCCACGGACGGACACGACACGGACTGGCCCGATTGGAGCGGACGAAAAGGCCGATCCGCGCCCTGGTCTTAAACACCATGGGCCTCGAACCTTGAGATCAAAAGGCGTGTGATGAGAAGATGCACCAGGAGTTTTGCAATTCCAAATCATCAACAAGACCGGGTGACGTTTTCTTTGCTTTTCATCGCTGTCACATCGGGACTTCTTCGCCACGGTTCGCCTTGCCTTGCCATGGATTGCTTGGCCTACAGCCTTGCTTTTCTGCGAGGCGACCAACGACATGCCTCTAAGTTGCACTTTTAACTTCCCTTGTCTGTATCCATTGTATCGCCGCGAAACGCGTGTACCCGACAGGGCGGCTCAGCTCTTCCAGGATAAAAAAAGAGCCCGAGTACGTAGCACCGGAAGCGAAGCCATGATCCTAGTGTCTCAGCCACGGCCGCGACTGGGGGGGTGCATTGTCTCAAGGGCGTCTGTGGATGCGAGTCTCATCACCCCCTTTGTGAGAAACAAGGACGAGGATCTGCCGAGCTGGCGGTAATGTCTTGTTAGCAGGGCGATTCCAGGGTCAAGGTTCAGCTGGAGAGGTGTGAGACTGTTCTGGTTTGTCTCCGTGGTTGATGGAGAGGGTGTATCTTGAGAGTGTTGATCTTTGGCATCATCATTCCGACCATGGTGTTGATGGGAGTGAATGTGCATCGCTTTGGCATTGATGTTGGGCAACAGGGTGCTGACAAGTCTGAGATTGCGTTGTTGAGTTTATGCCTATCGTTGTGTTGGCAATGCTGGTATGTATGGTATTTCCAAGGTTGAGGCGATGGCTATGCTATTAGAGATCTGATATCTGATGGAAACCGGGAGAGATGCTGAGTCTTGTGTTGACCACTGAATTGGAAAAAGACAGTCTTATCGAACAAGGCTTTGAAACCCATGCTGGTGTACATCATGATATTGTTGTCCCCCTTGTTGTGCTTTACCTATGCCTAACGAAGTGAATAGCAACATCAATAAGGCAGACAGAGCAATGTAGAAGATTATCCGTAGTGAATTAGACAGATACAATATTTCTCTGACTTCATACTGGATCGAGATGGTCATGTACTCCTGTCGACTTGTTTATCGGGATGGAGCCAGTTGAGAAGCCAAGCTGCGACGACCATGAGGAGAGCATCAAAGATGTAGATCCAAAACTCCTTGGACTGGAGCTCGCTGTCCTTGCCCATGACATATTCAGCAATGCGAAACACAGATCGTACAAGGATCAGGAAGCTAGTTGCGTAGAGGAGCTTCTTCCAAGTGCTTGATAAGGGTGTTGTGGTGAAATCTGGTGGCTAAAGGGAAGCCGGTCAAGACATCAAAGCTAATTACTGGATTCTAGAGATTACCTATTGGCGTTGGTGCTATAGCATGAGTGTTTCTTGATATTCCTAATACTCCTGGCGTTGTTTGGTGATGATGCTGGGGTGAGAATCTACATATCGAGAACAGATGATGCCGTGTCTGACAGAAGATGATGCTTGACCACTTGGACAAGTATGACTCTGGAGTCTTATAAGGAGTTACACACACTGCAAATGCGTTGGAAGGTGGTGATGGCAGTTGGGAGAATTGCGAGACAGGATGTTGTGGTCGACAAGTCCATCTCCTTTCTTATAGAGCCGAAGAGGGTGTAGAGATGGTGGTCAAGAACATGGTTACTGAACACAGAGTGACATGAACAGGATGCTAAATAGCAGTATGACACTGCGTAAATGGAAGAGACACTCTGTAACCTAGATCTATGCACTCTGGTTATATGTGTAGTTGCGTTCGATACTTGTGTTGTGCCGGAAACTGCCTCCTCTCCTCCTATGCCCCCGGCTCTTCCTCTGAGAGGCCATGTTACTGTGCCCATTTTAACCCACCTGTTGCAGAGCCGAACAAGATACACTCTGAAAATACAATGCCTATCAAGTTGGCCATGTTGGTATTCCGCCATTGAGACTGGAAGCTTGAGTGCGAACCATCCAGGTCTTGATAGAGAGTCGTGAAAGCCACCGAGCTTACAGAAATGCCATAGACCCTGCCATGATCTGTGCTACAAGGTGGTAAGCATGGTGATATCGTCAACCGTATCATAGATGGGCACATTGTAACACCGTGGTTGGCCTCCTCAAGCACGCCAACCTCAACGTCCAATCTCTGTAAGCAACGTGGGAATGGAAGATGGACACAAAGGAACGGCAGTAGCCATGAGTGGAACGCAAAGCTGGAACCGAATGCGTGAATTCATGATGGTGATGCTGTTTGAACCCGCTATGTACCCTGACATGTCTTGCCTTTCTTTCTCTCCATGTCGACGCCCCAACACACCAACTCCTTCTTGTCCATGAACACTTAGAACTGATCTGACAAGAGTTAGTCTCCAACGCAGGCAAGGGCTTCCTTGTAACTCACCAACAGTCATGCTCATGCTGACATCGGTATTCTCCACCATCTTGGTAAACTCCTCAAAGCTAATCTTGCCGTCCTTGTCGAGGTCGGCCTCCATGATGGTCTTGTCGACGATCTGCTGCAGCTGCTGATCCTTGAGGTTGCTGCCGACCATCATCTTGAGCACGATGAAGAGCTCGCCGTTGCTGATGTATCCGTCGCGGTCAATGTCGTAGACCTTGAAGGCGAACTGCAGCTTCTGTTCCTTGTTGCCCTTGCTGCTGAAAGCCGACAGGCCTGTGACGAACTCCTGGAAGTCAACATCGCCGCCGCCGTCCTCGTCAAAGATGGCAATCATTCTGGTTATGGGGTTAGTGGTTGCGATTGAAGATATGACGGGTCATGACGGACCGTGTTGCCAGAGGGTTGGACGAGATCTGAGGAAGGCTGAGGAATTCATCGCGTTCGATCGTGCCAGAGTTGTCCTAGGAAGCTCAAGTTAGTCTGTCATGTCCATATATAGCGTATCCCCTCTCTTAGAGTTTCATCTGCTAGCATCTATAGCTGATCCCAAGGGTCAGACAGCTTGCGCACCTTGTCTAGCTTCATGAACCGCTTCCGCAAACGATCGACCTCGTCTCTGTCGACTAGAGTAACACTCTCAGTTATAGTTCCTTAGCTGCAGCCAGCCCCTAATAACAGGCCGCAGGGGAGGAAATCAAAGCTCACAGTTGGACCCTTGGACGAGGTTGTCCAGGACTGCGCTGGTGGTATTGCCCATGGTGGCGGAGGGGTATAGCGAGGGGGGGTAGTCGAGGAGGGATGGACACGTAAAAACCCCAACGTTTATCGGTGGCTTCGGAGAGAAAGTCGAGTAGAGTTTTGAAGTTGCAGGGTCCGCAGATTCGACAAGAGGGAGGGAAAGTTGTACGTTCGTGATAAGGCTGAATTTGGCTGGGGCGAGGCAAAGAAGGCGGTCTTGTCTTACGGTTGGCGGTCACTCTTTAATTCTAGACCGGGGGTCTTCTCCTGAGTGAGCGGAGCGGAGGGGTAACTAACGCGGTACTAACGGAGATGGAGACGGAGAGCGGGAGGGGAGCTTCATAGAAAACGGAGTTGAAAGAGATGACGTGACATAAAGTGCACGTGCCGTTGATTACGGGCAGGAGCGCTTCACCCAATGTAGCCTTGAGAGGGTATCTCCGTTTTGGCATTTGACCGACGAGACGGAAAGAGCTTCTGGGATATGCCGTGGAGAAATTGGCTTTGCACTTTATCATGGAGTGAAAACTATCGTAAATGATTCAATGCAAACTATTCCATCTACTATCGTGATACCCATTCAGTACATCATAGCAAATAATGCACCAGAGTCAAAACATGGTAAATCACCTACCGTTTGCTTCCGTCTGTTACGTGGTCGCCTGGTCAGCCAGCCCATCCCCTACGCGGCGTCACCCACCCACTGAAAGCATGAGCTGCTAGGCACCTCTAGGCACCTCTCACCCACTAAACACCTCGCACTGGCGGCCCAAACGGTACTCCAGCACCCCAGCCCGATTCAGCACCCAGCGACGCTCCCCAAAAAAAAGGAGGCAGTGGTCTGAGCGCCCCAAGTACCTCCCCCGCAGAAATCCGCTGCAGAGTGACCTCATTCCCCTCCCCTCCAGCAGCGCCGCCCGTCATCAACACTGACGTTTCCAGTACGTTCATCTCGCCCATTTTCCCTTGCAACCCAGCGAAAAATCTCTGCGCGGCAAAACCATCTCCAACGTCACCCCATCGAACCCGACCGCGCCGCCATCGAAAAAAGGCTGCAACAACGCCCTTTGCATCCTCTAATCGATCGATTCCGATCAGAAATCCTCCGTTTTATGTCTTGATCGCTTTTTTTCGCGGATTTTCCGCCGCCTAGCCGCCGACCTCCTCCTCTCCCTTTCCCCCCCTTCGCCCCCCTGCCAACATGTCATCACGCAAGGTCCGCGTCAAGAAGTTGAGCGTCAAGACGACGCTCCCCGTCCTTCGCGAAGACCAGATCGATCCCTCCGAGTACGAAGCCCTCACAACCGAGAACCAAATCGCGACCGGCGTCGAGCAGGCCGAGGAAAATGTGAGTCTTTGTCCTCTTGCCAGATATGCGATATCACGTGTCTATTCACGTGATATACCTTGGTACTCCCCGACGCGTCTGATACACCACCCAACTACTGTCCACCACTACCCAGCACCACCCCTCCATGGGCCTCAGATTTACTCATTTTTAAATAGGAATACCATCTGCAAACCATTCTCAAGGAAGCGGGTACAAGCAATGACCAAGAAATTCCCGTTCCGCCTCCCCAGGAGAGCGACATCAACTATGATGAGCTCTATCCTGTTCCCTTTCATAAACCTTCCTCTTATATCCGCTTCTCCCAGACTGTCGAGGAATGCATCACATGTCTCTATGACATGACCACCGAAGATGATGAGTTCCTCAAGCAGTACAATAGTAAACCCCCTGCTGCCGGCCTCCTCTCCGAAGATGACTTTGAACGCATCATGGAGGTGTTTGAGGACACCGCCGCAGAGCAGACTCCATTTGCGTCAGTCGACAATACTGTTGCCGCCTATGACATGATGGTTCCAGCTCTTAACCACCTTGGCTCACCAGTCTTGATGCACCATGCAAAACCGGTGTACGAGTACTGGAAGTCAAGACGGTTGGAAGCTGGCAACAAACCTCTGCATCCCACCCTCAAGTTCGAGACTCACCAGGAGACTGATGATGCGGACCCCTTTGTCTGTTTCAGACGGAGAGAGGCTCGGCAAACTCGAAAGACGCGAGCTCGTGACAACAAGATCGCAGAAACTCTCAAGAAACTGCGGCGCGAGCTTGAAGATGGCCGGCAATTGGTCCTCATGGCATACGAGCGCGAGATGCTGAAGCGAGAGCTTCTGACCATGGATCGTGCTGTCTTTGAGGAGAGGGCAAGGCTCAAGGGGATTAAGCTTCGGTTGGGGATCAAAGGAGAGGACGAAGATCTCGTCAACCAGAAGGTATGTGAACTGAACAGCCCGCGCAATACCCCTGGCGCATGTCACCAAGTTATCCCGCTCGGTACTAACTTGGATAAACAGCCACAAAAGAGAAAGCCTGTGGATGCGCCAGTGGTGCAACGACCGCCTGGCGTCCATCTGCGGCAACCTGTGCGGTCGGATGGTAGAACACTCGACGCCGATCTCGTCCAGCTGGCAGACAAGCTGGCAGAGAAGGACAATGAGCTGCGACTTGACATAGAAATGAAGGTCCAGAACCACCGCAAGTGGAACCAGAACCATATTGATCTCACTCGAGATCCGCTCTCGCCTGTCAAGGACCAGGGCATAGAGCTCAAGTTCCGACCGGCCAAGACGCAATACTTGATGACGCCTCCCGCGTCGAATTCTTCAGAAATGGATGTGGATGAGGACGCACCTGATGCTATGCAACTGGACAAGCGTGAGCCGCCCGTCTTTCAGTTCAGCGCTGGATCGAGTGAGCCACCTCGGAACAACCATCCAGCGTTCCGTCGACGAATTGGCCGACTGAACCGACTCTGGATCGACCGAAGAGGCATGGTGACGCCACCGCGGGAGATGAGTGACGAACAGTCAGACCGGTGGAAGTACGACTCAGACTCTGATGATGACGAGCCACCGGTGTATGAGGTCGATCCGTTTGACACTCGAGCGCTCAAGTTTAGAGCGACGATTCCACTCAATCCATATATGTTTAGACCACGACCAGCGGTACCGCCAGAAGCAGTGGCGGCAGCGCAAGCGCAGGCTGCAGCACAAGCTGGAAACCGTGGACTACCGTCGGCGGCAGCAGTGGCAGCGCATGCCCACGCTCAAGCCCATGCGCAAGCGGCAGCTCAAGCGCACCTGGCAGCGCAAGCGCAAGCTAAAGCGGCGGCAGCGGCGCAGGCACAGGCGGCAGCACAAGCTCAAGCTCAGGCAGCGGCATCGTGAGTGCCGAAAGGTGATGACCGGGACCGGCCCGGAAGCGTATTGTATGATAATGGTGTTTATGTGTTTTATACCCAATATTTGGAGGGGAGCGTGGACGGGGGTGGTTCGAAGAGGGCCGACAGCCGTTCAAAGGCGGGGGAGGAATGATGTAAAGTATTCAATCGTGGGCCGTGGCATTGCGAGGAGTTTGGAGCCGGCGATGTTTGGCGCGGGGGAGGAAGAGCTCAACCGAAGGCCCAAGCCGATGAAAAATAAAAAAGACCAACGGTCTATAGTAGACCGTAAGAATATCGTGCCTAAATTCTGCGAATGTGAGTGTTATTGTGTCTGTCAGTAGACGGTCTGGTCGAGGCCTGGGCGAGGTCAGGTGGACATGTTGGTGAGAGGGTGGCTGAGGGGGGAAGCTTTGTAGCGTCCTCGGACTTGATCATGACGGAGGGAGTTTTTGAAGCAAGCGTCGGTGAATTGTTGACGTCTGGAAAAGAGACTCGACGTTTTATTTGTAGTAGGCAGAAAGTAAAAGGTCGATTTCGAGGAGGAGGCAGTGCGGGAACAAGGTTCGGGATGACGAAGCTTGAATGAGGGACCTGGGATATGTCATGTTAGCAGGGGAGCAAGGCTGGGGAGTATGCAATGCACAGAGGAGGAATAGAGGATATTAATATACCAGATAAAACGAAGTAGCAAGAAGAAAACTCCAGCAGAGAAGATATTCAAGCTTGGAGGAGCAGTAGAAAACTTGCAAGGTGGATATCATGTGTGAGCAAAGAAGCGTGTGATGGTGATAGAGGAGGCTCGGTCGTCGAGTGGAGGGCAGCAGGCGGGCGGGAAAAGTGGCCGGCGAACCGGGCGCCCTGGATTTGGGTTTCACTCCCGGTACGGGTCGTTGATGACTTGTAAGGGACCTTGTGGCTTGACCCATGCTGCACTTTGTGTGTGTGGGAGGGGTGGATGTGGCTGGTGAACCACGCTAGTTAGGTTTTTTTTTTTTCTCTTTTTTTTTTTTCTGAGCTTTTTAATTCCTAGCAACAACGGCCTGACTATACCCCCACCCATTCAGGGCTGCTTCGACGAGTAAGCGAGGAGCTAGATTGGTTAGGTTGTTCCGTTTTGTTTCCCTCTTCTCCACTGAATTTGTATCGGCCGGGGGAAGGAGGGGGAGAAAGGAAGAAGATCTGGGTGTGCCCCTCTCTCCATCTCTATCTTATCGTAATTCATCCTTTGACATCACTTGATATACTTTACCAACAACACGTTCATATCTTTCTGCCTAATCTTGTTTTATTCTTTGATGTTTATTTACATGCCATGATATAGAAAGACTTTCACGATATCAGACTACGAGCTACAAGCTGCGAACCTAGACTTGTCAACATCATCGACGATACCCCACCATGGCCTTCTCACGCAAGTCCTCCTACATCGCCCTCGGGTGCGAAGGCTCAGCCAACAAGCTCGGCATCGGCGTCATTCTTCACACTGCGACCGAGACAAAGATCCTCTCCAACCTCCGCGACACCTTTGTCTCGCCCCCCGGCACCGGCTTCCTCCCCAAAGACACAGCCGCCCACCACCGAGCACACTTTGTCCGTCTCGCCCGTGAGGCCCTCGCCGAGGCCCGTGTTTCTCCTGAGGATGTCGACTGTATCTGCTACACAAAGGGACCTGGTATGGGCGCTCCGCTTAACTCGGTCGCTGTCGCTGCAAGGGCATTATCGTTGCTGTGGGATCGGCCGCTTGTTGGCGTGAACCACTGTGTTGGACATATTGAGATGGGACGATATATCACTGGTGCCGACAACCCCGTCGTGTTATACGTATCAGGTGGAAACTCGCAAGTCATTGCCTATGCCGAGCAGCGGTACCGTATCTTTGGAGAGACGCTCGATATCGCCGTGGGAAACTGCCTGGACCGTTTCGCTCGTACTCTAGAGATCAGCAACGACCCCGCGCCGGGCTACAACATCGAGCAGCTCGCCAAGAAGGGAACCAAGCTTCTCGACCTGCCCTACGCCGTCAAGGGCATGGACTGTTCATTCTCAGGCATCCTTGCATCCGCGGACGCACTCGCAGCGCAGATGAAGGCTGGCGCCGACTTTACCCCCGCGGACCTGTGTTTCTCTCTTCAGGAGACGGTATTCGCCATGCTGGTCGAGATCACGGAACGAGCCATGGCGCACGTGGGTTCTTCGCAGGTGCTCATCGTGGGCGGCGTCGGCTGCAACGAGCGGCTGCAGGAGATGATGGGCCACATGGCGCTTGAGCGAGGAGGATCAGTCTACGCCACCGACGAGAGATTCTGCATCGACAACGGCATCATGATTGCCCACGCCGGTCTTCTAGCCTACGAGACGGGGTTCCGCACGACCTTGGAGGAGAGCACCTGTACGCAGCGCTTCAGGACCGACGAGGTCTTTATCGAATGGAGAGACTGATGCAATACTATGGGCGATTGATGAATCGTGTGTGATTGTATTGACTCATCCTGGACTGGACTTGACGCTGGCTTGTCATGGTTGACAGTGCCATGGCGACTCGACTCACAAACAACTGCGGTGCCTATTCATCTCTCAATCTCCCACACTGAGACGTTACTCATGCTTCAGCAATCATGGGCATCTGAAATACCTTCCCCGACCTCCATCACTCATACTACCCCCTTCATGCATACATATCGGCGTATATCGCATCATGACCAAAAGAATGGAAGCTTCCACTTGAATCTTCCATCAAAAACTGAGCGGGCCCTTGGAAACATGGCCGTTATCCCCCAAGCAAGCTTTATCTCGCCCTTGTCTGAGAACTGGGTCTAACCATCATCCGAAGACGTGGGCTTGTAGACAATCGTCGTGACATACTATCTCGTCTATTAGCAAACATTCTTCAACGGGAACGACGCCGCATACCTTGTTTCTATACCGAGTCGTGGCCGACACGGCAAGAATATTGTTCTTGATGCTGCTGGTGGCGAGATGGTTGAGAATGGTGTGGTTGGGCATGTTGAGCACGCTGTTGTCGTCCTTCATCAGCGTCGCCGCGTTGAGGATGGGCTTGCTCAGGAACCCGGGCAGCGTGGGAGGGTTCGGCAGCTTCTCGATGGCCGTGACGGCGTACTGATACGCGGGCGAGTCCTCTGGCTGGTCAAAGTCGACCAGGTACTTTGGGATCTGGCTGCGGTACGACTCTGGCGGGGGAACGGCCTTGCCCTTTGGTGGCGGCGGCTGCTGCTGTTGCTGGGGAGCGAAGACCTTTTGACCCGGGGGGGCAGCCAGAGCGGCGGCTTGAGGATCCGGGGCCTGCTGCTGATGGGCATCATCAGGGTTGACCTCGATGTAGTTGACGAGGTTGTTGCCAAAGTCGACAGTGGTGGGCAGGTCGGGAGACGTCTGCATGATACCGTCCACCAGGAAGCGGACATGGTGGGTGCCGGGGAGGATGTAGACGGTGGTGCTGAAGCACCCGGGCCGATCTTCGCTGTATTAATATACACGTCAGTAAAACGAACGAATGAGCAAACTTGCATAATGTTTTTCCCTCCCTTTCCTCATACGACGTGCCGGGTGTGACAAGTCATCCGAGACTGTCAAGCCCGCCACGGAGACACAGGAAGATGCGGATAACCGATTCAATGTCTTGGAGGGAGGGTAACATGGGCAGATATAGCTTTACGGTAAAAAAGACTTACATGGGATGAAGTCGCTGCTTTCGATTCCATTGGAAGATTGTGCCCGTTACGTAGACCTTTTCGCCGCCGCGGAGCCATTCGAGCTTAGCTGGAACGACAGGTCTTGTCTTATCAACGCGAAGCTCCTCGCTGTCCTCCTCGTCGACAGTCGTCGCGCTCAGCGCGGAGCTCTTGCGGGTCATGCCATCCGACGAGTCGATCAGCTCGATCTCGGGGACCGGCTGGTCATTCTCTGGCGCAAGGATGGGCGAACCCGGTGTGTGGACCTCCTCGTCGATGGGGAGCGGCAGGCGGGGAGGTCGGGTGAGGTACATGTCGGTGATGCTGTTGTTGGAGATGAGGGTCGGCTCGGGGATGGGGATGTGAGCTGAGTGGTGAGAGCGGACGGATGAAGCCTCGATGGGCACGTCGACTGGCTTGGTAGGCTCATCGCGCGGAGCGACGGGTGGTTTTGACTCTACAGTCTTGTCGGGAAGGACCCTGGCGTCGGAGGACGAAGCGATCTTTTGCGGCACGGCGACGCCGCTGTGGGGAGAACCGCTGAGGGACGAGACGGCGGTGGGAGGCAGGCTCTTGGGCCGGTTGACGACGGTGGAACCCTGTGCCTGAGCCATGGAGGGCTCCGGGGGAGCGGCGGAGCGGTGAGTGTGGCCGGGGATGATGTTGCGGGCGTCCTTGCGGTGGTGATGCCTCGGCGACTCGTGGCCGTGTCCGTGACCCGGCGCGGACCCGGGGGCCGACGACGTCGGGGTCGCCGGCTTGGAGGAAGAGGACGGGTTGTTACCCATGGTTCTCTTTTAATCCCCAAGGGGGGGATGTTTGCAGAAAGGCTTGGTGTTTGGGTGAATGGTGTTTGTGGGAGTCTTTTTCTCTTATAGCGATGACGATGCTGGCATACTCAAATCACCCACGGGTTCCGATCAAGGGGCACAGGGTATATCCTATGCGTGCGCCCCCTCCTCTGCGCCAATTGAACAGCGCCCCTCTGCTAGGACGAAGAAAGCCAATAAACGGTCTGACACGACAGCTGTTTTTTACTCCTTGTGTCGCCGGGTAAAAGAGGTTTTGTACTTTGTATGTGTGTATGTGTTCTCGTATCTGCAAATCGCCGGGTAGGTAATGGAAATACCGATCGTGTAGAGAAAAGTATAGCGCTTTATATGCTCGTCGTTGAATGTAAATATCGTCGTCGTTCGTTGGTGGCGGGCGTCCTTTTCGTCCTTGTTGTACCACGCGTTTGTGTGGCCTGTCGTCGTTGTCGTCGGTCGCGGGGCGGAAGTGGAGAGGAAAGAGAGTCATGGAGGAGCGGAAGGAAAAGAGAATGCTGGGGAGTGATAGGGTATTGGCGGGAGGTACTTTGCCCCGCACACATGATTGTATGAGATGAAATATCACTCAGCAGCTGTCACTAACTTCCTCCAGACCCACCGTGGTTGGGGCTTCTGCAGTGAATGGCGGGGTGGAAGCATCCGCTAAGTGCAGGCCCACCACCACTGGAACCAACCATGAGAGTTGAGCTCAACAGCTCACAAGCTCTCCCTCCATTTGAAGCTTGTCAAAGAATCTAACTTTTCATATCACCATCTCTGATAAAGCTTCAAGGATATCGCAAACAAGTCAATTCCGCTTAAAGACCAGATCGACTCTCCTCCTGTCTCGGTGATGTAATCTCAAACATCGTCCTCCCTGGCTACTTACGTAGCTTCCTAGCTAAAGACCTTCAACCTCGACTCCTATATCAAGCTCCTCCATCAACAATGCCAACCCTCACAATGTCCGACGCTCCACCCCCAACAGCAACCGTCATAGCGACAACCTCTGACCCTCACTCCCCTTTACTCATCGCCTGGGACGTCGTATCAGCCACCTTCCGCTTCATCTACTCCTTCAACTGGTCACTCTACATTTCCCGTCTCTTCCGCGTGCTATCATTTCCCTTTCGCCTCATCCTCATACCCTTGGGATTCGTTCAAAATGTCATTCTTGTCCTCCTTGCTCCCCTGATCTACATCATCTCTTATTCTCTAGCTGGCATTCGCGCCGTTGTTGATTTTCTTGTGAGCCTTGAGGTATGTGATGTAACACGAGCTACAAAGGCCAACTCAGCTAACTTCTTCCTACGTAGCCACTATACACCTTTGTAAGAATCAGATATCTCATTTTCACACCTATATCTAATACTTTGTCTAGTTTGGCGCTGCTGCAGGCGTGGGAATTTTTGCTGGCATCGCTCTGGCAATCTGCTCCTCCCTCATCACCACTCATCTTGGAATGCAAGATGACGATACGGCATCGGAGTGGTCAGCCTCAAAGCAGAGCCTCGCCATTGACACGGGCAGCCGGCGAGATTCATCGGGTAATGAGCTAGAGTGGCAATGGCTTGACTCGCCTAGTCACAGGCGTCGACCAGCCGGTGGTTTGCTCTCGCAGACGATTCACGAGGAGGATGACGACTCGGAATACTAGTCCATATGAAATGAGGGCACAGAAGACAGGGCAGATACTACCAATACCAGGTATGATTCTATAGTTTACACACTATGATCTGAGGCACACAGGCTAGATAACTGCCTCACTAGGACGCGTCGCATATCGTAGATGCGCTGCGTCATGCAATAATGCTACAAACTCGGTCCTTCACAGATCATTATCCCTTCCTTACTTGTTGATATTGTTGCATCACATTAATCCGTTGCGCCGTGTGCGTGCTCTGTTCCCTTGGATAGTTGACCAGAAACTTGACAGACCTTCCCTCTTTAACGCCTACCAATACCGTCGTTCTTTGACCTCTTTCGTCGTCGCTTGCCGGTTATCCTATCTCCGGTACACGTCGCGGTCTGACCTCTCTCGATCCCGCGATCGGTCGTGTCTTGGTGATCGGCTGCGGCTCATCGTGCCACGATCTCTGTCATAGCGGCGATCATCTCTGCTGTCCCTTCGTCGTCGCTCATCCCGTGGTCGGTCGTCCCGGGGTAGTCGGTCATCCCGAGGAGGTCGATCATCTCGAGGTGGCCGATCATCCCTAGGTGGCCGGTCATCTCTCCGTCGACCGGGATCATCTTGCCTGTAAGCCGGGATGTATGTGTCGACATCCGGTCCTCTAGGCACAGGTGGGCCCCGGCTTCGAGGAGGCGCTCGATCCCGGTAATCCGCATCATCGTTAGGAGGCGGACGCGGGGGAAGTCCAGCACCAGGACGTTCTCGCTGCCAGGCGGGGCGGCGCTGATCATCAAGCCCGTTGCGATATCTGCTTCCGTTCACACCGTTGCGACCGTTTCCATAGGGTTCGTTGCTATTGAAGCCTGCTGTAGCACCATTGGCATCGGGTCCCAAACCCACCGTGCCTCCCTTAGGGGCAGGAGGGAGAGCGGCCTTGCGATCATGGAACTTTCTACGGTCCAGCTCGTGGCTTTCTTCATATGTCGGAATCTCATGGGGTTCCAACGGAAGGGGTTGCATCTTGAAGTAGGGGTGCTGCAGAGCATCAACGGCGTTGATTCGCGTCCGCCAATCCAGCTTCAAAAGCTCTCTGAGGAGTGAAACAGGCCCTGATCCGAAGCTAGACATGCGAGGTTAGAGGCGTTCACTGGCTGTTTTGAATGTCAACTCACTCTCTGAATCGGTTCTGAAGGTTCCCTGTTCGGGGTCGAGGCGATAGGTGCTCTCCACCTGGAAGCGATTTCCACCTGGGCATCGTCTCTTCGGTGGGAGATCCCATCAGGTCCCAGATCATCTCAAGCTGATGGGCGTCGCTGTCGCCAGCCAAGATGGGCTTCCCCACCAGCATCTCGCCAAACACGCAGCTATACTTGTTAGCACAAAGAATACAAGAACATTCAAGTCCGTGCTCACCCTACTCCCCAAACGTCAATAGCGGGGGTGTATTGCCGCAGCTGAAGCAAAAGCTCAGGTGGGCGGTACCATCTTGTGACCACCAGACCAGTGTAGTCCCGTCGCCCCTCACCCATGGGTCGTCCAGCTTCAGGCACAGGTCCGTCGTAGTGCCGAGCCAAACCGAAATCGGCAATCTGGAGGATTCCTTGGTTGCTGATGAGCAGGTTGGCGGCCTTCATATCTCGGTGAAGGATATTGTTGTCGTGGAGGTATCGAAGGCCCTCGAGGAGCTGTAGCATGTAGCACTTGATCTGGGGTTCTTTGAAGTGGACGGATGGGTTATCGAGAAGACCGGAAAGATCGTGATCCATGTAAGGCGTAGCCATGTAGACGATGGGCTTTTTGCGCTTGTCGGCTACAAAACAGTTAGTGAGAACAAGGCGATGGAGTGTGAATGGGCGTACTCTGTCTTGTGGGGTGCTCGATGGCCATATCTTCGAGCTTTAGAATGTTCTTGTGCGATAAAAGCTTGAGGAGTTTGATTTCGCGAAGGGCGGTGATGGGAAACTTGATGAGGTCAGAAACGGTGTCATGGTCGCGCAGTGGAGTAGTTGCAAGGACATACGCCATCCTTCTCGTGATGCATGATGATCTTCTTCAGAGCGACGAGAGCGCCCGTCTTGCGCGATCGGGCTCGGTGAACCTCACTGAAGAGGATCAAGTCAGCACAGGCCAAAAAGACGCTCGCCCACAGTGAGCGACAAGGACATGCGCACGCACCCAAAGGTTCCCTCTCCCAGCTTGCCCTGGAGTTCATAATCGGAGATCCGCGAGCAGCCCTTGAAGCTAGAACGAGGCCGCGAATGATTCAGGGCGAATGTGCGCGGCGAAGTGCCGTTAGGCGTCGAGTCCGGGACTTTATCCATGATGCTAGAGTTCGGAATGCGACACTCGAGTGAAGTACGGATTCTGTCTTATCGCTGGGTTGGACGATGCGCGCGCGTCAAGGGTCGAGATAGATATCGAGGCTGGCTTAAGTATCGACTCGGAGGGTTCGCATCGCCCGTCAGAAGCGGTCCATCGAGAAAATCGTGAAGAAGAGGTGATGGAAACGATATTTGACGAAAGAAAAAGGCTCAAGGGTTTTTGAAAAGAGTTGAAAGTTCCAAAGGTGGTGAATTTCATCCGACCTCGATTTGGTAACTTTAACTGACGACTCTCTCAACTCGGAACTTTAGAAGAACAAGGGGAGAGGGAAGCGCAGGAGGGCGGTGAGGCGAAAAAGCCGGCAGAATTTCCCAAAACGGGAAAGCCTGCAAACGCAGACATGTCGTAGGCGGTACGTACCCAAACACCCTTGCAGCATGTGTTTGCATTATCCAGGGCATGATCTTCGTTGTTGAGAGAGATTCTCTGACCTTTTGGGCGATGGCCTTGCAGCAAGGGGTTTTGTGACATCGGGTGGTGAATACGTCATCTCGTTTAATGCTTGTGCAGTTGTTCACTGCTGCATTGCGAGCGGTATTCAAGAGGGCTCGGCAGTTGAATAGACTGCAGTGAATTTGGACATATTTTATTCATTGCATCATTTTAGTTAATTAGACCCTAGTTACGTAGGTGTTCAACGGGAACTCGTCTTCTGTACACCCTGATTTGCAAGGTTGCGTTTGTATGGCCTCAAGCGGCCCCGTAAATCGGAGCTCAAACAGGTCACCCACGACTCAGACAACCCCCAAATTTGGCCACGTCGAATCCACTTTGTTCTAGGCGTTTCGCCAATGGAAGAGATAAAGAAAAAGGGTCCAACAGGTACGGGACCCAGTAGCAGCGGCAATTCTTGACAGCTTTTTTGTGTCCCTGGCGGTTGACTCTCAGACCATCTCCCATTCTCCACGCCCAGACTTTTGTGTGTGACCCCCGCTGGCTACCTATGTCCTGGTTTGTCGAATATTTCTCTGGGGTAAAAAAAGAAGTAAATAGACTCTTACAACATGTTATTCTATCTGGCCACCGAAGGAGTAAAAAGAGTCAGAGCCAGAGTGAGGCTCTCTCACCGAATGGCGAATACGGCCCGGATGCTGTGTTCCGGTTCGAGTCAATGCAAAATCACATGTTGTTACTCGACCGTCGTCTCCGATCAGCTTGTCCATGCTCTTCTCCGTCATTGACCAAAACACCACCACCACTACTGACTTACTGCCCATTGAATGTCCGTTCGCTCACCTTCGGGGTTCAATAGCCGATCACTCGTCAGATCAGATGCTCCCCTGATATTATTAGCCTGCACCTGTGTCCGCGTGGGCAATCTTGCCGTTGCACTCCTCCCCGACTCGCCCAGTCCCCGCGAGAGGTCGAGTTTCTGTTACCCCTTCACAACCTCAAAAGGATCCACTTGATGGCCTCTTCTTCGCCCGCAAGGTTTTTGCGCGAATCCCCCCGGCATCGCGCGTGCCGTGGCTAATTTTTTTCTCACTTCTCCTCTTTCTATAAAAACCTCTTCTTTTTCCTTTGAAAACTGTCTTTGTGTATTGTCTAGTATTCTAGTCATCATTGATTGTCTTAAAGTTGAGCTGCTTACATCAGGCCCCTCTATCTCTCAACCTTCTTATCGAAACGTCACCTAGCACCTTATCTCTACCTCTCAACTACTGAGAAACTCCATCAACCCCCTCAGTAGTCAACATGTCCGACACCGCCTCTAATGGCAATGGCCACCCCGTGGTCCCCGTGATAGTCCCAGAGACAACTTATCCAGAGTCTCGAGTCCTCATCATTGGTACAGGAGGAACCATCTGCATGCAGCAAGGCCCTGATGGCCTTCAACCCACCGATAACTTCTTGGAGAATGCTATGGCCCCTCGACCATCATTCAATGATAGATCCGAACCAAGTGAGTCAGTTCTAGCATTAACCTTGTCAATTGCCCCTGGGTCTCATGATATTTATATGAATGGGAGTCATGAGCATGGGGTCCCTGCACATCATGACTAGGATCGCTTGAGCCTCACTTCAACATGTCATGGCCTTGATAATAGTCCAACTAACATTCGCCAGTCACACTCCCTGCTATTCGCCACGGCGAAAAGATTCAGATTGACAGTCTTCGCACTCCTCCAACTGCCTATGAACGTCACGTCCGCTATGGCATCGTCGAGTTCAACCCCCTCCTGGACTCAAGCTCCATCTCGGCTCATGACTGGGACGCCATGGCTTCCTGCATCCAAGAAAACTACCACCTCTTTGATGGCTTCGTTATCCTCCACGGCACTGATTCACTGGCCTACACAGCCTCTGCCCTCTCCTTCATGATGGAGAACCTCGGAAAGCCCGTCATTCTCACCGGTTCCCAGGCACCCATCTTTTCTCTTCAGTCTGATGGCGTCGACAACCTGCTTGGATCGCTCATCATTGCTGGAACCTTTGCCATCCCCGAAGTGTGCCTGTTCTTCCACCACCGCCTCTACCGTGGCAACCGCAGCGCCAAGGTATCTGCGACTGAATTCGAAGCCTTTGCCAGCCCCAACTGCGAGCCCCTTGCCAAGGTCAACGGTCTAGGTGTCACGGTAAACTGGCCCCTTATCTTGCGCCCAACTACGATTGCAAAGTTCCACATCACCAAGGGCTTAGACACCACACACGTCGCCTGTTTGCGTGTCTTCCCCGGCATCAAGCCTGAGATGATTGATGCTGTGCTTCATCTGCCTGACCTCCGTGGTCTCATCCTTGAGACGTTTGGCATGGGCAACATCCCTGGCGGCGCCGACGGTCGTCTTACACAGATTATCAAGGCTGCAGTTGAGCGAGGTCTCGTTGTAGTCAACGTCAGCCAATGTGTCAACGGTTTCGTCTCTCCCGTGTACGCCCCTGGTACTGTCCTTGGCCGGGCAGGCGTCATCTTTGGCCTCGACCTCACAGCTGAGGCCGCCCTGACAAAGGTTTCATACCTACTTGCACAGCCCAACCTTTCGCTCAAGGACATCAACGAGAAACTATCCCGATCGTTGCGAGGCGAGATGACCGAGATCGCCCACCAGAGCTTCTCCCACCCAGACGGTACTCTCGACTTTGCCGCCTCTCACCTCACGCCCAAGGAGATGGCATTCTCTGCCCTCGGGTACGCCATTGAGAACGGCGAGCTTGGCCTTGTCAAGGAGCTTCTTCAGGGAGAAGGTGCGCAGCTACTTAAGCAGTCTGACTATGCCGGCAACACAGCGGTGCATCTCGCAGCTGTGGCTGGTAGCACCGAGATCCTGCTGGAGCTCCTACAGCGCGGCGCGAGTGTACACGAGCGCAACAAGGCCAACCACTCACCTCTCTTTGTGGCTGTCAAGTCCGGAAAGGAGCCCTGCGCGCAACTACTGCGTGTCGCAGGTGCACACCTCGCCGTGGAGGAGAGAGAGACGCTCCCGGGCTATGTGACACCTCAGTACAGTCAGTATGGGCAATACGGCGGGCACGGCTTCTAAAGTTTTGGGTACAAGGTATTGATTTCTTGACATAGATGGTTTTGAAGCGAATCTGGATGAACAAAAAAGGGACGGTAGCGAGGTTTCGATGCTTTTTCGGATATCCAATTGGATGTGTTGCGCAGGACGATAGATTTGGTTATGGAAAGACTTTGGGTTAGTAACCTCAAAATTAGAGAGGAATTAGTCCAGGGATAGGTACTAATTCAAGTATTAATGAGTCTTGAAGTTGTAATTGAGTATCATGATGAGTGGTTCAGTGTGGAGGCGAGCTTGGCAACGCCGGGGTACATGGAGTCAACTCAAGACTTGATGTTACTCCAGAATAAGTTATTTTCATGATTTGACTGCCAGTTACGGCTCTTGTATATTATTTGGTCGCTCGTTATCTTGTGCTTAACACCTTCAAGTCAAATGGCCTCATTCCTCTGACGTGTATTGTCTGACTGGATGAACAATGACCATGTATACCGAACCAAGGCCCCTGGACAGCAACCAACCAATTACTCGTGAAACCAAGGTCCCAATTGCAATGGCCAAGTCTATAATGAATTAACAGGCTCAAGTAACGCTTAGGTAAACCATATCCCGATTCATCTTGAACTACAACCCAGATCCAATAATAGTCTGGTCTCTCCAACGACTCAAGCCCCATTCTCAAGTCTCCGCGGGGATGCTCACAAAAAGAGGCACGAGCTGCATCCACAAAACATGTCATGGCATCGGCTCCAATTTCGTTCTGTCAGGAATATGTGACGCCTAACGAATGAAGATTCTTTGCGGGGCACTTGAATCGGCCGATATTTTTGTGTTAGGGGCCGAGACGTCAGGTGGCGTTTTCTGTTTCCAGCTCGTCAGATCATGATGGCTTATAAACTTAGCTAGATCTTCCAGATGATGAATTGATATTTCCCAATTATTGTTGAGATCTGGGAGATCTGTTTGTCGTCATGACTGCTGACTCGGACCCGGATCCCAGCCAGGTCACGTACCCCGGGTCGGCGCCGACGATCACGGAGGACGTCAGCCGGCACCGGAACGTCGTCAACCAACGGGGATGGCGCCGTGTCGTGCTCGGCTTTACGCCGTCGTGGTTCACCGTCATCATGGGCACGGGCATCACGTCAATTCTGCTTCACAACCTGCCCTACAACGGTCGATGGCTGTACTGGATCTCGGTCGTCATCTTCTGTCTTAATATCCTCCTTTTTCTGTCGTTCTTGTGTATCTCGATCGTGAGATATACCATGTTCAAGGGGTTGTGGTCCGAAACTCTTCGGAATCCTGCTCAGGCTGTCTTCCTTGGTATTGTTCCTCGTTAGTTTCCCCCAATTCTGACTGACATGTTCAAGGCACATTCCCGATGGGTCTTTCCACAATAATCAACATGATTGTATTTATCTGTGTTCCAGCCTGGGGAGACCGAGCAGCTGTCCTTGCGTGGGCTCTCTGGTGGATAGACATAGTCTTGGCCGTGGCCTGCAATTTTTACCTTCCATACGTCATTATGCAAACGTCAGATGTAAGTCTCCTGCCGTTGCCCATTAGCAAGTTATTGAATCTCACAGGTAACCCTCTCGTCAATGAACGCATCTTGGCTTCTCCCTATAGTCGCCGACATCGTCGCCTCCGCAACAGGTGCCATCGTAGCCAACGTCTTGCCCAATGAGCAGCATGCCCTCTGGACAATCATCATCAGCTACATACTCTGGGGCATGGGAGTATCTACGGCGATGCTGATACTGGCCATGTACTACAGCCGGCTCATGTTCCACGACGTTCCCTCAAATGAGATAGTTGTGTCCTCCTTCATCCCTCTCGGTCCTCTCGGCCAAGGCGCTGCGGGCATTCAACTACTAGGACAAGTGTCCCTCAAACTCTTCAAGAGTAACAACTTCATCCCCGCGACTCCCCTGGCAGGTCAGTTCTTCTACGTAGCAGGAATACTCATAGCGCTCGTAATGTGGGGGTTTGGACTCATGTGGCTCTTCTTCGCACTCGCCGCTCTCTACCGGCGTCGACGGTTCCCCTTCAACCTCAATTGGTGGGCCTTTACTTTTCCCTTGGGCGTGTATGCGGTAGCTACGACCACTCTAGCGCAGGAGTTGCCGTCAGCGTTCTTCAAGGTGCTAGGCACAATCTTGTCTGTCATTGAAACGATGCTGTGGATTATAATAGCAGTGAGAACCGTACGGTGTAGTTTAAACGGGCGGTTATTTCAGTCCCCACCGCCTGGGGCATGGACTGAGAAGAAGAGAGAAAACAATAAAAACAAGGGTACATCGGTGTAACTACCTATTTAGAGCTTAAAATCCAATTTGTAGTTGAATCGCCGGAGAATGGCGAGGTGGGGCCGAGTTGAGCTCCGGAGAACCCCACTTTTGTCCGGGCAGCTTTTGCTTTGTGCCGTCAGCTCGAAGCTTCCAAAGCCTTGTGGAAACGTGAGATGAGGGTTAGGAGCTGGAACTAGTGAAATTTGGAGAGGGGGAATACTGGCACGTAGTCGCAATAGCTCACATCATTTATACTCAACTATAAACCAATCTCAACAATAAAACACGCAATGAATAAATTACAATATCCAGTTAATTAGAGACTGCATTCTTGACTCGCAATTATCTAAAGTTTAGGCTATTCTCATAATCATCAAAGCTGTTGAATGGAATATGCCAAGTCTCAGTTCCCCACACAAGAAGCAGAGCACCTCCACTTCCCCCCTAAGAGGGAGGTACAGCACCTACCCCTGTTTAGTCCATCGCCTCCTCCACTCCATTCAATGCCCATTTGCGTGCTGAGGCCAGATTGTCACCACCCAAAACCACCTTCTTTTCCCCATCGCCGCCCTTGACACAACCTACCTTTCTTCTTCCTCTCTTCATCCCCTACCTCTCTTCTTGTCGGTTCTCACGGTTCTTCTCCATCTTGTCGCCATGCTCTTCAAGTCGTCGATTCTGGCCCTCCTGGCCTCTCAGGTCTTTGGTGCTTTTGCCCAGGTATGTTTTTGCTCTCCCCTTGTCTTTCATCCGCCACCCCATCTTTCATCCTCCCCCTTAGTCGCATGATCAATTGCCTTTGACTCCATCCCCAGAAACACTAACACCTTCTTCAGGACACTTCTGATGCCAACGCCCCTCCTCCCAATGTCGCCCAGCTCAAGGCCGATGTCAGCGCCAGCTTCCCCGACGCCGACATCTTTGGCGTCAAGCTCGTCAACGGTCGTCCCACAAAGGCCGTCATCGAGGTCAACAACCGCGACGATGGCCCCATCCAGATCGCCTTTGTCGGCGGCACCCTCTCCACCACCAAGGAGCTCCCCGCCGAGAAGCCCGCCTACGAGGCCATCGTCCGCAACCTGACGGCCGTCCAGTACAACCTTGAGATCCCCGCCGGCGAGAAGAAGGAGCTCCCCTTCTCCTTTGCCCTCGACATGCAGCCTCAGGATGTTCTCCTCCGTCTTGTTGCCGTTGTCTCCGACACCAAGGGCAACATCCACCAGGTCCAGGTCCACAACGCTGCCGCTTCCATTGTTGAGGCTCCCACCAGCTTCCTCGACCCCCAGATGTATGTTTCCATGCCAATGTCCCATTGAACCAGCAGTCTGACTGTCAATAGCATCTTCCTCTACCTCTTCCTCTCCGCCGCCTTCGCCGGTACCCTCTACTTCGTCTACAAGACCTGGATCGAGGCTCTCTTCCCCCAGGCCAAGCGCACCCGCTCCACCAAGAAGGCCAAGAAGGTTGAGACTGCTGAGCCCCTCTCCGGCTCCGAGGCCACCGGCGCTGCCACTGGCTCTGGCAAGGACTACGACGAGAGCTGGATCCCCGAGCACCACATCAACCGCCCCGCTGCCCGACGCGTCAAGTCCAGCGCCAGCAACAAGAACAAGAAGCTGGAGTAAAGAACCTTCCAACACCTTGCTGGGCTTTCTCCGGCTCCGGCGTCGTCACGAAATGTCGAGAATAATCTCGACGTGACGCGCCATGTAACGAGTTTCCGAGGCGGTGGGCAGAGACGTCCGCTTCCCGTGTATTCTTTCATTTTCGGGTAGACTAGGGGCGAGCGCGTCACAGGCTGGCAGGCAGGGCATGATTTCAATCGCATGATGGACGGATATGCGCAAAATGGTTGCTGCAATGTACATTACCTGTGCCAAAATTGAATACCACGTCATGATATGGGTGTTCGCACTGATTCAGATTTATTCGATATTGCCTGATTGTGACTGTAAAATGTACCAGATCTAAAAGTAAGTTGATGGCTTGTCCGGCAGCCATTCCCTTTTATCTCTCCATACAAATGCTCCAACATAGCTCTCATGACACATCACACGCCGTTTGACTGGCCCATTCTCTCCTCGGCTGCTTCAGCTGCCAGATACCCCATGACGGCCTGCTCCTGCAACCGCGTATCCTTCTCTGGGGCCTCCTCTTGCCTAGCAACATGTCCAAAAAGGCACTCCCAGAGATCATTCTTCTCAACATTCTCACCGGCAGTCTTGTCCTTGCTCATGAGCCGTGACAGGGCCGCCTGCTCCAGCTCGAGCGTGTTGGCTTCGTCAATACTCGCCGCGAGCAGATCGGGAGTCGAGTCCTTCGACTTGCCCTTGCCAGTGCGGCGCAAATGCTCCATGCGCCGCTGCACCGAGAGGTTGTAGATGGACTCTTCCACCGTGCCCGTAACAAGGTAGAGCCACACCGTAGTCTCGTGCTGTTGGCCAATACGGTCGACACGAGCAATAGCCTGGAGCTCCAGCGCAGTGTTGAGAAGCGGCTCGCAGAGAAACACGTGGCTTGCATTGACAAGATTCAGACCACTTGAGTGTGCGCGAGCGTGCAGGAGGAAACATTCGACCGAAGGGTCTTCCTTGAACCTGGTGATACCGTTGGCATCGTCGATGGACGTAAAACCGATCCTGGATCGTGAAAAGGCGTTGCGAAGGATGGCCAAGAAGCCCTTGTACTGGGAGAAGATGATAGATTTAGCTCCAGGGTCCGATTCTCGTAGCCAAAGGAGGTGCTTGACCAGAGTATCAACCTTGGTCGTGAACGAAGCTCCATCAAGCTCAATGTTTTGGATCTCAGCCAGCTGGTCCGCATTGAACTCGGAGTAGATTAGCGTCTTGTTGGACAACGAGTTGCGCTTCTGGGGGCTATCCCCCACCTCATTCTGTTCCTGCTCAGGGTTGTCGTTGAGCACCTTCAGTTGCTGTGGGTTTATGGTGATGTCGTGTAGATTGGACGACTTGAGCTTCTTCTTGCACACAGGGCAATTGTGGTGAGCTTTGAACCACAACATCATGCACTCCTTGCAGAACTGGTGTCCGCACACCGTCAGGACGCCAACCGTGAACGGCGTCTGGCAGATGACACACATGCGGGGTTCGTTGGACTTGTTTCCTGATTCCTTGAGGTTGAGGACTGGAGAGGTTAGCCAAGGTCAAGTATCTTGGACACAATACTTACGGTATCTATGCTTGGCTTCGTTTGATGAAAGCTTCTTCCGGAGGTTGTCCTCTGTCTCCTTCATCTTCTTCATGGTTTCTTCTGTGTTGGACCCTTCGTACGGCAGAACGCTGTCCGAAACTACCTGCAGCTGACGGTAATACTCCACGCGGAGGTTCATGATGTTCCTGAAGTGCTCTACTTCAGCCTCAAGTGCAGTTGTTGCCTTGCTCTGCTTGTTGAGAAGCGCCTGAGTGGCCTTTAGTTGTCTGTCGGCAATTTGCGCCTCGAGAACGCTCCGGTTTGTGTCCTTTGCCAACCTCGACGAAAGTGCTCGAAACTCGCTAATGGCCTTCCGCATTGAGGTCGACTGCGGCTTGATTTGGTCTCGAAGGGTCATCAACTCGATGAGTTTCTGAGGAGCAGGACCCTCGCCTTCGCGTGCAAACTTGAGTGACATTTCTGCCTCATGCTTGATCAGCTCGTTCGACTGCCCAGTCAAGGCATCCTGTCGATCTGCCACGATGGCTCGCAGTGCCTGCACGTAGACCACCACCTCTTCCTGGATTCTAGCCGACTCCCCCATTTCCTCGCCAGTTGTGTCGACTTCATCTTCCTCATCCACCAAGGGCTTCAGGAGAAGTCCGATGAGGTATTCTCTCCACTCGTCAATCACATTTGCTTGGTCGTTCAGTTCTCCATATAACGCCTCTAAGTCGTCTATGATGCGTCCGCTTTCTATGCCTCGTTCGGTCCCTGCCACTAGCTCTGGGAGCTCAGCAAAGGACTGTTCAGATGCCTTCTGCGCTATTTTCTTCATCAATCGAGTCGCTTTGCCATGAGACTCACGCAAGATCTCTCTTCGGATGGCCTTGGCCTCATTGTACCCATCATCCTCGAGCTTTCTTAAACGAAGAAACTCTTCAGATTCGGGTTCGGTAATTTCAGGATTGTCACGTATCTGGAAGTAGGCGTTGGCGCAGAAAAAGACAGCCCTGTGCTCCATCTCGAGTGCTCCGCGAAGTCGGCGTCGGCTCTCGCCCAGTTGGCCTTTGCTTCCTGCCTCCATCTCATCTTCAGAATCTTCCTCTTGGTCACTGTCAGCATCCGCTTCGAGGCTTCCATTTGTATGGCTGGCAGTCAAAGCCTGGAACTCGGCTCGAGCATCAGAAACAAGCTTGCGTGTCTCTTCTCGGACAGACGTCCAAATTTCCAAGGCTTCCCGAACCCGTGGGCTGTTTTCATACAGCTGACCTCGAGTCAGCTTGCTAGAGAGGTAAGCTTTTTCATCTGCTCGTATAGCAACTTCGCTCTGTTCGATCATGGCATCCAGGACCTCGTCGACAGTTCTCATCGGTCGGTTCTTGTTATGGCCAAGCCGACGGTTGTACCCTGCAACTTCAGGGTGCAATGCTGTCTGCCTCAGCCGGTTCAACCAGGTTCTCATCGACTCCTCGTGCTCCTCCGGCTTCCATTCATCTACAAGAGGTGCCCCATGAAGATCGAGATCGCACTCCTCTGCCATTTCGCGAAACAGTGTTTGATAATGTTGCTCTTCGACAGCTGTGAATGGCATGCTTATCACAAAGCGCTTCTGAGGGGGGAGTACCAACTCATCCCGAACCATCGACTTCGTGTGGCGAACTGCAATACTGTTGAAGAGGCGCTGGAATATGGGCTTGTGTCTTTCGATCATGGCCCGCCAGATGTAAGTCGAGGTGCAATACGGCTCGTATTGTAGGAACAGCAGCAAGCCAAAAAGATCATTGACGTCGTCCTTGACTGGAGTTCCAGTGATTCCCCAAGCATTGACACGAGGAAGCACCCGGGCCACTGTTGCCGCTTGGCTGACACCACTCTCGATCATCTGTGCTTCGTCCAGACAAACTCTCCACCATGCCAATTGCGCGAGGGGCGACTTGGCTCGGGGATAAACTCGTGCGTGTCGTCGTGAACGCTCAGGGGGTGCGCCTACGAAATGAAGCTCGGCCGACAGAATCGAATATGTGGTGATGATGATGTCGTGCCCGGCGAGCTCATTGATAATCTGGTCCTCATCATCAGACATCTTTTTCCGACCCTGGTAAAACTTGACGCTCAATCCAGGGGCGTGGCGAGCGATTTCCGAGATCCACTGGGCCCTCAGTGACTCGGGTGTCACTATCAACGTGGCGCCGGTAGGCGTCAGGTTCGCCTGAACCTCATAGTCAGTCGCCACTAGAGGAGTCGCTCTTTGGTGGAGCAGAACAAGGCCAAGAATCTCCAGGGTCTTCCCCAAGCCCATCTCCTCGGCCAAGATGCCGCCTTTGACAGACGCTTCCGCAATTCGAAATGGCGCCGGATCCCTTGTGACGACATGAAGCAGTTCGTTCAGATAGTAATCATTGCCCGCCACGTCGACCAGCTTGCGAAAAGCATTCACGGGCTCCTCTTGGTCGGCCGGGTAAGGAACGACGGTCTTTTCGGTGTCCGACCATTGGACACCTTCTCGTTTCAGAAGCCACTGCAAAGTTCTCTTTTGGTACGGGAACAAGGTTGCTTCAAGAACAGGAACTTCGATGGTTGAAGGCATCTGGTCGTCCTTGGGAGGAACGAAAGCTGCATCGTAGAAATCCATGGGAGACCATGAGCGGTCGATCTGGGCAGAATCGGGGAGCAGAGCGTCAATCAAGACTTGGCTTTGACGTCGGTCCGCCGTTGGCCTCAATTGGTGCAATAGTGACGGGGTTTCATTCCAATGGTAAACGTGAGTGATTAGTATTGTCACCTTTCTTCCGGATCTCTGTACCATCACGTCAACCGTGTACCACAAAGCGCCCGGGCGTGACTTTGTTTGAGCAGGACCAGCCTTGGACAGAAGTAACCTTGCCCTCTTGTCCGCGTCTTGGGGCCTCAGAGTAACGTGGGGGTCACTGTACTTCGGGCCTGCTCTGAACGAGATTTGGAGAAGATTAGAAAGAATGAAAAAGTGGACATGTTGGCCAACGTCTCGCCGAGTTGTCGTGAAATCCGTGGACGCAACATCAGCGCACTCGCGAGAAATCGAGACCTCGGTCTTCAAGACAGGAACCGAGGGCAAGGCGGGACCAGAAGTCTTCTTGCGCCGCTTGGTCGGCGGCTCACTAGACGATGAGGCTTGGCTTGAATCTTCGGACTGTTCGGAAGATGGAAGATTGCAAAGGCCCTCGATAATATGTGACGGCATCATGGCTAGCATAAGTCAGAGTGAGTGTGTTAATAAGTGACCGAGACAACAAACCATCAAGGCCAACCTGCTGATGCCGGCCGACAAACATCTCGGCTTCTCTTGAGAGTTTTTTCTTTGTGTTCTGGAGATGAAAAGACTGCCGACCGAAGAATGTGTGATGAAAACAAAAAATTAAAGAGAAGGATGGTGTAGCTGGAAGGATGCAGGTCGAGGAGGGTAGGTAGTCCTCGAGGTGGGATGTCAGCCTGGCCGTTGTTATCAGTAACTAACCAATGAGTGAGCTCCGATAGTGCGCCACACATGCCAAGTGGACCGCACTCGACCACGGTGGACCAACAGCCTCGCTTACCTAATGCGGGCCCATCGTCAAATTTCGAGAGCAATGTTCAACGGCTCATGAGACTCTAGCGAAGCTCGACGACGACCGAGGATAGAGGCGGAACTCGTAGCCATTCGACCCATTGAACAGTGTAGGCTTTCTCCTCGGCTTCAATTGCCCATCATGATCATTGGTTTCAACGACTAACATCCATCTTTAGCAAAATGAAGGGCGAACGACTCCGGTCAACCTTTGGCCTGCTTCTGCAGACCGGCAGCGCCTTTTCGCGGACAGGACAGATTCGACAGCTGCACAAGACGAGGCCAGCACCGCCGATTCCCCAGCCCCGACCTTTTGTTCCCGACGTGCCGACTTTCCTTACCCTGATCGGCCGCGGTCTCAACAAGTACGCCAACAAGTTCCCCTCATGGGAGGCCCTCTTCTCCCTCACCTCCCCACAACTCAAGGAGCTGGGCATTGAGCCACCCCGGAACCGACGATACCTCCTCCACTGGATGCACCGATACCGAGAGGGCGCTCTGGGACCCGGTGGAGACTTTCAACATGTAAAGGATGGAGAGGCGCTGCTCAAGGTTGCGACACCACCGCCATCGAGCCTCAGCGATGCCAAGTGGGTTGTCAACGTGCCCCACGAGGTCGAGGGTGCCGCCGCGGAGCCTTCTTCATCTCTGGTCCGGCCACAAGGATACAAGGTGCTGGGCGCCAAGACGATTGCAGGACCCTATGCCACACCACTTCCCGGACTGGACGGTGCCGTGGTCAAGGTGACGGAGGGAATGTGGGAGAACCGCCAGGGCCGCAAGATTGACGGTGGTGAGCGCAGAAGGGCCGAGGTCCGATTCAAGAGGAGGTCTGCGGAGCGGAGGGCCGAACGTGAGGCCGAAATGATGTCGAACCTGTAACGGCCGGGCAAAGGAAACGATACGACGTGTACATTTACCACTGTAGTTTTAGCCGATTCAACTTATGGTTCATGGCCATTTGGCAGAGCATTTTGGCTATGGTTGTTGTTGTTGTGAGTTGGGTAAGATGCCTAACAACTACGTTTCAAGCCTGAGTTCTCTTTCAACTTGGAAACTATACGATGAGATATAGTTTTACCTAGTAGGCATTGACTCATCTCTCCCACCATAGGAACGATCTACTATATAGTAAACCAGTTTCAGGGATCATTCTCCCATCAACACCAGATCTAGTCCAGTGGATCTATCAAGGCGGTGCATTTCCCCAAAAGGGCTGACGGAGCCGTTACCTTGCGAAGAAAAAAGGGCCCCCAGCCCCCTAGACAAGCGAGTGGCGAAAAATAAGAAGACAAATGCTCCTTTTGAAAAAGATGCCTTAACATGACCTCGCTTGAAAAAAGTTTAATTCAACGTCGTTTCTTGTGAAGAGCCGCATCCTGTTGTGGTTTGTTTGTAAGCGATGACGAAGACGGGGTGTGTGCGTGAACGGAAAGATCCGCATTTGTCTTGGGGTTTATCGAGTTTGGGAGTCGTAGGGCTGAGAAAGAAAAGAATGGTCTGATGCTTTTTTTATATGCAAGTAAAGTCGAGTAAAGGTGTATGGCGTTGTCTATCGGTTGAAGCCACGCGAGTAGACGGCGGCCTCTAGAAGCATTCCATGCACGACAAGATAACCCGTCCACATGGACGATATGCCCAGTATTGTCTTACTTGGTGGCAACTGTCACCACATCGATTTAAGCCTTGGCAATGGTATGTAGAGACATTATCGAACGTTGCCAATCCTAGAAATACAATATTGACAGAGGCCTCCAAACTCATGAGCATTACAGCCTTCCTTAATCCCAGTCATGAATCCCATACAAGCACCAGACCACGGCAAATGACACGTTCCCGCCGCGTCGCTCCCAACGCCACAAAACCGTTCATGTCGAGCCATGGTTACAGGAAGCGAAGCTGCTCTGCGGTGCGGGGGGGAGGGAATGACGGACCATGGATCATGGGTCTTTGAACAAGGCAGTTTTTTTTTTTCTTGATAGGAGTAAATATCCACCAACCCTTTACCCTTGTTCATTCGAAGGACGACGCCGTGCGAATCACTCCCGTAGTGCCGTAGCCCCACGTTCAACGTGATGCTGATTGGGGTCGAGATAGTCTACAGTACCCAGCAGCGTTGACCTCCTGGAGGGGAAAGGTCTGGCCTTGTGCTTGGCGTGGTATTGAATGGATCTGCTGTCATCCACACTCGCCATTGACATCTCCGAGGATTAAAGGATGAGACCCCTGGATAGTTGAGCTTGGACGGTGGATGGGTACTGTATCCGTACCCCAATATCACACCCATACCCTATATCATTTCACATCGCGGACCGTTGTGAAACAGAAAAAAGCTGCATGTGCCGAGGTGGGCTTAAATAGCCTTGCATATTCGGCGTGACTCTTTCAAGGATCGACAACGGTAACATTTGGAGTCGTGGTTCAGACCTGTTAGCGTTGTCATGCAAATGTGCAATGTCTGGTAGCGAAATGGCACGCGCAGCCGGCGTGGACGCCACGTTCTTTAAGAATAGAAACCTCCATTATAAAGGTGGCTTGATGTAGGTGACCATGGACGGCTCCTTGTTACATTGACGAGTTGCACAAGACTCGCCCATTGGCATTGGTGACAATGGTCTTCAGCTCTTGGATTCGTTGTGTGATGGCTACATACTCTGCACAAGACGTGAATATCCATGCCATGGATGCCATGAGACCCAGATTGCCAGCAAAACATCCATTGTCAAAACTGCCTTGCCAGGCCGCTAAGGCTCGTCGGTGCAACTCTCATCTGGATTGGATGAAGCCAAACCCTGTCAAGTCGGGCTGGATGGACGAAAGCACGGCCGCAGCCATCATGTCCGATCCCATGGGATGTTCATTTTAACGCAAAAAAAAAAAAACCCTCTCTCTTTGGTGAGGAGATCGGGGGCTTCACACCAACACAGACTTACAAGAAGGTATTTTAAGTAACAGCAAAAGGTGACGGACGCCGTTCGTTGGTTGGACAAGCGAGCGAGGGGCGGGTGAGAGGCGTCAGGGATGGCCCGACCTGACGGGTTAGAGTTTCTTTCTTGTTGATCTAGTCTAGGAACCTTTGTCTTGCAGATCCCTCTTTTTTGGTACAAAAGGCAAAAAAGAAAGCAGACTTGAGGGGAGATTGCTTGCTGTCTCTCTCACTCACCGTCAAGTGTGAAGAGATGTCTCGATACGCAGAATACGGGTGACAGAAGGCATCAAGAGCTGCCTAATTTTGGACATTGCTGTCTTCTTGTCTGCAAGGGTATGAATGAGCGAGGTTGTATTGAGTGAAAGGTGACGACGTCGATCATCAGGGATCACTAATACAAGTGAACAAGGGACCCAAACACGACAATTATTCACACCGAGTATCTTATCCGAATATTCCCTGGATTTGTCAGGAGGCTTTACTCCAGGGGGGTCACGACGACGCCCTTTACAAGACAACAAGATGTGAGGGTTTTAACTGCAGATGACTCTTTGCTCTGTCCTTTTTCGTATTTGGATGGATGCTGAATAATGTGCCCTTGTATATGCTAAATGCCTTGCCAAGACTTGCTTCCCTGCTGGCACATCACCACCACCACCAGGCGAAGAAACAAGGTTACAGCTGGGAATACTTGTAGGGCTGATGCGACCGACGGGCAACTCGGCCTCGCGCCTCGCCTCCCTTGATTTATCCTAATCTGGCATGTGGGTATTTTCCGAGTCGAGCATCACCACCAAAGAGACAAAGAGAGGTCTGGACCATCTGGACTGTTGTTGCATCACCTGGACAACCTACCATTCGTTTGTCGTCACCACCATGATGAATCCAAAAACCTGTGGCTCATTATGCGGCGCGTCCATCTGGCATCTGCCTGGCGCCCTGGGGCTTGATTGAACATGTGTGCTGCAGGCCCCAAGGCAGCAAGATATCTTGTATCACAGCCGTTCCAGAATCTTGCCGGCATACGCGCAAACTACAGTAGCATAACGGTTGAGCATAACGGGGGCACATCTACACAAATGAATGGGGTTGCCTGGGGCTGGATGGCCTCAAGAGAATCCAAGTGCCTGGGACGATTCCTAAAACGACGCCCAATTGATCCTTGTCCCCGGCACATGTTCCGTCTGTGACAGGGATACTTGGAGTTGAAGAAGAGCCAGCAACAAGTTAACATTGTGCAACGTCTTTCTATTGCTAGCTCATAATAATAGCCCTTGTTAATTTGTCCAATATCCACGCCTAAACTCTTTACAGAACAAGTCTCCCCCCAAAAAAACCCGCCCGCCTAAAACAACCCCAAGCTCCGCTTTGTCTTGTGTCGTCGTTTTCTCGTCGTATATCTCGCATTCGGCCGCCTGGCCCTGTAGGGTGCAGTACCACACCCGTTACGCTCGTGCGGGTGGCTTGGTCTCTGGGGGTGGGTGATTTCCCGAGGGGACGGATATGTGTGAAAGAGAGGCGTCACAAGCCGACGCGTCTCTGCTTGATTAATGCCGTTTGTAAAGAGGTGATTCTACCCAAAAAACTAATCATCTTGTTCTCAATCTCGAGGTGTGACGTCGACACATACGCAGCCCTACCAGGAAAAGACAAGACAGCCTCGCAACCCCCCCTCCCCCCATGCAACTTTCGGAGAGCGCGGCCCCAGGACGATGACTCTTCCCGTTTGTCACGGGGACGGCCAATTACTCAGAATGTGAGTGAGTCTTTTGCTGCATGGCATGTGTCTGACCGTTCGTGACGGGACGGGCTCAAGCCTCCTGTCACTCGTCTACACCACTACTCGGCGACGTCAAGCCCCATTAGCCTTGTACCTGCCTAGCAGAGCCTGGCTTCTTTTTTTCCTTTTCCTTCTTCCCCCGGCGAAGTGAGGTTATGGTCCCGGCCGGCGGGCGGCGGGCGGGTCGGACGGACACCCTCCCCTCCCCACTCCCGTTGTCACGGACACTCCCCCCAATCGACACACACCCTCCTACCGCTGCTCAAGCCTCCCAAGATTTCACTCTTTTCCATTCCCACGGTCACACTAGACACCCCGGCTGCCAGGGCTGAGAGGGGCCCATATGGCAAAGGGGAAAAGAGTAGGTAGACTGTGAACGGAGGGCGTAGACGATATGAATAGAGCCACCTCCAACTTCCAATTAGGAATCCTAGTTATTCGACTCTTCTCTCTCTCCCTCCCCGTCCACTCTCTGATCCCAATTCATCACATCGACTCGTGTCCTCTGCGTCACCCATCGTAATTCATTCCCCATACAAACAGTCTGCCCTACCGGGTCCCCCGTCAACCCTCCTTGTCTTGGTATTCGTATACACCCCCCTTCCAAGCCCCGGTCCCGGCCGACTCTCTCGGGGCTTGCTCTGCTGCAGATCCACTGTCGCATGGCCGTCGACATCTGGGTCCGTCAGGTACTACCGATGATGATGAGGATCATGGCACAGGGCGGACTTGTCTGGTACGTGACCCATGTCTCTTTTGCATCTTGACTCCCGTCCGCCTTTCTTTACACTGCCCTGCATGTCTGTATGTGCATTTGTCCCGCTGCTTGTCAAGGACCCCTGTTCAGTACCGGAGTCTTGAGATATCCCCAAGTCTAAGCCTGCAGCTTGTCTGCCTAACTGCTATCAACCCCTTGAACTGTTATATATCAAGACCTCGTCTACCTGGCTCGAGATTATCTTTACCTTCAACAACTTACACCGTTTTGCAGATTCAACTTTTACTTGCAAGACCCTGAACTTTTATGTTCCTTCTTTACTACTACTCTTGTCTTGACAACCTTGAAGCCCTGACCTGGGGCTTTTCTTGAATGATACTCTGAGGGTAGATGTCATCGCCGAGATACTCTGCCTCCGACTTGCAACCCCCAGAGATCAGAATACAAAGCGCTTCCCCAGAAGTTCCACAAGCCCAGCAAAGCCAGTACCAGTACCTATACGAGGAGGAACTGGAAGCTTCTGAAGAACTTGAACAACCTCGCCGAGCCAAATCTCTGCCTTCTGAAACTCCCCGTGAGGGACATAGAAGGCACAGGAAGAAGAGATCTTCCAACACGGCGCACCTCGAGACTCCCGAGGTAGATCCCAGAAACAACAAGATGGCTGGAAGCTCAAAGCATAGCTCCAGCAGTTCCCGAAAGGGCAGCTCTTCCTCTTCTTCGTCAAAGAAGTCAAAGTCAAGTCCCAAGGATGATCTTGACTGGACCGACGTGACAGATCCTGAAGAGAGACGGAGAATCCAGAACCGCATTGCTCAGCGCAAGTTCCGTAGGTTAACGCTGCTTAACTGCAACTGACGGTAGGCTAATAGAGCTATAGGAGAAAAGGCCCGAGAAAACAAGGAGAAGGCTGAACGAGACTCGCGTAACCAAGAGTACGCGGGCAACAGCTACCGCATCCCAAACCCCGGCGACTTCAGCACAGATCCAGAGCCCTCAGGTCTCCCCTGGGGGAGCGTCAACATTGCGCACTTTGTAGCGCGAGGCCAAGAGGTCGAGAGCCGACGGAGTAGCGGACGAGGAACATACAGTGGAGACGACGGCTTCGCGACAGCGACATACGGGGCTTCACCGTCTTATGGAGGAGCTCAATGGACGCAACATACAAGCTACGGAGGAAGCAGCGGAGGAGACGAGATGTATTACGACGATTCATATCTGTACGACCCGAACCTGCAGCAATGATGGAGGGCTGAGCGATGTGTAAGTGATGCTTATGATGCTTCTCCTGAGACAACAACTAACAGGATATCCAGTTTCTGGTATCTGAAGCATAGAGGAGGACTGAAATGGAACGTATCATGAAAGATTGGAACTGCACATGTATCACAAGGGCTTGGTTACTTTTGCAATACCCCCCTCCCTGATGAGATGATGTTTTTGGGATTTCTATTCTAGGAGACGGCTGAGATTTCCTTTTTTTTGTAAGACGACATGACTCTGCTTCTTCTTTTTTTTCCTTTTGTGGCCGAGGATAACGGCAAAGATGCTGGATCTCTTCTCTATTTCTATTCATAGACCAGACTCTCTTCTTTTGTTTTTATAGGTTGGGGCGTTGGAGACTGGGGTGGGAAAGAAGGATATGATTAGGGGATCAAATTCCACACACCGATAAAGAGACTGAGGATTTCGTATTCCCAACTTTTGAAATGGGCCATCGTGATGTCTTACTGAATGCGCCAAGTTGTCGATCCCCTTGGCGGGACACTGACAGTTGTCAAGGGGTGAGGGAGACACTTGGGGATGGCCTCGAGTTGAACCCCTGGGTGTGTATCGAGTCGTAGTCAACCAGTGAAGAAACTACTCGAGAATAGGGCGAGCTTGGCTTGATGTCCTCCTGAGCCATAACGGAGAATACATGGTGGCTTAGCTCTGCCTGGCTTGCCAGAGACGTCTCTCACCCGCATTCCAGATACGTCACCAAAAACCCAAAGGAACCCCAGACGGGACGGAGCCCTGGTCCGCTTCCACGATGTCTTTGGGCCTGTCGGCTGCGGCGTTTGGTGACAGACATCCATTGCAACCCGCGGGATCCGGGGTCCCATCACCAAGGCATCCTCCTCGGCAGTTGAGACAAGGGACCAACGTGAAAACCGCGGGTACCTAGGTTGTTTGGTAGTTTAAGCCTTGTATACAGCACGTGCCGTGAAGCTCATAAGGCTACTACCCAGGACCATGCTGTTGGCAGATCCAGGGGATGGAATATCACATAGGGCAGCAAGCGTGAAACGTCCCGCCGACCCGCAGAAAGAAAGAGGACCTGGACCCTTGAGAAACTCCTGCCTGGGAAGTGGATGGAACACTCATAGACGTACGTACATGCGTGCGTAGCATCACTCCCCCCCAAGGACGAGCCACTTAACATTGGAGGAATAACCTGGTCCCAAGGTCAAGGTAGTGTAGGTAGTAAGTGTGTGTACCCGCCGCTAATCATCACGTCGTGTCCCTTGCTGCAGTGCGCAAGGCAGATTCAGCGGCAGGAACCCACCCGTTGCGGCGGGTCGTGATTTCCTTCGTCTGCACGACCAAAGAGGGAAAGAGGAGCCCATCTCTATTAGGAAGACGATTCGAGAGACAGCGGCCGCCGAGAAGCGACTGACATCATCTCGAAAATGAGGGAACACGAGGAATAAGGTGGGAAATCGAGATGATGGGCGTTTTTCGTGCTGACCTTGACTCTATGCATTCCCCAATTGACATATGGACAAACATAATTATAGAACCTGGGGCTTGCATATTCTATACCTTGTCATCTCGTACATCTTACCGTGGACCGATGCTTATCCGTCACCTCCAATAGGTGTATATCCGATTATTCTTCATCTTATGCAGAGACGGTTACAGTGTAAATCGCGGAAAGCCTTAGCTGAAGGCGCGGATGCCCCGCGACTGCCTCTTTAGGCAACCTCAAATCTGCTCGGGAGCTGTTGGCAAACGCCCGAGCTCCACATCCACAGGGAAGGCACGGAACGCCCCTCCTTCCCACACGTCCACACACCCCTGCTGCAGGCTAACATTTCACCGCCCGGCAGAAAAAGTAGGTAACGATGTTCTCCAATGGCCCAGACAAACCCATGAAGCCATCACCAACTCTTGTTCATTTCATCGTACCCCCCACACCCGTTGGCGTCGAGGCCCACTTTGCAGACTACCATTGATCCTTCGAGATCTTCGAATCTGCCTTTCTTCGCCGCTGTGATCCCCCAAAATCTGCCTTCCTCGCAACGAGAAACGACCTAGCCGCCATGTCGGAGTCCACGAACCCCGGTCCCAAGATGCACCCTGACCGGCTGAAAGCAGGGAAAGGTAAGGCGGCTACCGGCCTAATATCAAGCGCTTTCTTACCAGTCTTATGCGCTCTTCCTCTTGCACCCCTTTTGCTTCCTGTAACGATACGAAGAAAGAGAGTGAACCGTTGCTAACATGATGCGCCGTGCGTGCTTGCAGCTCCGGCTCCCAAGCGCAAGATCGACAAGAAGCAGATCAAGGCCGAGAAGCGCATGAAGAAGCGCACTGCCAGGGCAGAGAAGCGCGCCGCCAAGGCAGCTGCCCAGGAGCTCGAGGGTCCAAAGCCCAAGGTGCCACCTTTGGTCAAGGGACAGGTCAAGATGCAAAAGATGAAGATGCGTGTGGAAAAGCTCGAGAGGGAGGGCCACCAGAAGCTGGCCAAGGCGAAGAAGTTGGCCGCTCAAGTCCAGGCCATCATCGATGCTCAGGTGAGTAACGGTGTTGGAGGTAATTGGTCTTTTCGATCTGACTTGGGAACTACAGAATACCAACCAGTCCGAGTCCAAGCCCGAAGACAAGGATGAGGATATGCTTTCCATTTCCGGATCCGAGGCTGAAGAGGCCACTTCTGACAGCTCTGCCGATAGCGATGGCGGCGTTGACGTGTCTAAGCAACCCACCGAGGTTCCCCCAGAGGTCCCTGCCGACGAGGTCGTTATGAAGCACCGCCGATTGAGCAACGCTGCCTCCGAACGAAGCCACGTTTCCCACGTCGAGACCCCCGCTGAGACGGAGCCCAAGAAGGAGAAGAAATCAAAGAAGTCAAAGAAGGCCAAGGAGGTTGAGGCGGAGGAAGAGGCTGTCGAGGCCGAGGCCGATTCTGAGGCTGAAGAACCTGCCGTTTCCGAGAAGAAGTCCAAGAAGGCTGAGAAGAAGCGCAAGCGAGACAGCGAGGTCGCTGACGAAACCTCCACCAAGAAGGAGAAGAAGAAGGGTAAGGGCAAGAAGGAAAAGGAGGATTCTTCAGCTGACGCCCCGGCTGAACAGTGGCACGTCGATGAGGTTGAGGGTGGTTCTGCTCGACAGGCCAAGTTCCTCCGGCTTTTGGGAGGAAAGAAGGGTGGTGCTGGCGCTGGCGCACCTGCGACCTCGCATGCTTCCAAGGGTCAATCAGATTCGACCAAGGCCGAAGCTGAGATCCAGAAGCAATTCGAAGCCGGCATGAAGATGAAGAACGAGGGCGGCAGCAAACGCCGTGGCCTCGGTGCATAGTTTTGGACCTCTTCGTGGAGGCTGATGTTTAATTTCCCATCCATCATTGATTCTCACCAATTAGTGGCACGGCGTCAGGTAGACAAAAAAGACAAAGAACAAAAAGCAAAGAGACCCAGTTGATATTTTTGCTCTTCGAAAAAGAAGCCGATTATATTTGATTCCATTTTGCGCCGATTCTCCCCCAAAAGTTCCATGTGATATCAAGTCAACTCTTCAGTTTCAGTGAAAACAAAATTACAGGTATAAAAAGCCTTTCCCCCTTTTTTGTTTCCAGCCGGTCATGGCAGTTGGGGTAGAGAACATTCCCATAAAGAAAAAAGGTATCGGTGCAGATGACGGCCTGCTTCTCCGGTTTTTTTTTTTGCACCACTGGAGGAGCCATTGTTTTTTGTCGATTTGGTGTTTTTGGTTGTGGTTTTCGTCGAGTAGAGACGTCTTGTCTTAACCGAAGAATCGGGAGATGGCCTCGAAGACGAGACCGCCAAAGATGATGAAGCCGAGGAGGACTGTACAGAGGCGTGTTAGCTTGATCATACGTAGTGGTAGGGAGAGATGTTGACGTACCAACCCAGAAGAGGGAGATGGGAGACTTGGGAGTCTCCTTGACGCGCTGCTTGATCTGGCCCTCAGACTTGCCCATCTTGGCCTCGTTCTCCTTTGCGAACTTGGCGTTGCGACGTCGCTGCTCGGGGGTTTGCGCCTGCGAAAGGGTTCCATCATGTCAGCCTCACTTCATCATGGGATCGTCGGTGGGAAGAAGCTATACCATTTTGAAGGTGTAGGGGTTTGTTAGAAGGAAGAACAGGCTTCAAGATTTAGATGCAAAGTATAGACAGGGAGAAGTGAAGGAAGAAGAGTGATTGCTGAAAGGATTGAAGAGAGGCTGAATTGATATGCGCTGTTGGTTGAAGAAAGGGAGAGGACTTTATTAAGAGGGGACAGATTTCATAGATTAATAGAAGCCACCTTATGACCCTCCCCCCCCCCCCCCTGGAGCTCACTTTACTTCGCGCAAGTTGCAGGGTGTCAACACTTTTGGGGACATGTGTTCCTTTCCCTTTTAGTGCCCACCCAGTTCCCTTCAATTCCTCCGCCCGCCGGCCCCACCCCCGCCGAGCTGTGCCACACATCCCTTTTTTCAGTATGTGGCTGGTGCGGTTGAAGCTTATCGATTGTCGCTCATCCAGGTTGAAGCGCAAGTCAAACATATCATCATGTCTACCACGATGCGGTCTGCAATGGCCCTTAGGGGTGTTTATATGCGGGGCTCTATGCTTCAAAGGAGAACCTTTGCGAGCAAGGCAACTAAGCCAAGTGTAACTGTAAGACCCTCCCAGACAATTAATGACATGTTTGCTGATGGATGAATAGTCCCAATTCTACCGCAGCTTCACACGGCCAGTCGCAAAGACACTACTGCTCGCCGTCTTCACTTACCAGCTTGTATACTGGGCGTGGGTGAAGCTCGAGACGGATGAGGTCCGCGCTGAGCGAGACGGTAAGCCTGGGTATTCTCCTAAGGAGGCATGGGTAACTAACGACAGTGTCTAGCGACAATTGTTCAACTCGAGACAACAATCAAGGAGCACGATGCTGCAACAAAGGCCAAGGAGGGAAAGGCATAAAGGTTTGACAAGATTCGATTAAGCCAGGTTGCTCTCTGTATCATATGACGGACAATGAGTGTATAATATCATGATATCTTTTCTTCATGCAATCCCATTATCAAGCTCCCAGTAGTTGATGTTACAACTATATCGCACACTGGAAAATCTACTGTATCTTGCGGCTCGAAAAAACCTAATTCCCAAGCAAAGGCTTCTGATGCAACCGTCTTCGAGGCTCATCTTGCCCGAACGCCTTTTATAAACGCCAAACATAAACACTCAAGACGAAAGGCCTCATAATCCCAACCAAACCATCAATGGCACCGCACTCAGTAACAACACGCTTGGAGAGAGAACCCCGGCCGCACTGATCCTTGTTCTCGCCTCGCCCGGGTAGTTGCACGTCACACCAGTGCCTCGCTGCCCGTAACTGACGTCGAAGCTCTGAAAGCCAGGCTGTGGACATCCGAAGCCGATGGAGGCGGGGCAGGACTGGACGACATCGTAGCAGAGGTCTTCGCAGGGGAGCATCTCCCTGTACGGACCTGGCTTGATCGTCTGGTCGATAAAGGCGTTGCGCGAGGCGTTGTTGGACGGTTTTATCGTTTGACCCTTGAGAAAATCGGCCGATAGCTTTGTCCCGTTGGGGAAGGGGTGAAAGGCGTTTCGAACAATGCTCTTGTTGCTGCCACCCATGACATCCTCGCAGCGAGGGATACTAACGGTGCACAGCCAGCGCTTGTAGGCTTCACGGCAATCATTACAGTTGCGTGCCAGAGAGTAGGCCGATTCAGGGGGTGCTTCGCATGAGATCTGAGCCAGGACCTTTTCAAAGTTGGCGTACATCGTCCGGGCATAATCATCGTATACCTTGGCTAGCATCGTATTGTTGTATTTCTTGTTGTTGCCAGGAACAGCGTACTGCGTCTCGTTGCAGAAGGCGAGATCTGTCACCACCATGCAATTCGTTCCTGTACCCAGTTAGACTCTTCCACCAATTATCAAGATACTCGACATACCGCCCATCGTCTGAAAGTCGGTGGCTTCAAAGACGATGCCTCCGCCGCCAGCTGTTCGCCCATTATTCGACTGTCTCTTATTGCTCTTTGTCGGCATCTGGATGAGAATGCCCGTGTAATTTGTGCTCGAATTGAGACCCTCGAGAAGAAACTGCTGCTTCGGTAGCTGCTCTGACCCTGGCCCTCGGAGCGTCATGCCCATTGTGACCTGGTTATAGCGCTGCCCAGTCTTGTCGCTGCTTGCCCAGATGTCGGCCGAGTTTTTCAGACCGCATGCCGAGTGCCGCAGACCGTCGACGGTCTTCAAGTTGCTATTTCCGATATAGATTTCGTATGGTGGGCGCTTCTTCATGATCGTTTGCGTGTCACTTGAATTCGACGTCAGGACTTTGCTGACGAGCAAGGCCGATCTCGAGTCGCTGTCCATCCATAGCAATTCAGCGCTACCATTGTTGGGCACGTACGAGTGGTAGTACTCATCAAAGGATATGGCAACCTCATACTTCCAAACAGCCTCCTCCTTCCTAGTCAAGTTGGGAGCTGCGATACTGAGGTAGACGCTGTCGGTGGCGTTGAGGGTGTACATGACAGCTCCCTCCACGAACGGGATCTCCTTCAAAGCCGAGTTCTTTTCGTCAAAGTTGGTTGCGTCTACGCATTGCGTCTTGTTTGTCGTCGAGACGTAGAGACTGAGCTGGGGCATCTTTAGAGGTTTCCCATCCTTTGTGCCCGCAGCTGGAGCATTACAAGTGTTGGCAGAGATGTAAACGGTCCTCGCCTCGGCCCTGCGCGAATTCTGATGTCCCTCGCTGTTACCATCGGTCGATTCGTCGCCCGTGATGTCCCGTTCACTTCTTTGACCGTCCACCAACGTCTTCTTATCAATCACATAGCAAGTCGTCTTTCCAGGCTCTAGGTTCCGGGCGTCGGGGCCATTGTTATCCAGAGACGACAACTCGGGTTTCGGGTCGGTGGGTGCTCGTCCAATAATGCTGCGATCGAATGGTGCAAACTCGGGTTCGTATATCAAATCCAATCCGCCAGTTCGATCGATCGGTGCTTCGATGTGGATGGCGGAATCGAGTACTGGCTCAGCGCTGGCAAAGGCTAGAGATCCAAATGCCAGACATAGCAGCAGAGCCAACAGAGAAGCCGCTGTCGACGTAAAAAGTCGTGATATGGGCGAGTCGAGCGTCATGACGAGGGGCATGCCCTCCAGGGGCCTTCGCCGAGTATCGATCTACCGGCACGCAGTCGAAATAACGAGGGTAACGAGAGGACTCTTGGCTTCAACTTGTTATTGGTCGCAAGCTATCATAGTAAGGCCCTCGAGATTAATTCGCCAAGGACGGTTCGCGACGGGGGAGATTTACACAATAAATAAAATAGTTGGTACAAAGTCGAGGCTGATCAGCCCGACGAGACGAGGCGAGACGTTGCTGACGGCGTATCTGCGCCAAGACGGCTTGGCCCCAAGAGTTTAAGGGGAATGAGGCGCAGCAGCCGGGGGAACACAGCCACAGTTCAAGGCAGTTCCGAGCCTGTCCAGGGGCCACAGAAAACGATTGACCACTGAAAGTGTCAAGGTTCTTATGATGATTGTAAATACGACGACTCAAATGGAAGCTCTAAACCTTATTGAATTAAGAATTTCTTGCAATAATATCAGAGCCCCCGTATGTTACCCTCAAGCATTCCATCGTTTGTGACATAAATAGACACGTACGCACCCCGAGTCATTGTATTTTTGTCACCCACACTACGGAGAAAGACCAGGGAGCTTGCAAAGCTCGGGCCAGGCTAAAAAGGGACCCGTGGCCACTACGTAAGGCCTAGCAGATCGATCATGGCCCGGGAAGCTTGAGCTTGGCCCTGGAGAGCCAGTCAGCAGCACACAATTACGTCGATATCTGCACACAGAGACATGGCAGAAAATAAGCAAAGTGAACACACGACACGGTATCAGTACTGCAGATTTGCTGCTTGCCATTGTCACTGCTGCAGAAGCCCTTGCCCCGGAAATCGCTGTCGGACCCAGGCCACAGAGACAACCATGTGGAGCTGTTGAAAAAGACGTAATCGCGAAACGTGTTCTCATGAAGCCTCAAGCAGCAGCCCTCTAAGAAAAGTCCATCGCAACAGCATAGCATACATTACACGCACAAAGTCATACCACATGAACCCATCCTCCATGCTGAAACGCCCGTTGCGTTTCGTGCTTGTGTGCCGTCCTCCCTCCTCTCGTCGTGAAGCACCTCGTGCCGGACCTCACTCGTTACCAATCATTCGGAATGATATGGTTCTGTTCTCATTAAAAGCGTAGCAACTTGGCCCGGGTCGCGCGGATGCGCCGGTTGGCTTTGCGACCAAGCTGCACCTCGATGGCCGCTTATTCGGTCTTGTCCAGACCGTCGGCCTTGGCGCGAAGGCCAGAGGCAGTAGAGGCAGACTGGAAGTATCGGCCGAGGGTAGGGGCCAGGAAAGATCGGAAAAGAAGCTCAGCGCCCCTGGTTTATGTCAGTTTTCAGGTCACACCCGACAGGTGGCAGGGAGCGCAAAATCTGCACCATGACATACCGGAAAGCAGGGAGAGAGAGCCAGAGGAGGAAGATGAACTTGAAGACGTAGTAGAAGGGGAACCAGTGGACAACCTGGACGAAGCTCTCGAGCACGGTGAAGAAGGAGAAAACGACCCAATACTGAAAAATGAGTTAGCAGCGACTCGCGATCAGTGTGCGACCGGCTCGATCCAGGGGAGAGCTCAGTTAGCAGGGTAGAAGAGGCCACGTACAGTCAGCCACTGAGTGTCATCCTCCTTGTTGGCAGTGAAGAGAGCGGCCAGCGAGTAGTAGCCGGGAATGACGAAACCAGCAAAGTTGGTCAGGAGCTGGCCGCCCAGGTTGAAGATAATGAGGAAAAAGTAGAGAGCGCCAAAGCCGATGGCGGCGTAGGCCTTGGGGACGCCCGACGTCTTCTCGAGATTGTTAAGGGCGGGGTACTTGGAGAGCTATCAGGGCAAAACCGTCAGCATGTGTCGGCTTGCGCAATTTGTCCTTGTCGGCATCGCGGTCGCGATCCGAATGAAACTTACCTCACGGTCGAGCTGACCGAGGTACTGTTGAGCCTTGTCTTGAGTAGACATTGTGATTTTCTTGCTGTAAAGTTGATTGCAGTGACGTTGAGTGATGCTGAAAGGTTGAAGAAGGCGTTGGAGGGGCTGGAATCAAGGGAATGTGGTGTAGTGTGCAGCTAGCGTCCAATACGTAAGTACCAAGGTTGGAGGAGTTTAAAAGAGGTAAGGAGCAGGGCAGCTTTTATCGCGGCGCTAGCTATGAAGCGAATCTTGGAAGCGGGAACAATTTTGACGCGGCGTCAGTGGCTTGTGACCCTGTAGGCTTGGGGCCTTCTGTGTGCTAAGGTCAGCAACACTTCACTGGAGCCAGTGGGAGCCTGGGAGGGTTCAGCTGACGATGGCTTAATGATGGCACAAGAATGAGGTGGAATTGAGCAAACCTGTCTTTTTTGCGCCGGCTTCCCCTTGAATGCGGTCATGCGAGTTCTGTGCGCCTACGCTGTGGCACCTGTGAGAGCCCGGATATCCCAGCGAGAGATGTGCTGTTAAGGGACGAGTAGCCGCTATGACGCAGGGTACTTTTTCCGCCGTATTTCTAGCACGGAATCACATGTATTCTTTCTGAAATGTGATGGGACGATTACATCATTCACAACAGATAAGAGGATCAGGATGCAGCAGAGTACATGTGATACTTCAAAGGCTTGAACTCCCCAACAACACAACACGGGGAAGCGGCAGCGGTTCGCAGCTGAGTTCCCTTTATTTATTTAATATAGGATTGCGCCCTGTCATGCGCATCCAGCCGTGGATTGTAGACGTGATTGTGATCGCGTGGTCTCAGCAACAGCAAGCCTAGAGTCTCCGAGGAGAGAGACGGGCACATGCTCTCTCCCAGACAAGGTCTTGACCTGACTCGGTCCCTCCACCTCTGTCTTTCGCGCTGCAATGGACGATCACAAGCTGCGAGCCAGTGGCAGACACAGATGACAGTCCGAGGACTCGCCGTGGCAGCTCTGGCCGGTCCTAGACTAGCCAACCAGCCACCCACCAGCCACATGAGACACGATCGAGGCAGGATCGTGAAGAGTCGAGATGCGCAGCCAGTCAGGACTCGTATCACTGAACGCAAGGAATTTCGGCTAATTAGCGGGCACGCGCCAACCAGCGGAGGTCACAAATGACGGGGGAAGCAAGACGTTGGCTACCGCCAATAAGAGCGCGCAGAACCTTTCATCCCCGCTGCAGGTTTGATTACCTAAGGCGCGCCGACCCAGGCCTATCAGCCCGGACGGGTTTCCCACCGTCGGTTGGCCTCGCAACGTCAAAACAAGCTCGACAACAACAGTCCCAACAGCTACACTTCAAACCAGCCAGCGCCTCGCCAGACTCGCCGGCGGCCTTTGCGCGGCATCATTTGGATTCTATCAGTGTCTTTCTAGGATTTCTCCCTTTTTTTTTCTTCTATCCGTTGTGTCGTCGTTGACCTTTGCGATCCCAATTCTCTTGTTATTGCGGCGACGCATCCGGCCCCAGCTGATGTTTGTTGTTCGGTTAACCCGCAAAATTCCTCAGTCCTAAGTCAACAGAACGTTCGTTTTCTACTATGGAGCAGAGTGAGTTCCTCCCTCTTTTCCTCGCTTCTGCCCACAGGCCATAACCCCATCACGTCTCCTTCTACCGCCTCTTCGCTCCGACCTGCTTTGAGGCAAGAACCACGATTGTTGACAATCCATGCTCAGTCGACAACCAAGCTGCCCGTGCGAGGAAGCGTCCGCTCTCCCGCGCCTCTACAACCTCCATCAACAGTGTCCCCAACCAGTCTACCTCTCTCGATCAGTCCGGCTTTGCCAACGCCTCGGATATGTACCCTGGGCAATGGATGTCGAGCGAGCATGCCCACGCGCAGGCCCACGCGCATGCCCATAGCCACTCGAAGGATATGGGGGTTTCGCAACTGTCCCCAGAGGACATGATCCTACAAGCTGCGAGCCACATGCAGGGTACCGGTCAGGATTTTTCCATGGACACCTCTATGAGTGCTCCTATGGGACATCCCATGTCATACCAGCAGAAGCACCCCATGCAACGGCACCCTCTTCCCGCCGAATATACACAGAATGCCAGCTTCACTGAAGGGAGCTCGATGATGGACCGAGACGAAAATGGCGAGGCAGGTGCTAGAGCCGCTGCCGGTGCTGCCAAACCTGCGTCTACTAGATCTAGCGCCAATAACGAGCTCGAAATGCGGCAGCTCTTCAGTGCCCACAGACACCGCACCCTTCAAGATGTAGCGGGAGAGCTCCATGGCAACGAGCGAGGTCCCAATTCGGAACGTACACGCCAAGTATTTGCCATGCTCTGGTATGCCGTAGGAGTTTCTCGATTTTAGACCTGGATGCTGACCTGCGCAGGATTAACTCGGTCTGCGCCAAGGGCAAGGGCTCAGTGCCCCGTGGCAGAGTTTACGCCAACTATGCCTCAAGATGTGCAACAGAGAGGATAACCGTCCTCAACCCTGCGAGCTTCGGCAAGCTAGTCCGCGTCCTGTTCCCTGGCCTAAAAACAAGACGACTGGGTGTCCGAGGAGAATCCAAGTACCACTATGTCAACTTTACCCTGATTGACGATGAGCCCGTGGCCCGAGAACCCTCGGTGCAGCCCACACGGCCTCAACCAGAGGCTACCAGCATGACCCAGAGCTTCAAGTAAGTCCCCAGGAACCTTGCATCAACTTGTTTACTGACAATGCAGTAGCACCGTCCCCGCTCCCTCAAATACGAACCTAAGCCAAGGCGCTCTGCCTTCACCTCACATTGGCACTGAGCCAAAGAGCTCTTCAAGCCACCCCGACCTTCGATCACACAGCATATACAACCAACCAGATCTCGCAAGCATCGACCATTTACATACCACCACGACCAAGACCCAACTTGAGCTTGCGTTTCCCCCTGAGATTGAGGAAGCGTTTGATATGTCCGAACCGCTCCCTCTTCCTCAGATCGAATCATATCTCCCACATGGAACTGATCCCGATGCCGCCAAGTCCCTCTCTGCGTTGTACCGCTCACACTGCACATCACTAGTAGAGTGCATCAGGTACTGCAGGGAGAAGAACTTCTTCCACTTGTACACCTCTTTCCAGGGAACCTTGACCATGCCTGTGCAAAAGTTGTTCGGAAACCCGGCCTTGGCCCCCTGGATCGAGGAATGCGATTTTGTTCTCTACCAGCGAATGATGAGAATTGTGTCTGGCCTTACACTGCAGGTCGTACCGAAACCCGTTTTGGATACCCTGAGGACCATCTCAGAAAGATTGGTTATGCATATTCGAGATTCATTCCAGGGCCAGCCCCAACATGTGGTTCGAGCAAAGGAGGCACCCGCAGCCATCTTTGCTGGTCTCCTCGATCGGGCGCTGAGAACCAACTTGACCGCCCACGCTGCGGCGAACATGCTGTCGAACCCTGCCAACCGCGACCAGATGTATCTTGACTGGATCACCATGATCCGGCCGCGGAAGCTCGCAGAGTGTGTGCCGACTCGGGGCATGGATGATGTAGTCAACGTGCTACTTACGGAAATGCGAGATCTCCTGGATCCTGTCAAGGTACCATGGGAGATGGAGTGCCTGACCATTTATGGAGATATCTCATCACGCAGCAACCGTGAGACGGACGCTGAGGGAGCGGCAACGCAATCTGGGCAAAATGTGCTGGATCGCTGGGTCGACTTTCTGCGAAGCCTCCCTCGCAAGTTCCCTTATGCATCTCATGCGGATATTGTGTCGTGCGTCGAACGCATTGGAACAGCGGTGATGCGAGATCTCACTTTATCCCAGGGTAAGAGCTTTGGGTCTTGGTGGGTGACAAAGGCGTTTCTGGACGAGATGATGTGCTTCATGGTGGCACAAGGAGGATTTATGAAGCAAAAGATGGGCCAAACAACCGGGGGCCCGACACCAACACCTCCGCCAACCACACAAGAGACCGCAGGCAGTCGGCAAAATTCTCGGTACAACAGCAGCGCTGAAGAGCTCGGCGTGAACACAGCGTCTCAGAACCAAGGAGAGCGAGCCCCGTTTCCACCAGCCAAGACCAACCAGAACAGTATGGGCATGAGCGGCAATGACGGGCTCGACGATAGCGGAATCGGGATTAGGACACCCGAGGAAGACTTTCCTATGGACAAGTTCAGCTTTACAGGATCAGAAAACCCAGACCACGGCCTATTAACAGGCGCGGAACTTGATCCTGGGGCGGGACTATGATGGCTGGATTGATAGATGGGTTGGGCAAGACGAAACAAGGCTGAGGGCATGGCCAGATGGCACGGCATGGCATGGTAAAGAGTCAGGGCAGGATAGAGCGGTCGGCGGTGGTGGGGTCTGGCGTTCCGGGGTCGGGATATTCATCTATACCCTTGGGTGATTTAATACGGCATTCCCAGAGGGTCTAATTCAAGCATGATGGGACGATAGGACGACGACATGAATTCGGGCCAAGGAAAAGGGGGAAGGGGGGTCTTGGTCTGGGAGGGCGCGACTGAAGGATAGAAGAGCGCGCCCGTATCATGCATGGAAGGCAGTAGTTCATGTTTTTTCAAGCTTCAATGTATATCCTTTCGGGAGAACCATGTAAGAGTCGATTCTTGGGGCGAATGGGTATGGGTATGGGTGGCGTGAGGGCATTGCTTGAGGAGTCAACAGACAGATCCATTATTATATCGCGAGCATTGAGCATCCACAACAGGTTGAGTGAGTACTGCGTTACGAGATTACTATCATAGGTATGGCTTGCATGATTGTTCCTGAAGCTGCCGAGTACGGACAAAACAGCCAGTAAGTGACAGCGATTCTCCTGCTGTGTTGTTATTGTTGTTGTTGTTTTCGTGTAAGTGCCTCTTCTGTCGTATCACACAAGCCACCAGTGGTTTCAATCGAAGCTCCGGTGGGGGAGTGGGGTCCCATGCGCTAACGAGTGGGGCCGAGGGATAAAAGAAAAATGAGTTAAACCTGACTGGAAGGAAGGAGTCCCAGAGCCGAAGACGGAAGCAGAACTACGAGTCCATGGGGAGGGGAGTTCGAGTCATCCAGCGAGAGATTGCGTTGTGTTTGGGTCTGGCTGGGGGTGCCCAGGTTTGTTCGGAGGTGCATTCGGTGGGAAAGAAATGACTGGACGAGCGGGGAGGCATTTAAGAGTAGAAGAGTACTCCCGTAGGTAGCTGTTCTACTCTTGTCTACTCTCTTCTACTTCATCTGCCACATACATGTGAATATAGCCGGATACATATCACGAAACCGCTACCCGCACGCATTAACATCCGACGGGACCAGTTTATGAACCCGGGCACAAGCTTATATCAGACGCCTTACCCTCTGCCTTTGCCTTTTGCCCGCCGTCAGGTCACTCACTGCCCCTTCCGACCGAAAGCTTTGAAGCCTTGATTCCGTTCCCGGGGAACAAGGGTCCATAATAGCTGCCATACGGCGCCTTACCTCACCTCACCTCTCACCTCATCTACCTTGAGACATCTGGCATCTGTCGTTTCTCACCTTGATCCTCAATTCTTTTTCGCCACTCGGTACAAGGTCAATTGCAATCACTTCTCCAAGAGGACCCTGAATATCATCTCATCCACCATATCATAAAAAAGCTTGTACGAAACTTTCCGCTTCACTGCCCCAATCTTACAGCTTCAACGTTTATTCTTACACCCTCTTCCTCAGCCGCACAAACCCATCAGTGGATTGTGTTGGGTGCCAGACTCCATCAGCTTTTCGGCGCTTGATTTTTTTGGGTACTCTACTCAGTGTACTTAGTGCCTCATTTTTTTTTTTTCTCTCCGTTACTCAGCCGAGAAAAAAAAAACTCCACCTCTTTCAAGGTTGCAGACACACCCTGAGAGCCTCCCCCGCGTTTCATCGACGACTTTCACCTCCAAGGGTTCAGGGAAGAATAAGAAAATTTTCTTTCTTTCCTTTGTTACATCGGTCACAATCATGGGCAGCCATACATACAATAACCACTCGGACCTGGGCTGGGTCGTCCAGAAGTTTGGCGGCACCAGCGTGGGCAAGTTTCCAGACAAGGTTTGCTACTTTCTCCCCTGGACTCAATTGAGAGGGAATTATATCTTTTACTGACTTTTTATGTTGAAAGATTGCCAAAGATATTGTCAGGTACGGCATATAACGCGGGGAGCAGAAAAAGTTGGAGAAATGTTGGAATTGTCTCTAACCCCGCCAATAGAGCCAGCCTGTCTCAGAACAGAGTCATTGTCGTTTGCTCAGCGCGGAGCACTGGGAAGAAGGCCGAGGGAACCACCAGTCGGTAAGTATTTCTGTCGATGGCAGTGAATCTGTCAGATTTAGACTTGTGGTCATGTACGAGCAACTCGGCTAATGACAAAAAGCCTACTCGCCGTCTATGGAAAACTACGCGGCGTCGGTGCCGCCATGTGCGTCGACGAGGACCAGCAGAATGAGCTGGTCGAGCAGGCGCGCGGTCTGATGCTCGACATTTGCAACGACCACGTTTTCGCAGCCGAGGCCTTCATCAAGGACAATGCCCTGCGCGAGACACTCATCCAGAAGATCAGGGATGAGTGCCAGGAGCTGGTCGAGTACATCGTGGCGGCCAAGCGCTTCAACCTCGAGATCAACTCGCGGGCAAAGGACCGCGTCATCAGCTTTGGCGAGAAGCTGAGCTGTCGGTTCATGGCGTCGCTGTTGCAGGATGTGGTGAGTTGCCTCCCTTACCCGGCCGTGTCTTGGCCATGTCTGCGCGAATTAGCAGTTCCGTTCCTGGGTTATCCACCTATGCACGTTTGGTTTCAGTCTGCGAGATGCCTCGTTTAGATGTCGTGAAAGCTACGTCAGGAACAACCAACATCTCTCATGCAACTTATTCACTTGAAATAGTCTAGGGGAATCACGCTAACATCAACTTCAGGGCGTTGAATCGGAATATGTAGACCTCTGCGACTCATTCCACTATGATGCCACAGAACGGCTCGACGACGACTTCTACAGAGTCGCCTCGGAGGCGTTTGTCCGCAAGATTGTGGCGTGCGAGGGCCGGGTCCCTGTGGTTACGGGATTCTTCGGCAACGTGCCCGGCAGCCTGATCGACGGCGACATCGGCCGCGGCTACACGGACCTGTGCGCTGCCCTCTGCGCCGTTGGCATCAAGGCCGAGGAGCTGCAGGTCTGGAAGGAGGTCGACGGCATTTTCTCTGCCGACCCCTCCAAGGTTCCCACCGCTCGGCTGCTGTCGTCCATCACGCCCTCCGAGGCGGCGGAGCTGACCTTTTACGGCTCCGAGGTCATTCATCATCTTACTATGGACCAGGTCATCCGTGCTCAACCCCCGATCCCCATCCGTATCAAGAACGTCAAGAACCCGCGTGGCAACGGCACCATTGTCGTCCCTGATCCTATCCTGTCGGCTGGTCACCAACTCACAAGAGGCTCTCCCAAGCTTGAGAGTGACCACCGGAAACCCAAGCGACCTACTGCCGTCACTATCAAGGATCACATCAGCGTCATCAACGTTCATTCCAACAAGCGCTCCATCTCTCATGGCTTCTTTGCCCGTGTGTTTTCCATCCTCGACAAGCACTCCATCTCTGTAGATCTCATCTCCACCAGTGAGGTGCACGTCAGTATGGCCATTCACGCGGGTAGTCATCAGGTTGAGGCTTTTACCAGCGCTACACAGGAGCTTGCCGAGTGTGGTGAAGTCAGCGTCCTTACAGATATGGCCATTCTGAGCTTGGTTGGTGCTGAGATGAAGAACATGGTTGGTATTGCTGGCCGCATGTTTTCCACTCTCGGTGAACACAATGTCAACCTGGAGATGATTTCACAGGGTAAGTGCTTAGATACTTCTCAGCTATATGACAATACTAACAAGAGTAATAGGCGCCAGCGAGATCAACATTTCTTGCGTGATAAATGCCTGGGATGCCACCCGGGCCATGAACGTTTTGCATACACATCTCTTTACCTTTCTTGAGTAGATAGAATGTGACAGGAGTTGTCATTATATCCATGTGGATTCGGAAGTGTCTTTGGCTCGGTGGTCATTACAAGTATCGACTAGAGAGAGCATACCACGGCGTTTGGAGTAACATATTGGATGAAAGGTTGAGATATAGTAAAAGCGATAGAGCGTGGATGGTGGGTAGTTTGCATTGGGTGGATAGAATGGCATAATTTGATACATGGATTGTATACCTGACTTGGAACTGTGATTTTGCACATTTACTATCAAAATAAGAACATGAGCACACAGACATCCATCGAATTTAATAATAAGCCCATATCAATAGCTAAGACGCCTTTAATCCTTGCACATGGCCGAAAACCCCGTTGCTATAGGGTAATTCCTCCCGAGGTCGTCAGGGGAAGCTCTCCTGATGCTGATGCGGGGCACCCCCATTGTCTCCCTCCCCGGTAGCTTCGCTTCGCCCCTGGAACCAGCGACCGCCAGCTACGTAACCCAACGTCGGATTATGGGTCCAGCGATTCCCACCGACAAGGTTCTTTTACAACTCAACAACGACGTTTTGACACGCAAACAATCTCGAATCCTTCAAGACGATAGACGTTGATCGGCTCCATCGCTCAATGCTGGCGGCGCTGTCATCGGAGAGCCCGGCGGCCACATGCTGATGGATTGACCGACCTATGGCAGTACGGAGGATTATCAGACGACTGACGACTACGACGACACGAGGACTATATCACGCTGACGAACGACACTGAACGAACAAGAGCAAGACGAATCATAATTGAAATTACTACGACACACTCCTCCCACCATGTATAGATCAAAGACGGGTGCTGCCAATCGCGGCAGCATCCTTAACACCCTCAAGGCGACCGAGATGCTTGACTCGAAAGCCAGTCTCCCAGCGGGTAAGACAGTGAGATGCATAATGCCTACGAGCATGCACTAATACCCATCAGAGATCCTGGCAACCATCCTCGACTACCTTCCTGTCGCCGACCAGATGCGCTGTGCCCGCGCCTCCCACCGCCTACGAGAAATGGTCTACGACGACACGCGATGGGTCTCGCGACTAAAGAGCATGGGATGTTGGGACGAGATAGAGGCTCGGAAGCGATTTGAGGAGGCTGTACGACGGAGGCGAGAGGCTGCCAAGGCTGCCAGCCAGGCCAATGCGCCTCCTGCTCAACCCCAGGGAACTACACTATTCGATGCGTCCCTAGAGGAAGCCAAGAACCGCACCATGTCTGATATCCGAGATGGCTTCGAGACCATGTCTGTGGGAGCAGCCACCAAGAACCCCGCTGAGGATCCAGCAGCATATCTCGACGTCTTCAAGAAAGTACGGAGTATTCGAGGCGGCGCGAGACACGAGTACGGCAAGATCTATGGTGCTCTGGCGCCCTTTTACTACGACCTGGCACGAGCAAAGAGTCACGCAGACCCCATTGTGTTTCAGGCGTTTCGCGATCCTGAGCGACAAGCGCAGATGCTCTCCAACCTGCAGCGCTTCTCCAAGAGCGACTGGGCGCCTGGGTCTCATGAACGGACGGAAAAGGTATCCTCCATGATTGGAATCTTTGAGAGCGCCGTGCTGCGAGAGTTTGAGCAAGGATACGAGTTCTGGGATGTTGATGGACGTATGCGACGATATGCACATGTCCTTCACACGCTTGACGGCGCGACAGGGGGTGTTGACCTCTTCATCCAGAAACATCCCATCTTTAATGATCGGGAAATATTGGTGGTGAATTCGATGGATTGCCTTAACCAGGCGCCTGAGGATGACATCACCCTTGAGCCTTCGAGGCTGTTTTTCGAGATGCTCCTTGCCAAGCTCAACGAGCAAGCTTCGGTCATGGAACGCATCTTTCCTGAGCCAGCACATGTATTCTGGACGTTTGTGGAGAAAGTGAGGGAGGATATCATCATGGAGTACTCGACACCTTTATTTGATGAAGCCCATGAGCGAAGCATCGAGGCATATCTCAAGGCGGTTTCCGGAATCTTTGAGCAGACGATGCTCTTCTTCCAGTCTCTTACACCACCAAAGGGATCCATGCGGGATATTAAAGAAGCGGCAAAGGAGCTCTCATTACGAGTCTTTGAACCACATCTTGACCTCTACCTCCAGGCCGAGCTGGACTTTTTCACAAACCACGCCGAGACCGAGGTGGCGAGCTGGGAGAAGAAGTTGTCAGAGCAGGACTCGACGATAGAGTCATTCTACATGTCCAACATCAACCGGTCGGCGGACAAGAAGGACTTTCTCAGCTCCTTCAAAAAGGTCGTCATGATGCCTGTTACGGTATTACCCAGCTTTCCCATTGGATCTCCCTTTGCAACGAGCAAGCCGTCAGCGGCTGCAGCTTCATCCGCGTCAAAAGAGGCCAATGGCTCTGGAAGTCTTACTCCTCAACCTTCACGGCCAGAGACGCCTAGTATAGGCATGGATGGACACAAGAGTCCACTGCCCGCACAGGCACCCACAGATGAACTTGCGGCAAAGGCTGCAATTATGGCATCCAAGCTGGAGGGCATCAAGTCGCTCTTTAGCATTGAAATTGCACTGAACCTGGTGCATGCTGCTAAAACTAGTCTGGGACGTGCTGCTGTTTTTATCCGTCTGGGCGGACAAGCTGGCGGCGAGGCACGAGAGCAGTGTGCAAGTATCTTTGTGGTACTTTTGCGTATCCTCGGACAGAAGCACGTCAAGACTGGCTTCGACATGGCTGTCGATCACCTCTCACACTATAACCCTCGAGAAGTCAGTGATCACAACAAGGCGGGCGTGGCGCCGCTCGTGACATTCATCGAGCTCGTCAACGTGGGCGACCTCATCTCGCAGATGATTGACGTCTTTTACGAGCAGCAGCTCGCCGCGCCAAAGATTGCTGACCGTAATGACTTTTTGGATCCAGCGGGTCTGGCTAAGAAGAAGTTTGAGCAGATGCTTGATGAGAGTGTTGCAGCTGGTCTGAATAAGGGTATTGATGTCTTGATGGATGAGGTTGAGTATCTTCAGGCCACGACGCAGCTACCTACGGATTACAACCCAGTTGATCCCTCGGCTCCATCCTCCTCCTCTCCCTTTGGTTCCTCTGCGTTTGGATCTGGCTTCGGGTCTAGTACCCCCGTTGAGAAGCCAGCAGCCCCGGCGGCCGAGCCGGACATTGGCCCAACATCGACGGCGAAGCGCATCGTTGACCTCGTCTCATCTCACACAACCATGCTCGTGGGCACGACGGACAAGTCAATGCTAGACGTGTTCAATGGCGAGGTCGGACTGCGCCTCTTTACAGCCATCTGCAAGCACCTCAAGCGCCAGCGCGTCAGCACAGCGGGTGCTATCACACTTATCGCCGACATGAATTTGTATTTCGAGTACATACGCACCCTGCGCAATGCCGATCTCTTGGCCTACTTTGGCGCCCTGCGTGAGCTCAGCCAAATCTTTCTCATCGATCCGCGCCACGCTCGAGAGATGGCTACCGTCATTGCCGACGGAGACCGCTTTGGCGGCGTGTTTCGCGCTGAGGAGGTGTACGAGTATGCTCAGAGGAGGGCAGACTGGTATCAAGTGAGGAAGAGTGTTGAGAGGGCCATGTATGGATTGGAGTGCTTACTTATGTGATGGATGATGAATGCTCATGAATGGGAGGGAGAATCTTGGGTTTGAAGGGCAAATGAAACGTCACGAGATATGTTGGGAGCGAGTGTTTTGGTTGGGATATAAAAATAACTAGAATTACGTATCATGATGAATGGGGAAGAATCCAATCCATCTAATCTAAAATGAAGAGCCTCCCATGCCCTTTGTTTCCGCCCCTTTTCAGCAAAGTCTTGTCTTTGTGTCTGCCCAGATTCAAACGCCAAATGATGCCAAAGTAAAACGAGTACCGTATGCTCGTGAAATATTTCGTTTCCCTCCTAATGCGCCTGGTATATGAGTTTACCCCTTTTTACATGCCTCCAAAGTCGAGCTTACGAGCAACCTTGGATCCTCGGTCGTCGTCAATGACACCCGGCCTGCGCTTGAGGTCGGCACCCATCTTGTCGTCGGCCCCGGAGCCGCCCTTCTTCGGGAGGTCCTGCTTTCGCGTAGGCTTGGGCTCTGAGTGCCACCATGGGTGGTCGAGCATGGAACGGGCTGTGATGCGCTTCTTGGGGTCGAGGATGAGCGTTTTCATGAGAAGGTCGACACCGTCAGAGCCCACACTGCCGAAGCGCATCTCATACCAGTCCTTGCCGCGAACGGGGTGCTGTCCGGGAACAGCGTACCCAGAGAGCTTTGTGACACCAGGCCAGTTGTCCTCGGTAGGTGTGCCGATGGCCTCGCAGACGAGACGGACCTGGTCTAGGTCCGTGTTGCCGGGGAGATAGGGCGCACGCATGACGAGCTCTGCAAAGACGGTGCCGACGGACCAGACGTCAACAGCGCCGCTGTAGTGCTTTGCGTCAAAGAGCAGCTCAGGGGGACGATACCAGCGGGTGATGACGCGCGACGACATGAGCTGGTGAGGATCGGCAAAGCTTCGCGCGAGACCAAAATCAGCAAGCTTGACCTCGCCGTCAGCGGCGATGAGCAAGTTGTTGGGCTTGATATCACGGTGTAGAACAAAGTTCTCGTGGCAGAACCACACGGCGCGTGTGAGCATGCCCATCCAGGTCTTGATGTCTGCTGTACCGTAGCGGACGTTTTCCGTGTCGCGGATGAGCATCTCGAGGTCGCCGCGGGGGAGGTACTCGAGGACGAGGTTGAGGTTTTGGTCTTTGGAGGAGAAGACGGAGAGGAGGGAGATGATGTTTGGGTGGGAGAGCTCCTGGAGGTGCTTGAGTTCGCGGACGGCGTCGGGCGCCATGCCCTCGTCGTACTCCTTCTGCACCTTGATTTTCTTGATGGCGACGAGGGTGGATGGCTTGGAGCGGAGGTGACCGAGGAAGACGATGGCGTAGGTACCTTCACCTAGCTTCTTGCCTATAGAGAGTTAGCAAAAATGCTTTGGAAATGTATGTATGCAGGGTGTCACCTTTGACGTATTTCCGCTTCTCTTCGTCGTTCATCTGCTCGGCGAGATCCAAAGTAGTAGGCATGGTGGCTGGTGCAGGCACCGACGTGACGGGTGGTTTAGGAGTGCCATTGGAGGAAGAGGTTTGCGAGGTGACGTTCTTGAGAGGTGAAGAGATGGCGCGCTGGAGAGCCTGCTGCGATTGAGGCATCTCTATCGTGTGGGTGACGACTGGGGAGACTGCCATGTTGGAGGTTTGCGGCCAGGGGCCAGAGGGCGAGCTCTATGTGGTCGATCGAGAGAGAATCGTACTTTTTGGGAGTAAGTGGTTGGTAGGTGTTGGAGTTGGATGAAGCTGAATGAAGCCTACCTAAGCTTATCGTTATCGGAGGCGTTTCTCCTTCGTCGGAACATCGGCGCTTAATTCGCCGACCAAACGTCACAGGAGGTACGTACCTTTATTAACATGGAATGGATCTCCCCTCAGGTTCGACTTGGAACTTTTTCACATCGTCTCGCAACATGGTTCTCTCATCGGCTTGAAGAGGCTGGTGTCATTCATCATGATAAGTTACTGATGATGCTGTGGAATCGCGCCAATTACTATAAAGAACATACAACTTCAACTGCATCGGGAAGCCCGAAGCCAGGGGCTGAGCAAGTGCTTCAATCAGATCCATCCTCTATGAACACGAGTCTAGGCTTTTGGATATTCTCGTCATGACAACATCCCAATCTCGGTGCTTGTGCGGCCTTTGTTAGCCATGGCTACACGGGCAAAGACATGAAAGCGCGCCTTGTGAGGGAAATTGGACTCAAGGTTTCGTGGTTGATGCAGATTACGACTTGAACGACAACACCATCCGATTCTAGTGAATCTATGATTTAAGATTCGATTGAAATGAACAAGTGTTCTTATTGAAACTTCAGCCTAGAAAGTAGGAACTCGGCCAGAAACCACAGGAGGGCGTCGACTTGTGGAAGCCTTCGCCTCCGCCAACATGCAGAGTTATTTCATCATGTTGGAACTGCGAAAAAGACACCGACACACAGCCATGTATTTAACTACCCTGTTCTTCAAGCAATGGAATACCTGTCCTCAAACTCCTTCACCCTCGCTTGCAATCCATTCTTGTTTGTTTCGAGACCGACTTCATCATGAAGGTGGCTCTCGCCGTTTCGGCGCTCCTGGCGTTCCCGCTCCCTATTATGGGATTCATCCCCGGCTCACTGGAAGCTCGCGATGTCAGTCATGACCATGGTCGCCACGAGCACCATCATGAGGGTCAGCACGGACATGGCCATCACCATGGACATAATGAGGCACATGGCCATGGACACCATGAAGGCCATCGTCATGGGCATGGGCATAATGAGGCTCACCGTCACGGACACAACGAGGGTCATCGTCATGGTCATCACCAAGAGCATCGCCATGGTCATAGCCAAGATCACCGCCATGGGCATAACCAAGTGCATGACAGCGAGCACAGGGAATCCCACGATAACAGGCACAGCTCGACCCACCATGGGCATCACCACGAGACTTCCAACCACAGGCACGGCTTGTCCAGGCATAGGCATCCCACCAAGCATCATCGCCACGGCCATCTTCATCCCCATTATCACCACCATCACACTCACCACTCGCACCCCATCAGGCCTTGCTACATCTTGACGGAGAAGAGCTTGTGTCGGGATCTTTACATCCTCGCTGAGAAGGCTGATCATGCGGCTCATCTTGTGCAGACCAGTCTCTGCCGTCAGAACTCGACCTGCTGGAATGTGAGTTGACTTGAACGACCATGATGCTTTGAAACTGACAAGGATGTATAGCATATCCGTGAGGCTATCTATAAGCTCGAGTATGGTCTTGATCTCTTTGATAAGTATGTCGACCACACCACTCTCGACAAGTGCTTCACCCGCTCTGAGGAGGCTGTCGTGACCAAGTGCTACATTCACGTGAGTAACATGTCGAGATAGAGTATGCCAATCTAACATCCATAATAGTATGCCCAGTCGGTTATTCGCCTCCTGAAGGTCACCCATGAGTCGGGTAGGTACCTCGAGGGTGAGGTCGACCGTCCCATCCTTACCGCCATCAACAGCTTGCGTGCTGCCGACAGAGTGAGTCTATACATGATGAATGTTGAGGAGCGTTTGTACTGAAACATTTGATAGGCTTTCGTACTGGATCTTGGACGTCGCATTGAATCCAAGGAGTCTCTCAAGGTCATCATGCGCAAGCAGGGTGCCGAAGACGGTACTACTGGAGATAGTGTTCAGGAGGCCTTTAACAGGTTCATCTTTACTCCTTTGATCACGGGTGAGGATTTCAAGAACCACCCATCCGAGGCTGAGGAGAGGGCTAGGAAGGTTGAGCATTATGGTAAGGGTGGTCGGAAGCACGGTGGCCAGGGCTATGGACATGGACATGGACGTCACGGCTACGGTCACGGTCATGGTCATGAACACGGAAAAGACATCTACCGTGGTTACAAGAAACATGGCCATGATGGTGGTTACACCGAGACTCTTTCTCAGGTTCGAAAGGGAAAGGATGGCTATCATCATGTTCACCACCACGGCCATCATCATGGTCAAAAGGGAGCTCACCACCACGGACATGAGGGCGGTCATCATGGTCATCATCACGGCCACAAGGAGGGCCACGGAAACAAGCATGGTCATAGCCAGGGGCATCAGGAAGGCCATAATCAGGGCCATGGCGAGGGTCACGGCCATAACCATGGCTACAAGGTCCACCATCATGGTAAGCACCATGCTAACCCTCACCAGAAGCGCAACTTACTCCTCCTAATGATGGGAGCCAGGATGAGGCCAGTGAAGAAGCCGAAGCCGCTGACTCCAAGACAGGAACTGGAGATCATCCGCCAGCACAGGCTCCACCACGACAAAAGGGGACATGAGGACGAGAATATCGACTACTTCTTTGACGACGAGCTGGATGCTGATGATGGTGATGATGATGCGTCGCGGATTCCCAAGAGTGAGCACAATGGGCGTCTTCACGATAATTACCAGCATCCTGAGACGCCGTATCGTCATCACGAGGGGTACGAGTATGGGGATAGGACGTTTGGTTAGTCGACGATGGTAGATGGATTGTGAAAAGTCTTGAGAAATGAATTGTTGTCTCTGGAAGCCATTGATGCTATGGTGTCCATAATTGTCGTCTCTTCCTCATGGTGCCTGTGACGTACAAACCTCTACTGATTGGATATTGAGTGTAAGAGATCAATTGTAAGCGGAACTTGTGTGATGTCAAAGATGACATTCTGCCCTGAATCAGGGATCTTAGGCACAGCCCCACAAGCTCAAGTCATGGGCGGAGAGTTTTAATTGAAAAAGGGAAGGGGGGAATCTTGATGATGTAATCCAAGTGAAGGAAAAAGAAAAATGGTATGATGTCATATGAAAGAATGTTTGCATTTACCGAGTAATTTCGTTTGTCGTGTCAGTGTCGTGTGCCTTTTCTTGGCCTTTTTTCCCGTCTTTGTAATACTTGCACTTTTTTCTTCAAAGCAAGCTAAACTGCATTTCATTGAGTCTAATTCTCTCTTTGTCTTGTTACTTCTTTCTTCATCTGCTACGCCACTCTCTTCAAGGCCCCGTTTGTCTTGCCGCGTCACCAGTTTTGAACCGTTGCGCTAGTCCCCTGTCAAACCACGCCACGTCCGCGCCACAGGTTTACATCTGCAGTTCATCTTTTCTTCCTTCACTGCCTCTCGCGTGCTCTTGATTACTTGCTCCATCGGGTAAAACCAATCGACAGGGCTGAGTCTTGGAAGCTGGAATCATTCGCTGTCCCGGACTTTACGCGTTGCGGGACCCCGGGTTGTCCGATGTGTCCGAGATCGTCGGATGCATTAGAAAGCTAAAATACTAATTAGTTCCCGGCCGAGAAGCCGCAGCATCTTAACGACTCCATACCTTCCGTATTGTGTGACCCATAGAGGAGCATATACTTGACATCATCCTCCCCAATCTTTTTTTCTTTCTTTATTCCTTGATATCTTTCATTTTCAATCTTTCTACATCTGCGCCGTTTGTCGCGTGACGGTTTATTTAACCCTTAACAACTCCTTGGGTACTGTCACTTGCTTGATTGGGCACACGCGAGACCTTCACTTGTACATCAACACCAAAACAACCATCACAACCACCGCCAAAATGGCAGTAAAAGGAGTATTCTCATACTGGGTACGTCATCAACACCACAAACCCCCTCATTCAACACTTGACTAACAGCATCTAGTGGTTCCCCATCATCTCGGGCCTCGTCTGGTGCGGCATGCTCCTAGGCCTCCTCCTCGAATGGCTCGTAAACCAGCACGGCCGCCGTTACCCGACCATGAACGAGGACGCCAACATTGCCTACATCTCCAACGTCGGCGCCGACCGTCTTCAACCGCTCTTCATCGTCGGCTGCGTTCTAACGTCCGTCTTTCTCGACCTGGCCTTCTTCTCCGAGCGCTGGCTGCGACACAATGGCCGTCTCGTACCCAACGTCTCCCTCGGCGAAAAGATTCTGAGCATCTTGTCCATGGTTTTTGCCATTGTTGGTACTGTTGGGCTTATTTGCTTGTCCATCTTCAAGACGGGCAAGTACAAGGTTCTGCATAACTTGTTCCTCGGACTCTTTATTGGAGGATACCTCATCTCTGCTGTGTTCATATGCTCTGAATACCAACGTCTCGGCAAGAGTATGTATACCCTCACTTTTGTCACTGTCACTCTCTAACAAGACTAGAATACCGCGAACACCGCATGCTTCGCCTCTCCTTCTGGGTTAAGCTCATCTTCATCATCGTCGAGTTCGCCCTCATTGTCGCCTTTGGCGTCCTAAGCCGCCAGAAGAAGCGAGATCCCGCCGCCGTCCTCGAATGGATCATCTCCTTCATCTTCACCTTTTACGCCGTCTCCTTCGTCATCGACCTCTACCCTGCCGTCCGCACAAAGAGCCCCGACGCTAGGTACCCCAAGTCCTACCTCGTCCCCTCTGCTTCTGCCACACCCAACGACGTTGACAGCGGTAACGGGTCGAGTAGCAATATCTACCCCCGCGACGTTGAGATGGCCCAGAATGGCCCTCCTCCCCGAGACTTTTAAGACTCGATATTCATCAACACCATACATACATCAAATCTCCAACAAGACATAATTACACACACACACACACACACACACACACACACACAAGACATCTCACTTGCATGGGATATGCCGGAATGATTCCCCCTTTTTAGTTGCATGGCGTTTTGGGAACCATGGACTGGCTCAAAATAGAGACAGCACACATTCTATTTGGTTAAAGGTTGCATTCTAGACACTGTTAGACATTGGGAAAGACATTGGATGCCGCGACGACTCTGTTACACTAGCTTAGACATTCATCATCTTGTACTGTACATACATACAATCTGTGCACATTGCGCCTTTTCCATCATGACTGTCGTTTCCAACGTGAAAAACATGTCCACCTGTCATGTACTCAAGGGTCCTCATCATTTCATACAAACATGATACGCCACGCTCAGGGATTGCGCGTCATCCAAAGACACCGTCGAATAGGAAACTTCCACTTAACTCCGAAACCAAACTCAAGTAATCACCACCCAATGACACTCCTCCATGTTAAACAACCAATGCCATGCACCAGGAACCATCCAACATGTCACTGCACAGTAAGCAGCTTATTGATCCATCATCTCCTTGAACCGAGAATCCCGGGATGGACTAGGCGTATCCCGCACTGCCGGATCCTCGATCGCGGGAGGCGGAGTAATCGCCAGACCTCGGGTCCTATCCGTTGTAAGATCCTCGAGGGTGCTGACAGGGCTGACGCCTCGAGAATCCCTCCGTTCCGGGTCGCTCATCTCAGCTTCGGCGCTTCGACCGGCGAAAGCAACGTCTCGCATGCTCGACGGCCGGTTATCGAGACTTGTCGTACTATGATTCAGGTCTGATCCCCGAAGAGCGGCACCTCCGATGAAGCTGTGTCTCTTGTGGCTGTGGGTCTCCCTGTCCTTTTCTCCCAGAGACTTGCCTCGAGAGAAGCGGTTCCTGATCCACCCCTTGACCTTGGAGGTGGGCGACATTCCCGAATCACTCATTTTGTGCTGGTTGTCCGTATTGCTTGTATCCGTATCAAGCATCGTTGTTGTAGGTCGCTCAGTTGGTTCCGTCACAGGTGCATCTCCAGCCTCTTCACTTCGAGCACTTGCATGGTCCTCAATGCCCTCTTCACCTGTCACCACAGAATCGCCCCTGGACCTTCGCTTCTCCTCCTTGGCGTGGCGCTTCTCCTCTGCTCTGGCTGCTTTTTCCTCCGCCTTTTTCGCCTTGTACTCTTGCTTTTCTTGTTCTGAAACATGTGTTAGTTCCTGTGTACCATTTCGTTGACAGACATCTCACCTTTCAGTTTCTTGGTAATCTCCTTGATCTCTCGCTCTCGGGCCTTTTGCTTCTCTTGCTCGGCCTTCTTTGCTTCCTCCTCAAGCCTGAGCGCCGCGAGTCGCTCCCGCTCAGCCTCTGCCTTCTCGTTGATGTCGTCCAACACAGGCTTCACTCTCTTGGCTGCAATCGTGTTCACCTCGTGGGGGTCCATAAACTTCCCACCTCCAATGTCAACCTTGCCCTTGTTCGCGTTTCTAACATCGTGACTGGCAGTTGCTACTTGGTGAGCCTTGAGCTCCCACTCGTTCAACAATGTTGGGTTGACCATGCCGGTCTCGTGGTAGACCTTCTCATCCATGCCTTGAAGTCGAGCCTTGACGTTGCGCTGTGCCGCGGCAAGTAGTATGTTGCGATCGTCGGCGCGCTTCTTCTCGTCAACCTCGGAAAGTTTGTTCGAAAAGAGTGACATTTGCTGTCGAATCTTTTCCGACTGTTGCCGATCGTCGAGGTCACCGTCGCTTGATGACCGACGTCGCAGTTTCGAAGTCAACGTAAATCTGCGCCGAGACGAGGTTGAATTCCCATAGTATCCCTGGAGGTCTCGGTTCTTCTGGTGTTCCTCTTCGAGTTTCGCTAGTCGCTCTTGGGCTTGCTTGTAAGCGGCGTCCTGAAGATTGATATATGGCTTGGGCTGTGCCACGTCGGAATCCTGGCCTTGATTGTCCTTGGCCTGGTCAATAATCTTCTGTTGCTGCGTATACATCTTTCGTGCCATTGCGACAGCAGTTGCGTGAAGTTGCTCGTTGGTTTTCCGTTCATCCACCTCTGGCTTGACAGGAGGATGAGAGGTGAACATGTTACGGGTCATGGTTGTGATAGGAACAGCGCCTGCGTTTTCTGTCGATGGCTTGGATCTGAGACTGGCTTTATGCGCCAGAGTTGCACCACTTAACGCATCTGGTCGTGTGCTCGCACCCAGGCTTAGAGGGTCATGACCAGGAGGAGCCGTAGGTGTGGACTGAGCGCGGCGTCTGGTGGTTGCCATGGCCCCTTTGGCTGCGGCGAGAGACTTTTGACCCTGAAGTGAAGAGCTAGAGGTCGTTTGGTCAACTTGTCGGATCGAGTTGGATCGATTTGTGTTGAATGCCTGGTTGGCAGCAGAGCTTCCCCAACCCTCGTGAGACTTGCGTTGGATCGACGTCTTGTTTGCTGCATTTGCGGAGCCAACTGCTAAAAGTGCTGCCTGCTGTCCTGCAGAGTTAGAAGTTGGTTCCCACGAAGGCGCCATCTTGTAGTTCTTTGCTAGAGCGGCCGCCGCGGAGGCCGAAGACGTCTTGTCGGGTTTCCAAAGCTCGATGGGTTTCTGGTTGGACCACCCGAGAGAAGCGGCAGCACTTGCAGCAGCACCATCGGGACGGAGACCGGTAGAAGGAAAGCTGGGAAGATCGCGGGGGTCGGCGTATTTGAGCCGTCCCGAGTTTTGCGCTATTCGCATGTGAGTGAGCTGGCGGGCGGGATGCTGGGGGGTGTTAGCCACAAGAGTACATACCTGGGGCTGTCGCGGACTGAGACTGAATCATGATTGGCTGCTGGGATGTACCGGGGGGCATTATGCTGCACGTCAGAACAGACGTCGCCTCTGAGTGCGTAGGCCTTCGTATTCAAACTGCAAGTGGGCGAACCCGGGACCAGAATATGATGCGGGACAGTGGTCGAGGGCACCCGATGGGCCGTGATGGAGCCAGTAACAGGACGCTTGGCGGTTTGGAGACGGGGTCTCGGGAAGCTGTCCAAGTTCCTGCGCCGAGAGGGTGTCGTCAGGTGTCTTGTCAATGAATCGTATTCGTCCTGGTCATGGGCCTGTAGGATTCTCAACTGGAAATCGAGGCCTGCTTGACGGTGGAGACGGAAGAGATGTTTCGCTGCAGGGAGCAACGAGGTAAAATGCGACAGCTCAAGCTCTTGATAATGTATGCAGAGGTAGGTTGCATCTAGGGATGGTAGGGATGTAGGCAGTATCTGTAGTCAGCTTTACCCGTCTTCTTGGTCGAACGATGTAAGAGAGGAAAGGGTCAGGCGTCTAGGAATGGAGAAAGATAGGGCCAAAGCAAGATTTATTCGAGAAGACGATGATGATGCTGAGAGCTACACCCTCGTGGCGTCCCTCGCTCGAGTGATGGCGTCGTTGGCCCCGAGACGAAAGCAGGCGATGGCGCTTTCCTCCTGCGCCGGCATACGTCAGGTAGCTCCTTCCCTTTTCCTGCCCGCGATGCTGATACCCCAGATGGTGCTCGGTGCTGACGTCATGGGTCCCGGGGCGATGATCTCAAGGCGCAGGCGCTAGGCCCAAAAGCGGAAATCTGGTCACAGTGCATACAGTGCACGTCACACTTCCCGGCCGTCGCTCAGCTGGACCAGCGTGGTTCACGGCTGGGTTTCCGTGACGTCGGGCGCCGGGAGGCTGAGCCCCGGTGGAGCTGTCGAAAATCAAGACGTCCAACAATAGCGCGTCTCTGTCTTATCACACCAGAGGATCTCGACCGGAATCCACGGGCAGCGCAAACTGCTTTTCGGTGTCTCACCACCACGGAGAGCCACCGGAGACCATGACACCACACCGCTATCAATCCGCACTGTACGCCCGTCAACCTATTTTTTGCAGTAGCTGAGATGCCCATCCCCATTGGCATCAATCAACGTTTCAGCCCGCCAAACCCACCAGACTATCGAACTGCCGACGCCTGAATACGAAGTCTTGGGCTTTTGGGGGATAAACTAGGTTGAGATACCCAGCTCCTACCAACCTTGTGCCTGACTGGGCCGACTCTTTGCTCAGTTCCTTGGAATGAGAACTCAGTCCCTCCGCTATTGGGATCAACGCCGAGTTTCACCCTTTTTGTCTGTTTAAACTTGCGCCGGTGGGCGGGTCGTCCGCGCTTGAACCCTTCGATCACTGCAGGTGACCCGGGACTGGTTGATCGGCCCTCCGTCGTCCCCGGTTCAACGTCCGGCACTTTGTGTTACACAGGGCTACTCACCGGAACTCTCTTTGTCCGTTTCTTCGTCCAGTTGCCTATTGTGAGCCAGGCGACTTGGTCTGGAATTTCTATCGAGGCTTCAGAGGAAATATTCTTGGCAGCCCTGTAGTGACACCAAGGATGAGTTCCAACGTTGGCCTTGAGAGTGTTCTCAACTTTCGCGACGTTGGCAAAACGGTGAATGACTTTCTGGGCACAAGGTACTGAACAGTTAATTTTTTTCTCCTTTTGCACTCACAGAAGTATACACTCGAGGATATACTCTAACGGTGAACAGGAGACTTAGAGAGGGCGTCTTTTATAGATCTGCAAGATTAGGTGCGAGACTCATCCATCACTTAATCTAGGCCTTGCTAACATGCTCTGTAGATGATGCCACACTTTTGGACAGAAAACTCATTAGAGATGGCCTTGGTATCAAGACTGCCATAGACTTGCGCACCAAGTTTGTCCCCCTTGAACTGACCCTCAAAGGCGAGATATACTAACGCACGTCTAGAACCGAGCACCTCAACCGGGTCAAAAGGCGACAGGAGCAATCTAATATTCCTGCTCTCGTCAAGTCTAACGCAGCTCTTGCAGAGCCACTTCATATCCCGGGACTGGAATATCGAGAGATTAAGATCACTGGTCGCCCCTTTGAGTTGTTTCTCCTACGCCAACTCTCATGGTGGGATTTATTGTAAGTTGCTCAAAAGTGCTGTATCTTGACAATTGTGATGTCGATTAACACCAATGCAGCCACTTTCTGTTTCTCTTCCTTTGCGGCTACCGCATGGAAGCCATCAACATCCTAGGCCAGAATGTCATGATACCGCGAGGCGTTGTCGGCCTTGGTCTCGATACCCTCGATCAGTCAACTAGAGAGATCCGGGAGACTCTCTCTCTATATACAGCGGAGACCAACCTGCCATCCGTTGTCCACTGCACTCAAGGCAAGGACCGTACAGGTAGAATATATGCCATATTGTCTATCGATATTTGGGCTTGGTACTGACACGCGATAGGCCTCGTCTGCACTTTGGTGTTGATGATCCTCGATGTTCCAGTCTCTGCTATTGAGCATGATTATCGCCTCACTGATGAAGCGCTTATCCCAGAGCGAGAGGAGCGCCTGGTCGAGATCCGTCAGATAGGGCTCAGTGATGAGTGGGCTGACACGGCAAAGGATATGATTGTAAGGATTGAGCAACACCTCAACGAAAAATATGGGGGACTAGACGCCTATCTGGACGGGATAGGGTTCGGTGCCGATGATAGAGCAAGGGTTCGTGACGCGTTGCTCTACTGAGACGACAATACACTGTTGCATGGCGAATAGTTTGTTTGACCTTGAGATGCTTTGTCTATTTCTTTCTAAAGCGGCCCTGCAGCCAGCATCTATACATCTTGAGCTTGGATGCTCGGTTGACCAGCAGACGTCGATCAACACCAAGGTTCTCTACCTCGAACAGAGGGATTTCTGCCTCTGCCTCTTCTGCCTCCTCAACCCCATCAGCCGCTGGGGCAGCCAGAGGAGAGGGTTGCTGAAGTGCAGCAAGCTCCTTGGCCTTGCCTGCCCAGATATCGGCCAGCTGATCCTTGTCAAAAAAGTAGACGCGGGTTCCGTCGCCTCGGATGTAAAAGTTTTCGTCCAGATAGCGACCCTTGCGGAACCGGACCTGGGCAAGATCTCCTCTTCCATAATCTCGGAAGCAGACCAGGCCGCCAGGCTTGAGGACTCGGTGGACGTTGCTCACGGCCTTTGGCCACTGATCGGGAGAGAGAGCAGAGAAGATGAAAATCAGCACGGCGACGTCTACGGAGCCTTCCTCGAGTCCAGGCGGTAAGCTGTCACTGGTCACGTCCCAAACATCGGCCTGGATCGACTTGGGATCGTATTCTTCATGGTTCCGGATGACCTCTACAGCAGTCTTGGAGTAGTCGCAGGCATGGATCTTTAGTTCCGGGTTCTTATTATTGGCCAGGATGGGGAAAGCCGTGTTACCGGCACCTGCGCCAATCTCGAGGAGGACCTTGGGTCCGGCATCTTCCTTGGTTACCTCGGCCAGCACGGGGAACTCCTGCTGAAGCCATTTGCGGTTCTTGAAGAAGTTGGCCGAGTTGTTCTTGTAGAAGAGATTCCACCACCTAGCAGGGTCGACACTGAATTTCCCTGAGTTGTCATGTTAGCAACTCTTCATGAGAGGATGTTATGACAGCAAAGTGTAAAGGATGGTGTTGATCAGATGGGAGCGAAAGAATAAGAAGGTATAGTTTGTCTTCAGTAGGCTCAGATGAACTATGCATTGGTTTTGTATCATCAGGAACACCAGGCAAAAGCCAGGGCAAAGGGGTGACGCGAAATGCAGAGGTATGACTTACTCTTCTCAAAGTCAGAGACGGGGTTTTGGCGCTGTTTGGCGTACTGTTGCTCCGCATACTCTTTGTACGCATCGTCAGTCTCCACGTGGTCCCAGGCATTGAACTCAAAGACATCGTCTCCCTCGTTCAAGTACCGGCTGCCAAACTGGAAGGGATCACTCCGTTTCAAGTTATTGGCAGGATCATGCGATCGATGAGGCGGTACCTCGCTCTCAGGTGCCTTGGCTTCCGTGTCAGCCTCGGTGATCGGATCCTTGACGTCCAGCGCGGCCAGCTTCTCGACAGGCACCGACTCGATTGTCTGGCTCACGACGGCATCGCCACTTGGCGTTGACGACGCCATGATGGAATGTGGTGATCCTTGGAGCACGCACTCGCAAGCGCAAGTGAAGTGCTTCTCACAGCACGAGTGGTTTGCGCCGCGGGAGTGAAGATGAAGGATGCTTCAAGTTTAAGAAATTTTTCCGCAGAGGAGCTTTTTGATGAAATTCTGAGAGTGGGGGTGGTCAACTAGTCTCTGATTGGCCACAAAGCGGGAACCGGATTTTCTAAATCGCCGGGTTCCTGGAGCTTGAGCTAGCCCAGCCAATCATGTGAAAGCCTACCTGACCGAACAGCGCCCTCATCAAGCCTCCTGTGTCCATTCGAGCTGTGTCATTCTGAGGTCGACGGTCAACAACTTTCTCGACATCCTGTCATTTCGGTCGTCAATTCCTCGTCTTCGGTTACAAGTTGCTATAAACGTCTACGCGACTTCGATTCAACGCCCGCCATGGCCCCCTCGCTCCTCCAGCCGCAAGGCCACCTATCACCAACCGAAGCTCTCCAGCTTGCGCAACAAGCTCCCATCATCTTGAAGAACAACCCTAGAGCCTTCTCCGCCTCACCTCTCGTTTCACTTTTCACGGCCACCGAAACCGCTGATCTGTGGACCATCTACGAGAACCTTCTCCTCTCATGCCTTCGAACGGGCGACGACGAATCTGCGCACCAAGTTCTTGAGAGGCTGGTGTTGCGATTTGGCGACCAGAATGAACGCGTCATGGCACTCAAGGGACTGGTGAAGGAGGCTGAGGCAACAAACAACAATGAACTTACGCAAGTGCTTAAGGAGTACGAGGACATTCTGGAAGAGGATGGAACCAACATTGTGAGGATGAGCTGCTCGTGACCAGCGGAGGACAGCAAACTGACGAGCAACAGCCTATTGCGAAGCGACGAGTTGCCCTCTTGCGATCTATGGGAAAGACCCCTGAAGCGATTTCGTCATTAATATGGTTGCTCGATTTCAACCCTACGGACGCCGAAGCTTGGGGGGAACTAGCGGATCTCTATCTGTCCCAGGGATTGTACTCCCAAGCTATCTACGCTTTGGAGGAGGTCCTTGTGCTGGTACCAAATGCGTGGAACGTATGTGGCCTCATTGTTGCCCCTGTGAAACCCCCCATCTGACAACCTGGCTTAGATGCATGCACGCCTCGGTGAGGTGTCGTTGATGGCAGCCAATGAAACGACGGATGGCTTCCCTCAGAAGTTCCTGGCAAATTCCGTTAAGCGGTTCTGCCGAAGTATCGAGCTCTGCGAGGACTACCTGCGAGGCTACTATGGACTCAAGAAGGTTACCGATAAGTTGCTGGCCGAGTCTGCTAAACTCAAGAAGCACTCGGAAGGAGACGAGTTCTCTCTGCCAGACCAGGCAACAATCGAGAAACTGAACCAAGCGGCTACAAAGAAGCTAGCCGAGATCGTTCGTCGCTACGGGGCCCAGGAACCGCTGTGGCAAGGATACAATGCAGATGAGATTGCTGCAGCCCGTGACCTGCTTGACAAGTCATCGTCAGAGGTGGTCCGGTAAAGACTACATCTTGACAGTGACTCAGAATAGCGGGCACACGGGGTGACGAAGCGTACCGGGAGCTTGCCAACAGTGTCTCTGCCTAAGAAACGGGGCGTAAGAAGACCCCTGACTAGTTCATACACGACAACAGAGGGGCTTGAAGTCGAGAAGATGGGTGTCAGGCATGCGCAACATGGGCTCTCAATCTGGCTCTGGCTATCGGCCAGATGCGAGTGGGAGGCAGCAACGGGGAGTTGGGCGATGCTGGGCATTTGGCACGTGGCGCCATAGAAGGACAGGAGGTGGGGTGTCCCATGCTCGATGTGGGCGGTGATGGAGTTTGGCAGGGAAGACAATGCCTAAATGAAGATATGAGGCCTACCCAAGGCGTTGAGGTGACGTCCACCTAGAAGCCTTGGGCAGGAATCTCGAGTTTTTGAGGAGGAGAGGGATGACTGGCTTTCCTAATGTAATATCTAACACGGCGCCTGGTGTAACCGACTTGTGGACGCGATACATAGTCTCTTGGGTCTCACCGCGACTGAGGCAGAATCAGCAAATTCGAGACTTGCAATTCCAAGTGGGTTCTCTCCACGTTGAATGCGCAACATCATGATGGGCACCTACTTATGCCCATGCGATTGTGGCCCTGTCCGCGGACGGTTTCTTGGTGGAGTCTCCCGGAGGAGCCGCTGCGGGAGAGAATCTGGCACCTCGAACGGCGCATTGTTGTTTGATTTGATCTCGATCCCCGAATGTCTATTCTCCGAGGATGGTCCATGCCTCACTTTTAACAAGTAGTCTAGAACCTGTGTCATTGGTCGCCTCGTCGAAGATCAAGTGGCCGATCTTGGCCTGGCGCGATGAAGGGCGAGTTGAAGAAAGATGTGGATGGACGAGAAGAATTATAGCTGTTCCGCCACCGTCCACATGGCCGCAGCTGGATGGCTGAGGCTCTGCGGGAAGGCGGAAATCTTGTCATTTGATGCCTATCATTCCTGGCCGGGTGGTTCCAAGTTGAAGCGAGTATGTGCCAATGTGAGCGCCAAGTTGTGAGAACCAGCAAGGCCCTGAGATGGTTGATAACATTTACACCAAACATGATATGGTGATGGCTTAATACGGACTGTATGAGGGGAGAACAAGCATTTCTCACCGTATCTCTAACTCGTCCCATGTTGCGGAGGAGGTTAGGAAGCCATGCAGCGCCATGGTCCGTGATGTGTTGGCCCTGTGAAGCGATGGACCAGAGGGCATCGGGCCTCAACGCTGAGATGGGGCTCCATCCCCCCAGCCAGTCGCGGAATGGAGGCATCGGGTTGCAGAGATGCTGTAAGTGATGGGTTCGGACTGGAATTATTGACTGAAAGGAGAAAAGGAAGAACATCAGAGTGGAATTGACGAGAGGCGGGTTGATATAAGGAGACGTGGTTTGCCAATGCCTCAAGTCTTTTCTCCATCTCACTCATCAACCCTATCAACACTGTATTTGTACAACTTCTAGACTGCAATTGAGCAACCCCCCAGTACCGTTTTTCAGACTTTCAACTGTACGGGTACGGTAATCAATCAACTCCTGCGCCTCGGTCCGTCCCGATTTACGTTTATCACCCAAGACGTTTAAAACTGTACTTGGTTGGACAATGACGTCGCACAGCCTGAGACGAAGCCGTCAACAAGAAATTCAGCTACATGATGGGATCATGCTCCTTGTCGATAGCAATTGTTTTCACGACAATTAATATCGACAATGTCACGGGCCGAGGGACTCGAGTGCGTATCAGTGGTGGCAAGGACCGCTCGAGGTATGGATAGCGGTCAACTGCAACTATTCTTCTAGCGGTCAGACCGACAAATGTTCCGTTCCCAATCGTCGCCCGTAGTGGGTGTCAGCTTGAGGGCCGAGGGGGAGCCTGGAACCTCACCATGGATGGCTCCCCAGCAACTAGACGGCGTAACGTTGGGCTGCAGTACAGCAACACCGCCCTCTCGTCTTGGAGCCCGGGCCGCCTTTTTACTTTTTTTTCCGCCTTGTCGTTTTTCTTATTTCCTGATGCTTCTTTCTTTTTCTTCTTTTCCCTTCTTTCTCTCCTCTCTTCTCCTCGTTTCCGTTTCCCCCTCTGTAACAATCTCTTGTGTGCACACTGCCATTGTCTCCCATCCAGCCAGCCAGAAAACCCATGTTTTCTCATGCCCTAGTTAGGCTGTGTTTTTTGCATTTTTAGTGACTTTGACCTGCGCCAACAAACCGAGGCCATCCTTGTCGTTGGCTCTGACCTGCACTTGCTCTTGGGCGCTTGGGCAACTACCACTACCCCACCCCACCACACCTTCCATTCCCCAAATCGCCGCTAAGGGAGCTTGCCCGGGTGTTGTCCACTGCCGGCTCACACAAAACCAACCACAACAACACAACAAACAAAACTTTCCTACACAAGACGACGACTCTCCCACAAGATTTCGTCAGAAACAGAGTCTCGAAATACGGTCAAGTTCAACCGCAGGGGCTGCCAACACCTGAAACTCTACGGTATGTGACAATCTCTTTGGTCGTGTACTCGTCGTCATCTCCCAGTCTCGTCAAGCTTCCATCCCTCCATTCCCTTCGCATGAATCTTGTGTCTCGGGTGCGTCTGGGGTGGGCTCAACTCCAACAAGATGATGGCCCATGTGATACCATCTGGCGGCTTCGAATCAAGCAAGCGAGCGACCGAACGACCACGCAAACATGCGGCGGCGGCGGACTCGGCAGCAGGTCAAATGTCTGCATGACATCCAGGCCATGCCATGAGCGCTGCGCCTACGGCTTCTCCCAAGGCATTCATTCCCGTATCCATCTGGGTTCCCGCTGTCGTAGCGGATGCTACCTCCGCCCTGCTATCGTCTCTGCCACTATCAATGCTCCAGTGCCAATTCTAGCTTCTTCCATGAGCCATCAGGCTTTGTTTGAGGCTCCCTGGTTTCTGGCCCCCACCAGCGTTGGGCATTGGCATCCACGATCTTTGACGCCCTACCACCAACCCACCGCCATGCGAAACGCGGGCGCACCACAGGGCGGAGAGAGCCTGTTGACAGGCACGACTGGGCAGCGGATGCCTGGGTCAGAGCCCGGGAGAGCCAAGATTTTCAAGGGCATCGACTCCAGAGCCGGACACCTCAAGGGTTGGTGGACCAGTCGCTGGCCAGTCCAGCATCTGCGCGCCAGCTCCAGCCCGACGAGCGCTAGCGAACACGCTTGGACAGGGTCCCCCATTGACTCCATCGACAGGGCGACGAACCAGGGTGTCCCGGTCCCGGGCGGCTGACAAGAACCGTGCTTTGGTGCCCAGCAAACCCAGCCGAGAAGCACATGGCAAGTCTTGTTGGGCATGGGCATGGCCTGGGATGAGGACGCCAACGCCAACGTCGGGGAGCGCTGCTGCCAGTCGATAGATGCTTTACTGCACAGCATCGTGTAAAGGCCATTCTTGTCATGTCGTCCTTCCAATCCTCGGAGCCGGGTTCGC